AAAAGAACGTTTTAAGGGTTTACAAATATATGTTCGTGATAAACGTATGTTTATTAGATAAACGAAAAAAAATAAAAAATATATTTATGCTAGCAACACTAATGCTAACCTTCTTAATAATTAACGCGTGATTAAAAACTATGTAATGTAAGATATACCTAAAACGTTTTACGCTCCGTCTCGCGTTAATCAAATAATTTAATTATTTAAAATAAGGACAAATATTAATTTTATTACACAATGGTTGAATTACAAAAGTCGAATCAACGGGAGCATTTGTCGACTATTCTTAGGAAAAAGACGTCGTCTTAGAATCGTATAGATAATATGTTGTAAACTACATTGATAGGGGACCGAATCCTTGACGCATTTCGATGACTTCTCAGTTTGAATGATAGGTAATAAAGTCTTTAAACGCTTACCGGCTCACGAAAATTATCTCAAAGCGCTTTTTTGTGTCGTTTTCCTACCATCGCTCAAATTTTTGCCCAATTAATGCTTAAATGAACGTTTATTAGAGCAAATTACAAGTTTTCGGAAATAATAAGCAGTAAAGATTCGAGCCGGGTTTAGTCTCCACTTGGGTGGCAAGACAGATGTTGCAAAAAATTATTGAAAAAAGAAAACACTGAGATTATCGTCGGTTATCAAAAGGTGATCCTGAATATATTACATGCGATTTTAATAAAACCAAGTTTATTTTATAAGTATTTGTTATTTTTAAATCGAGCATAATGGTATCACGACAATTATTAAAGAATTTAGCTAAAGATAACCAACAGTTCATACCTACACGTTTTGTATTGCGTAGATTAAAAGGAGAAATAAAATACTGTCTATAGTTTACGCGAGTAGTACACATTTAAATAAAACACTTTAATGGTTTAAAACGCGATATATTAGTTAAACTTAATTGAAAATGATTTTTAACTTCGGCCCGACGTTTCGGATGCTTTGCAGCAGCCGTGGTCACGACGGGGAGACGGGGGTCAAAGAGAAATAAAATCTTAATATAAGCTACGATTAATATATATATATATTTTTAAGGATAAAACAGGGCTGACAATTCAATTGATATAAACAAAATACTCTTCTATATATTCTGGCTTTCAATATTCGTAAATCCACAGACTGAAACCATAACGGGATTAACTTGACAGCTTTTTCATTTATGGACCATCCAGACGAAGTCCATCGCGTTTCAGAAAACTAATAAGTCGATTAAAAACATGTTACACCTGGTGGGGATCGAATCCTCGACCTATTGATTATCAGCCATACATTGCTACCAGTATACCAAAAGAGCCCTAGACGATTATGTACCCGAAAAAACCGATTTAAACACTTCTACTAACGTTGGGTCGTAATTATAAATCACTGATTAAAAAAACACGATTGAGACCGTTAAATATATTTAAAAGAAGAACAGGCGCTTTGACGCTGCCTTAAAATGCCATTCGTCCTGAGTTGACAGCCAATAATCAAATTAGATTAAAGGGTAACTTATGACATCTTAATTCTGCGAAATTACTGATCGCATTTAATATATGGCTTGCGGCGGGGTGGTATCGTTACACGGTGGTTGCATGAAAATAATTATGCGACGCGAACAGTAATTGTGGCAAATTGCCTTCACCATGCAATAACTTCACCAATAACCGGCTATTAGTGTCGAAACAGTGCAAACAAACGGATGTAATGAAGCCGGCATTGACGATTTAGTCGACCACCATCGGCGTTAAAAAGCAACAATAGCTTAGGCAACAGACAAAACATTTAAAGGTTTTCAAGTAAAGACTCTTATCAGACTAATATAATATAAAGCTGAAGAGTTTGCTTATTTGTATGTCTCAGGAACTCCTGGTTCGAATTGAATAATTATTTTCATTTTATTTAGAGCATTTATCAAGGATATAGGCTATAAATTACTGCGAATATAGGAATAAAGAAATAGCGGGAAATATTTATTTAAGTTTATCTCAATAATATAAAAAAAGCATTTAAATGCATTAAGTACCTACTGTTTGTAGTTTACACGAGTTGTACACATTTAAATGAAACCCTTTTTACGGTTTAAAATTGGAAAAATATTCGTTAATTTATTTTAACTGTAGCAAGCCAACCAAAAAAACGGGTCGTATTTAAAATGGATTGTAAATTAGGTAACTAATACATTTCGCATTTTAAACCGTTAAAAGCGTTTCATTTAAATATGACTGTATTGCCAAAATCATTGGGGATTGTTCTTAACGTTAATTAATGAAGTTTACAACATAAGGACTAGAAAATGTTAATACGAATACCTAATTACAAATAAAACAAGCAAATTCGTGCAAATCGAAAACCTCCTTTTTTAAAATCGGTTAAAAATCGTCGTATATCACGATATCTTGTACATTGTAGGCTATAGCTTACAAAAGGCTATTCGTGATCCGTGCCTTGCGCACTCAATCCATGTACACTTTGAATTATACACGCAGAACTGATATAGAGATAATCATCTAAATGGGTTTGCTTTGTAACTCCTTCGTTACTTTACGACTCTTTCTACAATAAGATCTTTTTTTAACGTTGCGGCGAAATGAAAAGGATTTTGCAGATGGTACTTTCTGATGAGCTGGTACACTGGACTCTAGGAGACACACACCTACGTACAAACATATTTTTAACAACGACACGATCTTTCGAAGCTTTGTAGCCGTGGCACGAGGTTCTATATATAAATACTAAAATTAATTAATAAAATTTTGTTTTATATATAAATACTAGTTGTGCCTAAATTTGTACGCCTAAGACAATTATTTTGAGCTTTATCGATATTTATTTTGCAAACAACCTTCAAAGCTTTATAAATTATAGCTGATGCCGACGACGTCATCCACGTCCAGTCATTTTTAGATCATTCTATGAAAAGGAAAAATCATTCTATCATTTTTTTTTTTTGGTTTTCGCAGCGCAAGCAACAGAAGCCCTCAAAGATGAATTATTATTATGATTTTCCCCGGTTTTTTCACGATTTCCACTGTTTGCTTGTATTGGTCGCATCCTGTTGTTTTCTAGCCTCAACCATGCTTCAGTAAATATCAACCAACAGAAACAATTCTTCAATTTGAACCAGTAATTTCTGAGATAAGCACCTTCAAACAAACAGTTCAGCTTTGTAATATTAGTACCTATAGATGTACAACCCGTTAAATTCAGTTTTATACACTTTTGTACATACTTAATAACATTACACATAATGTTACAATTGCGTATTGGTATGTGTAGATTTCCGATCATGAGACAGGTTCGACACTCCATCCTAAAATATTTCATTATATACTTTCTGTTTGTCTACATACTATTCAGTGAAAGGAAACCTCGCGAGAAAGCTTGTATGTTATAGAAACAGAATTTTCACGACCGATAACATTTTTAGCCAACGCGATAGGTTAAGACCCGTATTCCTTTTTTGGGGGGCCCGTGCCAGTGGGAAGTATTAAAGAGAACTTAACTCGCATGGTTTAAATCTATAACAGTTAAATAAAACCTTCAAACCTCTTTAAGAATTTACTTTATTTAATGGCATAATGTCTTTTAGGTATATGTTCTTATAGTTAACTTATTTTAATATCACTTTACGTCGTACTCATTATCAGAATTTTCGCACTGTCTCGGAATACGACCCGTTACAATAAATACTTTTATAATTATATACAGTTTGACAAACGACAAATTCTATCAACTGACTTATTCTTGTAATATCATTCCAGAAAGTTCTATTCTAAAATACATTTGATAGTACTTAAAAATATAATGGAGGAAAACTATTTAATCAATAATAGTGAAATCCCACATTCCTTATGGGTTTGGGGCATAAAATATCGGATTAGGTTTCCCTGACATAAAAGGAAAATCAATCTTAGCATGTTGCGGTCATTTAAGTAATATTCTTAAAGGTAACGTAAGGAAGACAAGTAAATCATCTCGGTAACAATATAAAGTCAAATTACAATCTAAGCTAAATAAGACTAATTTACAATTAACTCTTTTAATAAAAAAAATATGGGAACCTAAATAGGACGACAGCGCATCCTAATTAGATGTTTAAGGCTTCCCATTTGTCAAGCGAACCCTATTACTGTGTGAAGTTTAAGCGTGTAGTACACATTTAAATAAAATGCTTTAACGGTGCAAAACGCGAAATATATTAGTTAAAGTCTTCCCGTAAAATCAATTCGACTTATCAAAGTAATCTGTAAATAAGTTTCACTAATATATTTCGGTTTTTAAACCGTTAAAGTGTTTTATTTAAATGTGAACCCTGCCCTTCTCTATGCTATAAATATATTCATATATTGATTCATTTGGCTAGTTGAAGAATTGTTGCGAAGAGTCGACTGTATTTATCATTAATAAGTGGTTTAAATTAATTATAAACCAAACGAGCATACAGCTAACTTATTTACACTGGAAGACTACGACTTTGCTGTTTACATATAAGGCACACAGAATTCTTATTTCCATAAAGCTGCTATAATTACTTACTTTAAAAAGCCGCTACGACGTTTTACATTTACAGGTTATACAAAGAGTTTGTGCTACTTAAATATATTCATCGATTTATTTATTTATGGCACTTAGTGCTTATATAAAATATTTTTAATATATGGGACTTCGATCCCTCTATGTGAAATACTGCCGCAGATGTCATTAACACATTTTTTTACAATCCTAACCTAAAGTGGGGAAGACCTTTCTAGAATGGCAAAAGAAAAATATACTTAAGCTATAACTAATCTATTTATTTCAGTTTACAAACTTTCACATATATAAAAAATCTCGTTTAAACACAGACGCTTACTGACCGATGTGGGTAATATAAACTAAATTATTAGGAACTCGATTGTACTATCACTCTTAAATTAAACATAGATGACCTATTATCGTATGTTAATTGTCTAATGTTAATTATTATCACAGATAACGAAATATTACAAGATTAAGGATAGGTATCGTCACCACGGCCGCCAGGGCTTCTCTTCGGGGGGTCTCCGAGTTACTAGAGCAAGGGGAGAAGGTTCTTCAGTCGGTGGTGGAGGTGTATCCCACCCAGAGCTCGCTGGTGAGAAACAGCGAGGTTCTGAAGATACCGATGATGTGGCATCTCGTGGTGATAGAGGCACGAGCGTCGGAACAGCTCCCAGAGTGCTGGCATTGACACCAGCTGGTAGAACGAGCGCGATGTCGCCATTGGACAATCGTGTTGGTACTAAACGTACACCTGAACCGGCGCCAGCTAAAAGAAATCATCAAGGTTATTGGACCAATTAATTTACAATCCATACAACTGTATCCTTTAGCTTCCTAAATCAGTTAAGCTAACAATTAAATGAAACTCGTAATTTTTAAAATTTGCCAACGTTATTCAAAATTATTCACAAAATTTACAATCCAGACAACAAAAAAAAATACCTGATATAAATATAGCAGAATGCTGCGGCGAATTGACGACATCCTCTGCATCAGATGGTGGAGTAGGTGCTGCAGCCGGTCTACTACCTGGACTAGTAGCGCAGCTTTCCAAGTGTCTTACGAGACGTCTCTTTAACCCAGCGTCCAGCCCCGAAAACTTTGTTACTTCTGACAAACAGTGTCTATACCCGGCTCGAAATCTATCCGGCGATCCGGTCCCTTCCGACCGCAATCCTTCTAAATGCTTCACTGTCATCTCTAGAATGTCGGCCTTTTCAAGTTTCGAATGCCTCGCCGGCTGCAATAAAAAATCAGTTAAGTATTTCACAGTAATGTTAAACGCCATCCAGTCTTAACTAGACGGGCTGTAGTCTCCTATAAACTCCACGCGTATACCGGTTCATAATATTATTTTTTTATGTTAGAGGATAGACAAGCGTGTAGTTCAGTTCAGTGTGATAGTAGGCTATATACCCAGGCTATAGCATCTAAGCAAGATGCACTATCGACCTAATTTGGATTTGGATATTAGGAAATCCACAGACTAAAACCGAAACGCGATTTAACTTCACTACAGCTTCATAAGTGGTTTGTCACCCGGGCGGTATTTATATATTCCTACCACCCTTTAATATCCAGATTTCCAGACGAAGTCCAATGTTTCATAAAAATTTGATTAGAAACATGTTATACTTGGTGGGGATTGAACCCACATATATTGCTAACATTAGACCAACAAGCCCTTAAATTCTATGTCGCCACTTAAACAAGTGTGTTGTTGTCTTTTACATAGAATAATATTTGCGCCGCCTCCCTAGATCATTAACGTAGTAAACGTCGAAACATAAGATTTTTTGTCTCATTCTCACCACTGACCAATAGGATCAAGTAGTAAACATTTTGAAGCGTCGTAACGCTGTGTTTATAGGAGACCGCAGCCTTAAGTGTTACACGGCAATTTAAAACCGCGTCAGCAATTAAGAGTAATATCCTCAGAGCGAAGTGCTCTTTATGAGACAAGATGAAATGCTTACGTCTTTTTTCATCGCATCGAGGATCAGCGCCTTGAGCTCGTTGAGACAACTATTGATGCGCGCGCGACGCCTCTTTTCCATTATCGGCTTGTTACTCTACAACAAGATACATACATGAAATCATTAGTTTAAGTAGCAAATGGTGACTGTGCGCCTGATGACAGTGAACGCGAAATACAAGTCATTCAATTGGCGCTTAATTTAAACTCATCAACTCTCGTTACATACATTATTTTAATGCAACCGACTTATTCTCGTAGTCGAGTATCTCTGTACTTTCTATAGTATTTTTCGTATAAGCAATTCTGATATCAGAACGTTTATCGAGGAAGGCTATAAAACATTGCTGCGACTAATAGGAGCGCAGAAAAAGCAGGAAATGTGGGAAATCGAGAAAAACTTCATCAAAAATTTCATCTTTGTGGGTTTCCGACGCGTACGCTGCGAAAACGGTTCGTTTAATATCATTAAGATACACCAAAAAAATCTCTTTAAAAGAATGATTCCTCTTTAAATGATTTAAAAAAATGTGCCTGTGACACCATATGTCTATATTTTAAGATTACTTGCAAGCTTAAATTTTTAAAGATGAAGAGAAGGAGGAACAAATTTGGATGCCCAAAATAACTATTCTTCGCGAACAAAGTCGCTGACACAGCTATTTTTCGTATATAATTGAATTATAAGCGGATGTTCCCTTTGAACTTTAGCACTTTCCACTAGTTTATCATTATTCATAGGTTCTATCTTATCATGAAAGGCGCGTGACATCAATAATCTTGACTGTGTCCAGCGACGCGTGCGCAGATCAAGGTGAAGGCCGCTTCGCGTTAGACGTGACACTCAATCACGCGGGAAACACGTGATTTATAATATTTTTGGCGAACAGATTCTCGTAATAAGTGAGTTTCAAATACCGACTCTAAATATGAAATCAAAATTAAGTTTAACGAAATTTATTTCTTACTGAGATCATAAAGATTAAATATATTTTAAATAAATTAAATTTATTTAACAATTAATTATATAATCCTAAATAATAAGAGGCGAAGCTATCACGCTAACATTAGTTGGCCAGTAAAATTAGTTAATGCCATAATAAAATTCTTTATATTCTTTTATACTTATAACTAAGGAAGCGCAATTTTTATATTACTGGGGTAAAATACAATTAAAAAATTTTAGCTCATGTCAAACCCATAGCGTAAAATAAGGTTTGTGCTTGTCGATGTTTAAAATTTCAACAATATCTAAATAAGGCGTTTTAACATTTTTTTAGTTGCTACTATTCGAAAACCAAATCCCCACGTATTCCAAAATACCTTGATTGTAATTTAAATATAACGTTAAGTATAATAATCCTATAATGTCTTTTAAATTAAGTTCCGGAAAGACGTGAATGCCAATTTGAATGCAGCCCCGTATAAAAGGCACATTACTCTAGCATCGTGTTCATTCCATGTTATCTCAATGCCAAGCCACAAGACAAGACATCTGCATATTATAACTTGACAGAACAATGCTATTTTAAATACAATATACTACTTCGGAGTCGCCATATTTAATGTGTAAATAACACGGTTAATTAAGTTTACGTTTGGTTGCAACATATAAGATCCACGTACGTCATTACTGACGTTGAGTACTTTTAGCTAATTGTAATTTTAGAAAATTTTACATTAGTTTAAATTTCACAAACGTAATTACATTAACAAAATTTACATGTAATTTTTACAATTATTATTGTGGCTTTGTACGTGAGGTTTGTACGCCCGTTGTTCATGTTTATAATTTTATTTAAAATTAAATTTCAACGTTCAATTTGTATTAAACACAAGTCATGACGTGAAATATAACGTTTGTACAAGCTACATGTACAATAAAGAATATTCACAAACTATGTATTATATAGTGGTATTTATATGTACAATATACTTCTGAACGCACTACTACAAGTTAAAACTATTGAATCAAGTTTAATTAAATATATTAATTTGTATTGTAATAGTATAAACGTATTATGGAATGTAACCAGTTATTATCATTAATATTTACATATTTGCATTTCCATTGTGGGTGTAGTTGCTGAAGTATTTAAGAATGGCTCGCCGTGACGTCAAGTTAGGCGGCACGTGTCGTAGTCGAGCGAGGATGTCATCGCGTTTAAGTCACTCTTTATTCATAAACGTTTTCAACCCAGCAGTCAACAATAACGAGAAGTAAATAGCTGAGACGTTATAAAATTCAAGGTCATCATATCTTTCAAGTAATAACCTTGTAAGTATTGTGTGTAGTTCACGCGAGTAGTAGACAGTATTTATACCTTAGATGGTTGGAAATGCAAGTTATTTAGTTAACGGGGGGTCCTTTGTGGCCACGGCTTCTGTATTTACTGTTAACAAACCAGTTTATACTGTTAATAATGTAAAAAGTGTTAATTAATAGCTCAATGGTCAGCCATCGTTCCACATATCATTGTTTTTCGGGCTGTTTCTCATGATGATGACGTCCGCTCGTGGCGAAATGTCGAGATCCTCTTCTCGCTTACGTCGGCCGACAGCCCGAAAAGCAATGATATGCGCATTGATTATTGTTCAATGTTCCGTGTTCAAAGATTAGATTACTAAATTAATTATTTTGTAGCATGAATAGTTAAATATTATTTTCTCTCTACAGAAGATAAACATACTAGGATTCATTTTGTAATTTCAAAGGGCTTAATTAATGTTTAAAATAATCGATACCTATTTATTTCTATTGATAAAGAGCGTTAGACGACAGTTTACGCAATAGTTGGCGAGTCACCGAGCTCGAAATTAGACGGCGCCTGCTGGCACACGTGTCTTTTTCCACCTAGCGTCTGGTTATGGAGGTGTTCTTACTAAATATTGTCTGTAATTTACGCGAATAGTACACATTTAAATAAAAACTTTAACGGTTTGAAAAGCGATATATATTAGTTAAACTTCTTTGAAAATTACTTTTAACTATGGGCCGACGTTCTCCTGAGACAGTGGCTGCTGGAAAGCATCAAAAACGTCGGGCCGCAGTTAAAAATAATGTTCAAATAAGTTTTACTAATATATATCGCGTTTTAAACCGTTAAAGTGTTTTATTAAAAGGTGTGCTTAATTCTGTATGGTTTTGACATTGTCTAGTCTTCGCAACAGAGACGGTCATCCTCTTTTGTTAGCGATATTCCTGGTTTTCAGACTAGCATCTCAAGAAAACGTTAGTAATATGTTATACGTGACCCGATATATTCTACTGTTGATACATTGATTGGTAAATCGACTAACGATTCCCATAAGTATTGAAATAATTAAATTGATTCTATTGCCAGGGTCACTTTCAACAAGCTATTTTCCCACTGTTGGCACAAACCCAGTACTTAAAAGAATGCGCTTTAACCGACATCCGCTGCACACATTACACAATTAAATAATACTGGCACATACACTGAGTAATTAAAAAAAAGCTTCAACTACTCGAGTTAGATGATTGTGACGTGAGTTTATACGAAATAAAATAATTACTCAAATGTCAAATTAGAGTTTCATCAAAGCCAATAAAATGAATAAATCAATTTGTTTCAATATTTACACCATAACATTCAGTATCACTAGAATAAATAGCGTGGTGCTATCCCTTACAAACTTACTTACTTCTACAGTGGTTATATGGCTAAGGTATTTGCCGAATTGTCTTAGACGTTGCCTTTGAAGCCAAAGCTTAGTTTGGACTTTCACGATTATTAAGGCCTTTATATTCAGCCAATAATATATGTTAAGTCTCTATTATAATAGAAGCGCGATATCGTTGTGCATCTAAGAAAACTCGCGCCATTTCTTTTGTTTCTAATGTAACCATGGAAACAATAATGTATTGTTGTTTAATCTATGTGACATTACTAACTGAGTCGGCGATTTCGTACTCGTAGAATAGTTATTTTGGGTCTCAATTTCTGTTTTGCTAGCCTTCTGTTCAACTTTATAAATTTAAGCTGAAACCCACGACGCGTCCGCGTCCCGTCGTTCTTGCAAGTAAATCTTAGAAGATAGACATATACTGTCGCGGACTTTTTTTTGATAATTCAAAAAAAAAAATTTTGGGTATCAATATAGCATAGTCTGAATAGGCCTTTAGTCTATATTAGACACTCACCCCTAGCATTAAATTGGCACGGTTTGACCACTTGGCTGTCTGCGGGACGTATGCTGGTCTGTCGCGTGCCAATGCGTGGGAGCTGTGGCTTCCGGGCGCACGATTCGCACCAACGCGCACTAATAGCTATGCTCATATAATCTACCAAACACATATGAGTTTTAGGCCACACGCGGGCAGGGAGGTAATCTAAACACTACTTGGAATCGTAATACAAAGAAATATCATATAGTTATTTTGTAGTGCGTTACGTTACGACGTTAACTGTTACGACTTTAAACAAAATTACACCGCCTAATCGACTGCACTTTTGTGTAGGCGTGTTACTCTTGTTGTGTAGGCGCGAAATTCAGAGCTCTAATTCTCATTGTATAGTTTAAATTTAAAATAACCAATATAATTATGGAATTGTTAAAAGTTCGGCGTATAAGTATATATTAACATTTATAAATTAACTTAACTTTTAAATTGTACTTTGCCAGTCACAATTTATCATACTTTATCATTCATTATATTTTAATGGGTAATTCATACTAATTAAACATTATTTCTACTAACATTACTATATGTAAGTACTATATTTAGTATAAAATATCCTAAGTTACTACCATCTGAGGACAGATTATAGACAATAATGGATTATAGACTGAGCTATCTAATAGACCGACGACCACACGTAACGTCAACGTTCAAAACATCTCGGTAATGTATTGTGGGCGACTATAACGTTCCCACGACAATTAGCTCACGGGTGCCCACTCTGTCCACCACCCACGCAACGTGAATCACGATCGTCTGGCGCTACAGGGCTGCCAACGTTAATCTTCTTTTTATGACGAGACCAGACATAGGAAATGCCACAGCCCTAAATAGTCGGCCTATTTTGGCATTTTTATGCAAAACCACAGACTGAAATCGAAACATTAACTCACAAAGACACCGACCCGATCGGAATTTTGATATTCTACCATCCAAATTAAACGTTTTTACCAACGTTGGGTTAAAAAGTATTAACAGAAATAAATTCAAAATGCACTAGGATTTAGCTTTTCATTTTAATATAGATTTGTTAAAAAATATAGAAATAGGTAATAATGTACGAACATACTTGATCGGCTGGTAATCGAATCCAAATGCATGGTTACAATTGTATCGACTTTTAGCTTAGATTGGAGCGAATATATATAGTTTCCATGTTATCATCCTCTATACCCACTTCCGACGTTATTCGCAGAAGTAAAGAATTTCTATTAGCATAGGTGGCAGGTAAAAAACGGCTAAACGGTTTCACAAGCCGACTCCCGACGTATCACACAAGAAACGGATTCTAGGTATATGAAATAATTTTGTTGCCTGCATTACGCAAAATATAAAATAAATATTTTTTAAGTGAATCTGTTTATAATAGATAATATCTGACTGCTATTATTCTAAAGATACTAGGCTAACTAGAAGTATACTTAGTTAATATTAACATCGTAAAAAGTAATTCGTCGTATTTATATGTTTCTTTAGAAATTTAAATACTTGCAGCTTATTGATATGTTATTTAGATTATAATTAAGAGATTAGGCTGTCAAAATGCGCATTTAACGCAGGCAGAGTATAGATACTATATACCTTATTTCCTTAATTTAACGTCATAAATATCGAAATATGAAAACATAAGGAAGGTTTTAACATGGCTAGATAATATTTACATTATTGCAACACGAGCATGTATGGTTAGCGAGTCGCGAAGACCGAGCGTCACGTTTCCTCGTGAGTTGTAAATGTTCCTTTGTGTGAAAAAAACACTAGATAAACGGCACGACTTTGGACTTAATCTATGCCAATTATTGACCACCTCTCGCTAAATGGTTAACACTTCTTAGCATTGCGTTAAGCGTGAGTTAGAATATCGACAAAACATCATAGCTTAAATCGGGCGGACCTAATAGTTGTAAATAAGATCAAACAAGCGCAAAATAAATTAGATAGCTCATTTCGCTATTAACTATTCTATATATCGGAATTGTTTAATATAGCTTTAGCTCAATAAATTCTTAAATAAGCTAAAACTTTAAGTGTCATACGGCATACCTATGTTTGATATAATCATAGATACCTACGGTCGTAGGTACCCCTGAATTAATCTCGATGTTTTTGTATTTGTTGTGTGAAGGCCTATTTATAAACGTGAATTATTTTTATACACCCTTAAAGGTAGATAAATAGTCACAACAGAACTGTTCAAATTTTAAAAGTAAGATATTTAAGTTTAAAATTCAAATATTAAATTCAATCAATGGATGGCTTCATTGAACTGTGATTTACAAAGTTTATTATCGCTATGACGCAAACATATATGTAAATTATAGTAATTCTTCTTAAGGTTTCTTTTCAAACGATCGAGGCTTTGATGTATAATTATAAGTTAGTCATATTATAAGCTGTCGTAGAAATAAATCTTATTTAAGTTTTAGTGTTAGTCGGACATAGACAGAGAGTAGAGTTAGAGTTATTTGAAGATAAAAAAAATACATACATACTTAGTGAATATATAATAGATATTTATTAGAGTAAATTTTTTGTAGTGAATGCTATAACAAAATCATAACAAAGTTTAATAGGTAGTTAGGTATATCTTATCTGTTCTGACTCTTTAATTTCTTAAATTCGAAAACATGTAAATATTTTTAAAATATTACAGGTACAAATATAAAAAAAACACTATAATTATTAAAAATAAAAGAATATATAAAAGATATTTAGTTTTTTTAATAAAAAAATTGTGAACTAAAATAATAACTCACTCTTCTATTATCACCAGGTTTTTTCTGTTCAGCTCCATTGGCCGAGCTCATATTTGCAGGATCTGCCTGACCGCCAGTTACGCCGGTCACCATAGTGTCAATAACAATAGTCCACACGAATGTTTATTTAGAGTAAACTGTTTTGCATATCGCACGAGCGTAGCCGACGACTTTACCGCAGTCACACGTCCGCCACGTGCAAGCTTTGGCGCGCGACTGAAGTTAAAAAGACGAACCGCCGACGCCAGAACTCGCAGAAGACTTTTTCACTTGCATGCAGGGCCGACCGCACGATGCGACGCCTAAGGGACACAGATTAAAAAATACAGCATAGTCACTGCATATAAGATGTTGTTTAAAAAAAGTGTGAATTTATTGAGGCCGTTGCATTTTCCATAGAATATGCTTAATACGTTAAGCTAGATAACTGAGCCGTAGAGACGGTTTAAACAGTAATACAGAAATATAACGAATCAATATAGAATCTTGTCTCTACTTTGATATGGATCGTTTTGAAGTAGAAATGTACATGAATACCAGAATATTCTCTATTATGTCGTGGTTAATATTTTTCGTGTAAGCGGTGTTTTTAGGGGTAAAATAATATTCACATAGACCGTATGTATATTTTTTTGAACTTCTTAATACAAAATTTGATTGAATTGTCATTTTATATAGATAAATGTGTTTTGTAAACTATGAGACGGTGAGGATAGATCTAAACGCTAGGTAAGGATATTTTGTAATCGGTGGAGAAATAAATACATTGTAAACCGTACATTTAATTAATAGTCGCAACTTGATTATTTAAAAGATGTTAGCAAGCTACTACATTTAGTCTGTGGCTCAGGGTACATGAATGGCGATCTCGTGGCCCTTCGCTGCGCTCCAAACTCACGAAGGCACGCGTCGTCGCCACGCGGCCAGAAGACGTCTTCGCGTGGCGGGCGATATGCCTAGCACGAGACGATTCATACGATAATTAAGTTAGTTAATTTTCTTGTATTCTTGATACCTTATTCTGCTTTATATTTTCATAAGAGAAAAATCTTTGTGCTCTCTGTTACTGTCTTTGTTAAGATTGCAACACGATCTGAATTAGCTATAAGAAATTCAGCTAATTAAGAATAACTGGACTCATATATTTTGAACATAGGTAGGTATTACTATGTACGACTATGGACTGCAATTATTTTTTATGATGGACGAGATGGTGAAATATATCTGCCATATAACAACTTATCAAGATGAGCTGTCTGTCTTACTTATTATCTTTTAAATTGTCGAATTGGTGAATAACGAATCTTGTTTAGATGTTACATAGCTAGAGTATTTCACATTAAGTAAGCCCAATGTTTGTCTTTGTTGTTTTTTCTTTTTTAAAATAAATAATGTCTGTACATAGCACCTACATATCTTCAGCAATAAATATATCTGTCAAGTAATTCCTAATCTTTACTTCTTAGTTCTTATACCCAATTGAGATTATGTTGCAATCAAATATACAAATTAATCAACTATTTAGTATTCCGTCTTAGAGCTTAGTCTAGTTTAAGCCGATGATCTGAACTTAGCATCCATTTTACATAATTTAGACTACATACAGAGCGCGACAGATCAAAGCGCTGCCCGCCTGTATTCAACATCCACTTTGCATATGCAAGGCAGCAACGACTAGCCATTACGTCCTAATGATGTGCTTACGAGATGTACTATGGGCCAATTTACCTTTAATAAGATATAGGTATCGTAATCATGACTCCAAACCTCAAAGAATTACTTCTTACAGATTTATATTCTAGATTTAAAAGAACTAGTTTGTCTATACTATACATAAAATTATGCAAAAGGAAGCGTGGGTAAAGAGGGTCAGAATAGAGCCAGACAGGCACGGGGTTCATGGTAGCCTATTTTGTCTTTGGATATTCGGAAATCTACAGACTGAAACCAAAAGGCGATTAAACGTCAAGGCTTTTTCATCTGTGGTGGTACGTGACCCGGACGGAATTTCAATATTCCTACCAACCAATAGTCCAACATTTTTAACTCGAAATAAAACACGCTAACAACCTTTGTACTTTCGCTATTCTTTATATGAAATCATATGGGAAAATAAATCTTTTTCTTTCACAGTGTTACCATGTACTACGTACTCATGTGGCTCCATTTTTAAACACTCTATAAACAGTGCGTTGCTTGAACCAAAGATTACTTAGCATATGCAAAGCCTGCTTGGACACGGTTTCATGGCATACAACTATTGTCTATTACCCACCCATGGAGGTCCTAATTTAAATCAGAATGTTATTGTTTCGATTTACCTTACTTTTATGGTGTTTTTAAATTAGACTCATCGGGCTACCACGGTCACTAAGAGACTCTAGACTGTCTATATTTATATGTTTATTTAGTTAGAGTTACACACACATTCCAATACAGGTTATTAAGTTTCTTACGTACGTTTTGTAGTTCCAAAGTTACTGAACCTGGGGACACTGAAAACCGGCGCTCTTCGCTTCGGTGATGTATAGACCAAGTGCTTTCTTTCATCAACAAGCTGTCTTTTGATTTTAAAATAATAGTCTATAAAATAGTATTCCTACGCATTTATAGTATAAGTATAATATAAGTATTTTATAAATATGGTTATTTTATAAAAACATGATATTGTGTGTCTCGCTAGATCTTGCTGTTAAGTTAGCATGTTGGATAGTATCACTATATATGGATAAGAATATCAAAAACTAAACTAAAAACTAAGCTAAAGATTTTTGGTGGCAAAGATGAGAATACCGTATTATTTAACGGCCATGTAGACTTTTGTTTTCAGTCCACAATCTGTTAGAGTAAGTAACTATTTGAAGGAAGATTCCCGGAAAACAATGTCCGTTAATTTTTTTATTTATAATATTGTGTAACTGTTACAATTTAACGGTCCAGATATTTTTTACCTTCGTAAAGAAGCCGTCAACAAATATTCAACTGGCAACCAATAAACAAAAGAACTGATCTATTTTAAAGCGTTTTATGACTTAAAACTGGACCAAATATTACTTCATGTTTTTGTTCTATTTGTTAAAACTGCAGTTAGTGTTGTTTTCAAAAGTTTTTATAATTGCTATACTTTTTGTTAGTAGCTAAATCTGTAGTCAGTTCAATTTGACGAGCTCGTTGGTCCAAGAACAATGCATGGCTGATAACCAACGTTTCATGGATTTTATTTACCGGGTCCAGTGTGTTTATTATTATTTAAAAAAATGAAGAAATCTATTAAATTATTAAAGGGATTAAAGGGATGGTACGAATAGCGAAATTCTGTATACTGCGCACACACATACATTCGTAAGTTAATCCAACATTATAGTTTCGATCTGTGGATTTCCGAATGTTCGAAGCAAGAAGAGGTCGACTACGTATCTTTATAAGATCTTATAGGGCTTGGATTTTTAATTTTCTTATCATTATACAATGCTGTTTAATAAACACAAATAATAATACTTTTAAATTTTATTATAGCTGTGTTTGTCTTCTGCAAGAGTGAAAAAATAAATAAATAGGTAATAATCATTGTGTCAGCTTTAGTATTAAGGAATACCGTATTAGGAGAACTTGTTAATATAGCCACAAACCTTCCTTAATTATAAGAACAATACTTTTAGAGCGTTGACAGTTCGTTTTGTGCGGCTTTCAACGTTGAATTGGTTACGCAGCGAGAAACAACCAACATTTCTCCTCTCCTAACAAAAAGGTGGTAGCAATAAAACTTGTGTCCACAACAAAGGGGTTCGATTCTCCGAAACACCGCTGCGGTCAGTCAATAATAATTGGTGACGAATAAATAAATAGCCAATGAGCCGAATGGTATACATTATACCGGTCTGAAACGAATTGTGAGTTGTGGAAATAATCGAACTTGGTGTCGGCACTCATTAGCGACAAACACAATAGGTGCCCGAAGGAAATACAAAGCTTAGTAGAAAACAATAGTGCGTTTTAGGCAAGGATGGTGACAGACGGAGACCACATACTTACACAGGCCACCATCAACTTAAACCAGTTCTTAACAAGTAAATACAACTATGGCTATACTGTATGAAAGCGACTAAAAGAATCCTTACTAATATTATAAATGCGAAAGTAACTAAGTGTCTGTCTGTCTGTCTTTCTGTCTGTCCGTCTGTTACTCTTTCACGCCAAAACTGCTAAACGGATTTGAATGAAATTAGGTATACAGATGGCCTACAGTTTTTATTGCGAATAGGGGGTTGTAAGGGGTTAAAAGGGGGATGAAATATTGTATGGAAATTCGTGGTTTTTGAAGCTAGAACAATGAAACTTTTTTCTATGTCTTTTTGGGAATAAGAGTGGGAGTGGGAGGAGGGGTTGTCGTGGAGTGAGTGTAGGAATGAAATTGGGAGTTAGAGTAAGAGTGATGTGCGGTGAGGGTGTTACGGCAAAGTAGCACTTATTATAGATCGGCTACCTTAAATGCCCCTTCATAAATTAATAAACAGCCACAATAATTAAAAATTCTACCCCAATTCACTATTTCACGCGGGAAGTCGCGGGCACAGCTAGTATGATATAAACACTATTTTAAAGACTTAAGTATTTTGACCGAATGCTATGTATGTAATAATAATCGACGGATCTCAAGTTCGATCTCCACCGTATGCAACATGTTTCTAATCCATTTGTAATTTTTCTAAAACATGTTGGATTTCGTCGAAAAATCTGTTTACGTCTGTAAATTTCCGTATATACAAAACAGAAATGATAGAGTTCGATAGAGCATCTCGGTTAGATTTTAGACTAGATTCTAGGGGATATTACCTTCCACCAAGCGGACCTCCTTGCTTGTCGTCTTTTTTGTATTAAAAAAAAATAGATTTTCTTTATAAAGTAACAATAAAAGTATAAAATCTATATTTAGTAATCATTACTACAAACTTATGAAGCTTAATTTTTAGCATCGATTCAGTGTTTTAAGTGTTTAAAATGAAACATACATTCTTAGATTTAGGTGGTAGCATGATTTGAACCAGAAACAATTGTTTCGATCAATTGTGGTACAGAAAGCGGATGAACCCATCCGATATATGGAATTTACTTATTTGCCTGGTATTATTAAATATCAAGTAAGACACCAAAGAATATAGATGTTTCGAAACAAATTATGTCTTCAGTTCCTAATCTGTAGAAACCGTTAATTTTTATGACGCAACCTTCTGCAAGTTTGTAACGGGCATTGGTAAAAAAAATGTGAAACAAACCTAGTAATAAATGTGCCCGTCGTTAAGCATTGTGTTTGTGCCTTTGGCGGCTTATATTCTTCAAACCTTCGTTAATATTTTGGTGTTTCGAATAAAGAGAAATTGACGGGTTGAAACGAGCACATTACCTCGGTTGGGACTATACAAATTATTTAGCAAACACACGTCGAGTCGGCGAAATTACTTTGTTTATATTCATTGCAAGGGTTTATTGCATTTCTTTGTAAGTTTTTATTCATAATCTTTACGATGAGGCTAAGAGAAAGGTTTGAGTTTTAACTCTTAAATGCACCGTAATTATTGGTATAACAAGTTTGCAAAACAGTTTTAGGAATATGGAATGTCCGTTTTAGTAGCTTTGGTAAACGCATTGATACATCGATCAGTAAAATTTTCTAGACTAGTTTAGATTTTTAATTCGGATTGGACGATAAAAAACGTCTATGACTATGTCAGTAGTCATGCAGTTTGCCCAACGTGTTACGATCTTAAACAATTTCGACGCCTTCGTAACTTCAATATTAACTTACGACACGGCATATCTCAATTTTCAATTGGAATGTCGCACCTGCACTTGCTAAATTGCCGCCAAAAATCACGATACTGACGTAATTACAGCTTACAACGTAACGTGATAAATATGGCCGCAGCAAAAACCGCTCGAGGCGAAAACAAACATTAGTTTTTATAATAATTGGCGGATCGCGTCGCTGTCGCTGATATTGTAAATATTGCAAATTTCATGCAAACGTACAATTTTATCGCCGAACCGAGAAAGCCATTCAGAAAATGATCGCCGCGCAAACAAATAAAACAACCACCACATTATATCGAAGTTTATTTTTGAGAACAATCTACAAAAATACACTTACATTTTCGTATCTGGAATAATGTATTATAATTACACGAATGATATAAGCTTATATTAAAACTATGCATTAAATAAAAGATATAATTTCATTGTGTTAAACGTAGTTTGAGTAAGTTAGGAAGTAATTTTGTTGAATTTAGTCATTCATTAGTCTGTCAACAATCGACTTTTTTATTGTAGATTGATATAATAAATCACCATAAATCTACCATCTCCAATACAACATGAGATTCGCTAGAAATTAAAAAAATAACCGCATTTATTATTTTTTTTAAGAAAGAAAATTTCATTAAAATTATACAATACAATAGCCAATAATTGCATAAAACAATTAAAGATAAAACGTATCTATGATAGAACTGGGGAGTGTGTATGAATATATATAAAATTATTTCTGAAGCAAAAAAGCCGCTGGTTTTAACCATGACGTTTTACTAAGCTAATATTGTTATTAGCTATATGGATTTACATAATATGATTCGGATTCTCTAGAAATACATTTTTAAGTGATTTTCCGTTAACTTTACGCAGAGCTTGCGGTCAGACACAATTTTGTGACCGATTCGACCGCAGGTAATCTATAGATATTTCCAACATCACACATCTCAATACAAAACAAGCTAATATTTTGCCAATTCCGTATACATGCAAATAAATCAGGTATTATATATTTTTTTTATTTTTCAGTTAATTATAAATTTATTTTGATATGAGAATCCATAAAATATCTAGAATTCTTTAAACATTACGCAATTTTAAGTGATAAGTACCGAATGTACAACAGTTAGCCACCATCTTGATAGTCATACACACTAATTACGTTTCAACATCCTTAAGTAATTAATGGAATGATTAAATAAATTTGCTAACGCCCATATGGGTTCCAATTACGCTAATTATAAAAACAAGTAACAGACCCTGGCATTTCTAAATTAAATACATCGAAGCGAACACATTTAATGTTTTCCTCTGAAGATTTTGGAGAAGGATTTTGAGAAGAGATTTTTAAGTATAACAAAAGTCCGGTAAGAAAGGATATTTTATAGAGTATGGTGAAGGTTCAGTAATATTGGATTTTAAATATTTTTTTTTTTATGATTGAGGAGGACAGCAACCATGGAATTCACTTATGCGCTGACGATCTATTTTGGCTTTGGATATTCGGATGTATAACGTTACATTGAATTAATAGAAGTTTTCATAAGCTTTGAAAAAAATACAGGACTTTTAATGCCCTAAAGTCCTAAACCCTTTTATGTTCGCTTCAATGCATATTATAGTTATACCTTGAATGAACTATTATTCCACAATGTGGTAATTAGCTAATCGTATAAGTAGTGTCATGAAAATGCCTTTGGCTTACACTTAGTAGTTACATTTTTGGATTGTTCCATTAAGCTAAAATAAATTAAGAACAGCCATTGTGAAAATACAATAGTCAATTTGTACCAGAGTGATTAAACATAAAAAAATATTTCATAACAATGATAATTAAAGTAACTTTGTGTTTTTTCTTTCGTTTATCAAATCGAATTGAAAATATGAAAAATGCTTATAAATTATTTTGCTATATACCTACTTATCTTGAGAAATAGCTATATAATCATCACAGACGTTCTTGTAATACTTTCGAATCAATTTCCTTATCGTCGTAACTTTTAAACATTCCGATTTAATGTGTTGATTTTATTTACAAGACACTTTTTGTTTAAAAACAAGTTTTTCTTCGATTTACTATTATTATCGGATGATTAAAATCTAATTTCATTATTGTATTCAGTAGTAAGGAACATAAAGTACACTGAAATCTAGCTACTCAGTTGAAAATCTTATTTATTAAAGTTACTTGGGTTTCGAGCTGTTCGGCCGTCTTAATTGAGAAATGTACCTCGTCGTACCCCAAGTACCTTTACTAAAAAGTAGTTAAACTTATTTACTTTTATTTACATGTAATAATTCATTAGCACCCTAAATGTAGAAGTTCTTTGTATACAAATTTTTCTTTACAATTCATTCATTCTCGGTACAAAAATATTTAGTACAAAATTCGTTAATTTTCTTTCAATATTTTACAAGTAGACATCTTGGTACTTCAAGATCACTACGATGAAACTTATGTAGTTCTCATAAGGAGAGATAGTTCTTAATTTACATCGGGGCAAGTCTGCTAAATACCACAGTGAACCGACAGTTTACCAGATCACCAATGAGCTGTTTGACAATGCGAAAAATATAACGCAAGTCACTGTTATTAGTATTAAGTATAAATTTGGAAATAATAAAACAGTCACATAAGTCAAAAATAAAGATTGATTTAAATAAGCAACCGCAAAGAAAAATTAACTTTCAAAATTTGTCACGTGACACAAAACGCTCCTGATTGGTCGGGTTTATGACGTCACTTGCTTATAAACCTACTTCCTTCCTAGTGTTAAAACTTATCTATTCTCTGCATCATTATCTTAAATTTTGACTCATTTTTTACTTCAATCTTTGTTGAAATATTAATGTTTGGTACAAATGCATGTAAACTTCCACAACCACCAATGGTCGTAACGCATGACGTCACTAGCCGTATAACAGTGTTATTTCGCGAAATTAGCGTTTAGGAGCACAATTTAAATGTTGTTTTTTAATTTGATATTTTTCACAATATGTATCAGAATTCAAAAGTTCTACTTTGTGGGGATCTTTAACATCTAACAAATAACAGTACATTTTAAGAATAGGTCAAACAGCCCATTGGTTTGCCAATGAGCTACCGATGACACGTTTAATTAATTTATCATAATGCAACTTCTCAAGTCTTACAGACAAAACTATTTCTAGTAGTATATCTAAACACATATATAAACATTTTGGTCAACCTTTATCAGATATCTAATGCTGAGCCCATCTGATCTAGTCTGTGGATATAAAAGTTGCAATTCACTAATGAAATATATGTCATTTTTAAGTTGTTAGTCACACTGCGGTGTCGTAGTGTGCCGACAAGGGCAGCATTTCCTAAGATTCCGGGAACAGTATACTGTCGACCGGAGCTGACGCAGTCATATCGTCGTTGTCTGGTATAGACCAATCCTGGAACACATACATTAGGAATTTATATGTATGAATACAAAAACATTATAATTAGACAGGTGCCAGACTTATCACATTAAATTTTTCTTTTAAGGGTTTAAAACGCGAAATGCATTCGTTACCTTAGTTACAATTTATTTTAACTACGATTATGATAATTGATCTAAAATACTAATTAGTATACATTTCTCTTTTTATAGGTTAAATATAATTGCATATTACTTAAGTAGTATAATGTAACGTACCTGTTCATCGGTGCTCGCAAAGAATAAGTAAAAAAGATTGGCGCCTAAGTCTATGGCGGCTGCTAAATAAAACACCTCGCGCCATTGACCCAATGTTTGCTGTTGGAAAAATAAACACTATGAGAAAAATGTTAAAGAATGTACAACAAATCTTTAAAGTTTTTAAACAGTGTTGAATCAAATTTTACTCATTTATTGCTATTTTTTTACTGTAAAAGCTATCCAATGGTTCATGATAATCCTTTCCATGCATATATGAAGTTTTTCGACCAAATTTGTACCTTCAAAACGGTCTTTGCTAGTTAACCTATACATTTTTTCTAGATTATTTAAAAAATAATATTTTTTGATATCTTAAAGCTTTTCGCAGCACATGCAACAGAAACCGTCAAATGCGGCAGCGAAAATTCCGAAGAAACAAATGTTTTTTCCACTTTTCCCATTATTTCTTCGCTCCTATCGGTTGCAGTCTAAGTCTGTATAAAACATTTATAACATAAAGTCTTACTCGATAAATGGTCAAACCAAAACAAAAATACATTTTTAATTCGAACCAGTAGTTTCTGGGATTAGCGCGTTCAAACAGAGAAACTCTTTAGCTCATATTTGTGTAGATTATATGCAACTTGTTCTTAAGCGGAATCAATTAATTTGACTCACCTGTTCCGAGCTGATGATCTGCCCGATAACATAGGGCGCCATGAAACCGCAAATATTACTAGCGGCGTTCGTAATTCCATACATTGTGCCCGCGAACTGGGGCGATAAGTCAATGTGATTCATTTGGTTACCTGTAATTGTCGAAAGGATCAAATTATATAATAACTAAGACAAAATGACTACTATAAAAAACAACAAGAGATAGTGTAATTATATTAATATATAGCTTTATATAAAATAAAACCCAACTATTAATACAAAAAAGCAAAAGTCGCAAAGCATAATATTGAACCTCATTACATATGTACATTAAGGTTGAAATTGCATTGCGCAAGAGGTGCATGTATGAATAGGAGTAGGAACAAATTTGAACAAGGCCTAGCGGAACACGGCAGCCCAATTAATAAGAGACGGCACGCTGACGAATGCTGTGGACGTGGGTTCGAGTCCCGCCTGTGTGTACGTAATGGAAAATACATAATTAAAACACATCTTAACGCTGCTTAATGCGTAGATAATCTGAGTTGACATTATATATATAAGGCTAAGGCTGTATAAACGTGAGTCAATGCATTCTTTTGTCTTACCAGCAAATACTGCTCCACCGAACGCCGAAGTTATACTGAGTAAGAGCATAACCGCGATACGATCGCAGCCCGCCCATGCAATTCCTAGGAGTCCAAAAGCTGGTACAAACGCCGCTGAAACCAAATTTATTCTGTAAAACATAGTGTGAAAGCGTTATCCCCTCATGGGCCATAGGGCGAACACATTTCTGTGCCTGATCCGTTCTTTTACGGGCAAGTAGTTGATCATACTTCTTTGCCCCTTGCCTGACCGAAACAATTCATGTTTCCCTAGGATTCGAACCCAGGACCTCTCGCGCTTAACGCAAAAACGGCATTTAACCATTTGGCTACAGAGGCGTTAAACATGTTTTTTAATAGTAGCCTTTTGGTCACACCGTAATTATACAACTTGATATTAAGCATTTATTAATGAGCTCTTTAACAGTTCCATCTGGGCTCTTGCATATGCTAGTTCCCACCGCTGCTTTTCTTAACTAGAATTTACACAACAGTAAATAAGATGGTACAATTTAAACTCCATTAATCTTACCAATGTAAGGTACTCACACCACTAAACTAAGACGATCTTTGGCATACAAGTAGAATAAAAAGTAATAATTTACACACCAACTGTATTCCACAACTTCATGCTGTTCAACCTCGAAATCCAACCCTTAGCGAGCAGCCAATCGGCAAAAATACTGATGAGAATACCAGCGATCCACGCGGTCAGGTAAGGTAGTGCGGACAGTCGTGCATTCTGTTAAAGATTTTTTTTAAATATACCTTAGATGCCACAAAGAAAGATAAGCACGTAAGTAATAGAGGCACGCACGTAATAAAATCGTCAGCTTTTTAACTAAGACAAGTAAAAAAACAAGAAACAAAATACCGAACGAACAGGCCATTCATCAAAAGTTGGATTCTGTCTTACTTTTTGGAAAAACAGCCTTTTTATTTCTTGTTTTACGTTTTATTAGTTGTAATGTTCAAGATTCTTTATAACAAGAACCCCGATTTGGCTATAGGCCTCCTCCATACATGCTCATTTTTGTTAGTCTCGTGCACGATATGCAGCACCAGTCTATGCCAGCTTTGGCGTTTCGGGGTATACTAACAAAGTGCCAAAATACTCACAGAGACAATATCGAAATGAAGTATATTATTCATGTATGTTGGTAATTCCGTGAGTTGTGTGTAGAATAGCCATGACTGGCCACACTGTGCTATCAAGATTGCCCACAGTGGTAAGCAAGTGAGGAATTTGCACCACGGAATGGACATCGATGACTTTTCCTCCTGAAAAGAGAGAAAGAGCATTAAATAACTAAATTTAATATTCAATAATCTAATATTTGCACTGTCATAACAGATGGAATCCAATGCGACAATATATATATAACAAAAATATATGAACCTAAACCATACTATCTTTCGTAACTCAAAATAAACATTAATGTATTTGTGAGTTCACCCCAAGGACTGTAAAAAATATCTGCTTGTCGTGTAATACATTTAAATGGGTTCAAACGTGATTCGCAATGCAACTAAAGTTTTGGACTACAACTAACTTTTCAGGAATTGTGTTCATGCTGGGGACTAGTCATTAATTAGTAATGTCTGTAGTTTACGCAAGTATTGCACATTCAATTAAAATACTTTAAACGGTTTAATATATGGGGAAATGGGTGAAATGGTCAGCGGACAACGTGGACTGATCACCCGTCCTGCCGAAGGTGTCCCCGATAGAAAATAATAATAATAACGGTTTAATACACGAAATATAAAGCATAACTTATTTAACTACGGCCCGACGTTTATAGGATTTCATTTACTTCCAAAAGTACATGTTGTACTCCGTAGTGTCAAAATTATAGTACATATATTCATCAATATTATTTATAAATTATTAATTTAATTTAAACTTTCACGGGCATTTAGCAAAGCTATTTGAAATGGTTCTTGACGTTCTCATTACTAGTAGATCAAGACTTGTGCGAAATACGATTCTTTATCACGCCATAATTTTTAAATACTTGGAATAAATCATGTTATTTTCATACAAATTTCATACAACACCAGCCACATAAACCTTTTCCACTATTTCAACAATAAGTACGGCTATCACAGCGTTAGGTGCCCCAAAGACCTAGATTCGAATCGAGTAAATATAAAAATATTTATAGCTTATCATTTGATGTACCAGTCAGTCTATACCTAGACCCTATCGTAAATTATAATGAAATTAATTAGTACAATAAATTATTAACACAACTGCAACCCAGATAAACTTCTATTGTTTTCGTAAAACAAGATAATGCTTGTCAAGCAATAATTCTGTGTCATATTATAATTTAGCATCAATATAATATGCTTAAAAAATCTGTTACAACCAATATAAATAAATAAGACTCACTTTCAACAAGATGTGTATGTAAAACGAGGTAAATCTTTATATGAGAAATTAACATTGAAATAATATATTGTGTATACTTTGAAGCTTTAACAACATCATTAATTTGAATGAATTCATTAACTTAGTGCAATGGAAGATAGTCACTTTTACATCATGTATTGTATAAATATTTTTAACACGAATTATGTTAAATGTTCTTAAATCATGGCAATTAAAATTGTGACATATATGTGCTATTTGCATTATTAGTTATAAAATCATTTATTATGCTAAAAGATAGTAATTGAATATGCTGTCTACATTTACCTGTGGTCCAATAGATTGTGCGATATATTCCACCTCCTTCGGACATATTCTAGGGTGTTTTTGGGGTGTGTCATAAATTAAAAACATCCATGCAATAAACCAGAGCACACCAAGACCACCAAAGAGGTAGAAACATAGAGGCCAACCTCCCCCGAGATCCAGTGTACACAACCAGCCGGATATTGGCAGTGATATGACCGTACCTATATTTGACCCTGAAATATTAATTCAGATATTTACATGGTTATTTAGGATAGTAAATAAAAATCTAATAGCGAAACAATGGTGAGAATTATGTCAATACTAATAAATTCTTATTTTTATTGCACGCGGCTGATAATTACAAACAAATTGCATGCAATTAATAACCTTGAATGATAAATATGAACTGGCCCTATATCACATTAGGTGACTGAGATAATGTTAATATGATCCAAGTATCTGAGTGGGTGTGTATTGTTTTTGTTATAGTATTATGTTATAAAATGATTTGAACATCTATTTATCTTAGCACCTTTGAAAGTGGGTTCTATGTAATATTTCCTGCCTATCATAGTTTTATAGGAGACTAGTCTATAGAAACAACAACAAAGTTATCATATAACATACATAATATAGTCGTAAACAATTCTTACCTGCATACACATATGCAGCAAATTTTGACCTTTCCAAAGGTGGTATCCATCTAGCCAGCATTGCATGCATAGCTGGATATGTAACGCCTTCTCCAAGTCCTTCTAATACTCTAACGACAATAAAGAATTTAAAATCAACAAAGGCCGCTATGGGGCTTAATATTGTGAAAATGGCTGTCAGCAGTACGCCAATACCATACACTAATTTACCCCCAAATATTTCAGCTATCCTACCTCCTGGGACCTGAAAAATAACATATATTGAAGAAAGGGTAAATTTTTACTCTATTTACAATTCTTAGTTTTCTAACTTACCTGTGTTAAAACATATCCATAAAAGAATGATCCTAATATTATACTTTGTTGTTCTGCTGACCAGTTAAAGTCACCGGGCCTCTGTAATAGTGTGTTTATTTAAAATCTATTTCAAAATAACAATATACAGTGACTATATACTGTATTACTAGTGTACAGAAAGACTCATCTTGATATCATATTATAGACATATAACGTCATATCTAATGGCTTTAAACATGAAGCTTTGTTTTGTTTTAAGCAGTAGAAATCAAAAAATTTTTTAAACATTCAATATGTAGTTTTATATGTACATACAGTTGGTGTTGATGTATTTGAAGCAGGTGGTGCTTGACACACATCCAGTGTTTCATTTGATGGCAATGGAGCTGTTGAATTTATCATCGCTACAATAGCTACAGATAGATTCACCCTCATAGCATAAACATTGGCGAAGCCCAAAAAACCCATGATACCTAATACTGTACGGCTTTTGATCCATCCTGTTGTTTCTTCAACTAAAATATTAAAAAAATAATTTAAATAAGATATTTATTATTACTTTAATTCAAATAATAAGACAGTTTTAAACATGAGAGGCCTATGATATTGTTGTAGGACAGAATCCTAGAAAAACAATAAAGTTTAAGGGCAGGAAACAAGGAGTTGATCAATTTCTTATCTGTAAATAAAATCTATCAGTGAAACAAACATAAAAATTGGTCTGCCCATTTAAGTCCCGTAAGGGAAAAGGGATTTCACTAGTTACTTTTTAAACTTACACTAATAAGAACAATTAATATTATAATAATGAAATTCATTCTGTCTGCATAAGTTACGTTATATGAGAACAATAAGCGCGTAAATCTCACCAATTCCTGACTGAACTAAAGTTCTGCGGCTACTGGTAACATCATTTTCAATGTCCTCATTTATTATAGGACTTTCATCATTTGGTAAAGACATGGTTTAATGATCCAACATGCCCCAGTATTTAGTTAAATGCCAAATATTATCACTCTGACCTATGTTTTCCACACAAAGTTATGAACATAGAAATGTTGAATGACTCATGAATGTCGTATATTATTTAACTGGGTAACTGGAATAAATCGTAAACAAAGGAAATATTTTACGTTGGCTTAGAACATTTTGTACATCTGTCTAATGTCTATTCCATTTGTCATTGTCAAATACAAAGGTCACAGATTGAAGAAGGTTGTCTAATGTCCATTTTATATGTCAGTGTCAAATAATTTTAGTAGATATTTATAGATTTAGTAATACGTCCTTATTCTTAAATTGAGATTTGCTTCATCAAATTAAGAAGAAGATATTTGCTTGCTCTAGTACCTTAGTAATATATTAACTCAAGGCGAGGGGAAATAAAATATAATTTTGTATGTTAAAATATTTCTATTTTAATTACATGAACATAAATGCCCTACCATACCCCATACAAAACATTATTTATTATTTAGTCATAATTACATATTAAAATGCAGCCTTTAAAAACTGGACGAATTACGTATATAAACATTGATAACTACATTAAATTACACCAGTGGCCAAAAATTCTTACTGAGAGTTGGTATTAGTAATCCCATAACTACGGTCGAAATTAGGTTGACACTATTATTGTCCAAAATATTTTTCCCACTTATATGTTTTACGGATACACTGGAGTGGGATACTATTTTGCCATCTTTATCAATGCCTGAAAACAAAAATTAACAATCAGTAATAAAATCGAAACTGGTTTTATAAAATCCCTACTAAATCACAAGATTATTATATATTCAAAACCTAACATAGACTAAGAAAAAAAATATACCACTATATTGTAATGTTGCTCCCATAATAGAATCAATCATACTTCCAATAAGACCCCCCAGTCCACCATATACGATAATTGGCCACTGAGGAGGTGCATACATCCAAGTGGTTCTGTCAGCAAAATACAAAATTGATAGGTAATGTGCAACACCTATAACAATACCCGCAAGTGTACTTAAAACGGTTCCTATAAAACTTATTCCTCCGTTTGTCCCTTTTGGTACTTTTTTAAATGATGTTATCAAGTAAGGATCAGATTTTGATAACACTGTGCCAAGTTCCGAGGCCCAAGTATCACCATTACAACAAGCTAGTACTCCTGTAATAATAAAAAAAGACATGTTAGTTAAAAGTTTAAATTATTAAAATATACTACATAAATACTTATTATTACTTACCTAGAACTCCCATACTTAGCCAAGATGCTCTATAATCTTTAACAAAGTCAATAGGTCGTTCGGATGACCCAACGTCAATTAAATATAAGATACCAAGCTGTGTAGCCATTCCTCCATTGCATAAAACTTGAACCCATGTTCTTTCACCACCTCACATTATACAAAGCAAAAGTGGTGTTAATTTTTTCAATAATAAAGTAATACAAAAAATACTGCAATAACAAAATAATAATACCTGCTTTAAAATCTTCTTCAAATTTTTTTTTCAAATGTGGTCTAAAGTGTGAAGCCTTTGATGATGATAAAAAGAATATTAGTAAAGTCATCATGAAACAATAATTGGACAAAACAAGGACAAAGCCTACTACTAAAGCTAGTAGGGCACCACTTAAACTAAGTGTTTTTCTTCTATATCCATAGAAAGCTACAAGAATAGGTATAATACAAGCCGCTAACCATCTTCCAGGAGAAATCAGTGTAATTTCTGAAATAGATTATAAGAACATAGATCAGCGTTGGCATGGCCAATGTAAAATAAATCAAAAGTTATATAAAATGGTGTAACACAATAAGAATTAATTATTATTAGATATTTCAGACATATTGTTACTTTTAAGTTTAATACATACCATCAAAACCTTCACTTTGAAATATTTTGGAATAAATGATGTTGATAATCCAAAATGACATTGATAGTGGTATTGCAACAGCAATTGAAAGAACTGAGAGTACATGATCATTTTGTAAACCCTTTTTAGTTTTATCTTCTTTTGTTGCCTTATTTTTCATTTTTACGACACGATAATGAATATTTTAAAGTGTATTTATAGAGATTATCTTCTTTTCATCTTACTGTTGATACGTAAAATAGCCCTGAAATATCGTTTATATACATATAGTTAAACAATTAAGTTATAAATTGCTGTCGTAACTATATAATCAAATGTTATTTTACTAAAATAAAGGAATAGGTGTTAAGATCTTACTAACCCTTTAAGCGTACAAATAATAAATAATTTGTATAAAAAATATAAATTTCCTGTTATATTATATACCTATATAATTTATTGTAAAAAGAACAATTGATATTTATATAATTACTGAACAATTATAGTGTTTATTTATAAGCTGACGCAATGGCAATTATATGTATTATTTTTGTTATTTAAACTTTTAATTTAGAAATAAAGAATTCGTGCACAGACTTGTTGTTGTTGGAAAAGATAAACGCTTACAGAATATATTATGGCAGTGTATGTACAAGTAATTGTTACGTTTGTCTGTGCCCGTGGATTGTATACATTATAGTAGGTTTTATCTCATTTGACAATTGACATTAATTTTCACAATAGTACAAAGAAATTGCATTTTATTCTAAATTATACCTTAGTGTTTTATTTTAATGTTTTTGAAGTCTTGAGTGAATTATTGATCGTAACGAATACAAACAATTATTATTGTCTTACTAGAATAGTATTCTGAAAAATACTGAAACGTGAATGGGCGTATTAAGATCAATTTATTTAAAGTTATACTTTCGAAATACAAACAGAAGCATGAGTATTGACATTGGAGGTAAGAAACATTGCTAATAATAAATTCCTGTTTTTATATGGCGCGTCATATTTGCAGAGAACAATAACTAATTGATAAGCCAATTATTTATTATCAAATGAGGCCATAATTTGTCTTGTTGCTAGAAGATTTAATCTTCTTTTGATTGTAGGTATGAGGATTAGGTATAAGGACAAAGATGAAACATTCTTAGAGAAGCATTTAGTATCTAAAGAACCATTTGGCCAATTTAAAGCATGGTTCGAAGAAGCATGTAGTAGAAAGGAAATTCTGGAACCAAATGCTATGTGCTTAGCTACGGCTACTCAGTAAAATAATTTTTTAGTATCAAATTACTTTTCTTACTCATTCCAGTATCAATAACGGATATTTTTTTTACACAGAGATGGTATTCCCTCTGCCCGATTTGTGTTATGTAAAGGGTATGGCAAGGATGGTTTTAAATTTTTCACAAATTATGGAAGTAGGAAAGCTAGGGAAATGGTAAGGAAATGAATATTTTTTCAAGGCTTTGAGTCACTTCACAGGCAGAGTAAGTTAGAGTTAGACACACTGGTTAAAGTTATAAAGAAAATCTTAACTACGGTTTAGGATGAAAATCCAAATGTGGCAGCAACTTTCTATTGGGAAGTGCTGAACAGATCTGTGAGAATTGAGGGTTATGTTGAGAAACTGTCAGCGGAGGAATCTACTGCATACTTCCATTCACGCCCAGTACCAAGTCAGGTAGCTGCTTGTGCTAGTTATCAGAGTACACCAATTGAGTCTAGAGATATACTTTGTGAAAGAGAAAGTGTATTGGAAGCAAATTATATGATTCCAAATAAGGAAGTACCAAAGCCTGACTACTGGTAAGACATATTCTTTCTTTTGTATATCTGTTACATATATTAGAAATTAAAAACCATTTCTTTATAGGGGTGGTTATATACTTCGGCCAAAAGCTGTGGAATTTTGGCAGGGACAAAGAGATCGCTTACATGATCGCATAAAATTTAGGAAGCCAAAAAATAGTGAGACTCCAGATGGAAAGATCTTACATGAAGGAGAAGATGGTTGGGTATATGAAAGACTTTCCCCCTAAATTACAATAGCTTGTAAAATGGTTACAGGTGCTTTATAGATTTTAAGTACATTTTTTTTGTCTTCCATTTAATAGTAAGTAATATTTAAGTCAATCTACCAAATCAATTTTTTTAAGGTCTTTTGGTAATACTTTATAACTATTATTTATAATGCATTACAAAATTAAATCAAAGAGATTAAAGATTGTTACATTCAAAATGACTTCTTTATTGTTAAAATCTCTCTTTGTATTCCACTTGATGTTTTCCACACAATTTCTGTTTTAAATTTACCTGTGCCACTAATAGCTTTTTCAAATTGTCTCATACCTCCACCAACTCCAAAATAATAAGTTTTTGCAGCTACATATACAATTCCATCGTCATTTAATCTGTCTTCAAATAATTTGATAAGCTTATCATAGTTGTTCAAGTTATAAATGGTTTCAGAAGTAAGAATTACATCATATTTTTTCTCTGAAGATAACATATCATTAAATAATTTCCAGTCACCAGAATAAAATGTGCATCTCTGTATTTCCTTCATATTGTCCTCTTCTTCCATATTTAATAAAACATTAGGGATTGTTACATGTTCAAGTATTTCTTTGTTCTGAAAGAATTTATATTTAAAAAAAAAAATTTTATTCCTACACTTAAAATCAAATTTCAATGATAAAGGTGCTCACATAATCTTGAAAGGTAACTTTAGCTTTTTTGAGCCATGCATAGATACCTAATATACCAGTACCACATCCTAAATCCAACACATGCTTATCTTCTAAATCAATTTTATTTTTTTCTACAAAATCAACGAGGTCATAAGTACATTCCCATATTTTTAATCCTCCTGAAATTATACTTTATATTAGGCATACAATCATTGAATCTGTGTTTAAGTATGTAACAATGTAATAATTAAAAACTAGCAAAGGTTTAACACCATGTTTCCTCGCATGATTTGAACCTTGAGATAGATGTACTAAATCTGTGCTACTGAAGATACAACTATAAGTACTTTGAGATTAACTTACAAAATACTTTACTTAACCTTCATATTTTCCTGTTACAAGATCACTGTGTTCCTTTTCTGCTAGTTCAATTGCATTTTCTTCAACATCGTTAAATTGAATTGATAAAGCATTAGTTAAAACATGTCCGATTTCGACATCACCACATGTAAACATCTTAGCTTGTTTCGCAATGATATCTAAATTTTCAATTTGATCAGTAATTTCAACATTCTCAGATTTAAGCCATTCAGTTTTTTTATCTGTAAAATATTACAAACAATACAGTGTAGTACAAAATAATAAAGAAACAAAGTTCAGTTCAAATATTTAGTTGTTACCATTGCCTTTAGTTTGAACCTCTATATGATCAGGTTCTGGACCACTAAAATTGAACTTGAAGGTGGTCATTACAAATTAATAAATAATCTTCTAGAAGTTCTGACCCGATTAACGAAAATAAATCAACATCAATAAATTGTGGTTTTATTTAATTACTTTGGGACTTGTGTTTATAACTTTAGAGGTTGTTTGTTTACAGTAGTTTCAACAAGCCGAGTGGTATTAGTCTAGAATCTATGCTAGTCAGCTAGTCACTTTGGTCAGGTAAGGGTCACAGATACATACAAATAATAGCTATGTAGGGCTTAGACTAGGTTATGTTACGTATCACAGATATATATAACCACAGATATAGATACATCATATGCCATAGCTGACACCATGTATTTTTAGTCTTGTATTAGGGATTTTAGTTTTTACATAACTTAAGTACTTAGGTATATCGACTTTCAACCTACCGTCAAAATAATAAGGAAATTTCTTCATAATTAGACAGTGTTTTGTCTATCATAAAATATATATTTAAACGACAAGGTAGTCTGTTTAAATTTTTATATTATATATCTTCTCTATAGTGCCAAATAATGACATTATTTGAAGTCAAAATTTTGTTACAATAACCAGAAAAAAACAATATGACATAATTATAGTGTGACCGATAAAATCATTTATAATTAAAATTTATAAATGTTCATTTAAATTTGTTAATACACCAATATAAATACTAAATTATTTTTCCACAGTTATTAAGATGAAATGGAATCAAACGAGACTAATCCCATAATCGATAAAGTGGTAAAATATTTATTACTATATTACTAATATTTATAATTGTAGTAGTGATAGCATGCTTTACAATACCGGCAGTATCGAATTTATTGATACTTATTAAAAATTAAGCATATAACATATTACATATCCAGGTTTTATATACAATTTTCTTTATTTGTCATTATGTTAAGTAATCCTTAATAAAAAGTTTCTAACAATAATTTTTAGTTGTTACATTAAATTATTTTGAAATTAGAATAATTTGGAAACTTAAAGTCATATTTTTTACATTTACTAATAAACAGAAAAATGCTATATAAATTTATAATATTATGACAACAACATAACCACAGATAATGAAAACAGCATGCATCACTAGTAGGAGTTGATTCAAATTAAGCATCACCAATAATTATTATTATTCACTATACCACACGGGTTGAATGTTAGTGAATTTTTCCTTAGAGTTATAGTTTTCCATTTTTACCGTAAATAAGTAAGAACTGTGGTCTCTTTTCACCAAATACCTAAGTTATTCTGAAACAATGACTGACGTGGCGAAGAAGGTAAATTGTGTTCTTAATATTAATTCAGAAAAATAAATCTGTTAATGCTGAATTGAGAAGTTCTTTGAGTTTTCTAAATAAAAAGTAAAAAGTGTTACTATGCATTTATGTTACATCAGAACGTTTTAATAAACGAAATGCGCATCGCCATCAATAACTTTTCTATGTTCACATATTTTACACATAACCTCATAAGCGGCCATGGCCTAAACTAGTGCCGCATTTTTATCGATATCTCTTAGGAACAATTAAATTTTTTGCAAAGTTTTCCAATTTCCAGGTTCAGGATTACAAAGATTCTCTCAAACAAAAGGCTGAGCATCTTATCATAAAAGGATTTCCAGAGAAGATTGTTAAACTAAATGAGCTTTTAGAGACTCCAAACTTTGAAAATAGAGAATTAGTAGATGTTCACCAGGTATTTGTTTTGTTTTATTTAATTGAAATTTAGAAGAATAGGGCGTAACAAATACAACACTTAAGTAATATACAGTTCTAAAAATACAAATACTTTTAGATAAATTCTTGATTTGTTTTTGCTATTGTTTGTTAATCAATAAAATATCAAAAATGTTTTCAGGACCTAAACATTCCAGTACCGCCTCCTATTCAAGCAGTCAATGAGCCTAATGCTAAAAGACCAAGAGTTGATTCATCTGAAATTTCCAGCAATACAACATTAGAGGGCACAAGGGTTTACGCTCTGCCAAATGGAAGCGTCCCTTGTAATAAACCTCTTAGTGACCTTATTCACCTTGTTAAACCTCACATTAGAGAATTAATTGAGGATTCTAATCTAGTAAGTGCATAAAGTAAAATCTGTATTACTAGGACAAACAGAAGCATTTTGTTCCATTTCGTTTATAGGCAATTAAATCACTTTCTGTGTCCTACACATAATGCTAGGCAACATATTTTAACACTAAGACATGTAGCAGGTTAGGCAATATGTTTAAATATCAATTGTATCTTTTCAGCTCAAAATGTGGATTTCATTCATGATTCCAAAAATTGAGGATGGCAACAACTTTGGAGTATCAATACAAGAAGATACATTAGCAGAAGTCCAATCAGTTGAGTCCGAGGCTGCAGCGTTCTTTGATCAAATTTCCAGATATTTTATATCAAGAGCTAAAATAGTTTCAAAGGTTGCTAAATATCCACATATCGAGGATTACAGAAGAGCAGTCAAAGTGAGTTATTTGTATTTACCTTTATATAAACATATAAGCTGTCTTATAGTCTAGTGGTTAACTTAACTGCAAATCATGGGGATTTGAATCCCAGTTTGGGCAAATTTTAATATGATATTTTACTATAATTTTTTTAGCATAAGTCTTGAGTCAATTTATAATACACACACACATATATAGATTTAATAGCTATGTCCTACATACCCTAAAAGAATTAGGTGCATTTCAGAAGAATGTACTTAGCATTTCTTATTTTTGATAGTAATGTTGTAATCTATACTAATATTATAAAAATGAGAGTGGGAGTTAGAGTAGGAGTGACGTGAGGTGAGAGTGTTGCGGCAATGTAGCACTTACAACATAGATTGGCTGCCTTAAATGTGCACTTACATAAATTAATAAACAGCCTAAATAATTAAAAAATTCTACCCCATGTCACTATTCCACGCGGACGAAGTTGTGGGCACAGCTAGTGTTTTATAACTGTGTGTATTATATGAAATGAGTTGTTTAAATTACGATTAATAAATCAGACTTCTGTGCTCCACCTGATCAAAAGCTAGTTTCTTTAAATCAAGAGACAGCTATACACTTTTTATATCAGTTAATCATAGATACTATTTACTTTTGTAAAGGAACTAGATGAAAAGGAGTACATCTCCTTATGGCTGGTGATGTGTGAAATCCGCAACCGCTACTGTTCACTGCACGATATTGTCATCAAGAACTTGGAGAAAATCAAAAAGCCTCGTTCGTCAAATGCAGAGACATTATATTAGGCGTATTTTAATCTCAATTGTAATATTAGTTACACAGGGCTCCCCTGTGAATTAAGCTAAGCTATCTTGTTTTTTATTCACTAGGTAATTCGTAATTTCTAGTAATCCAATGTACTATAGAAATATGTCAAACCTCTTTCAAAGTTCCGTACAGTAGGATTATAATAAAGATATTTCTTTATCTTACAATTTGTTGCTATATTATCTGTGTTTTTTTTATTACTTCCATATATTAGATTGTACTAGTAATACATAGTACCCAAACTATATTTCATTTCACGTGTCTCTATTTGTGCCGTAATGTTCAACAATGTTGTAACTTCAGTGCCGGAATGAAAATGTAATTACAAAATGTTAATAAGTATTATTAATTAATTATTATATTTATATCAATAGTACTAAAAAGCGCGCTGTATAAGTAAACCGATTTTGCATATTTCGTTTTAGACGAAATCTGTTAAATACTTCAAAATTTTTGAATCCTTTTTTTTTCACCTAAGTTGTACATATAATTCTTATTAAACAATTGTCTATGACAAAAGATATTGGTTGTTAACATTTTATTTTGTCATGCCTTCCTTGAGGACTACAATTTGTGAAACCTTGCTTCCGTTAAAGAAAAAAGATTCAAGGCTGTCTGAATGCGCCCTTACAAATTATATGTGATTTACATAATGTTTACTTTTCCAATGCGTTAATTATAATCTAGTGGGTTAAAAATAAGATAATTGTAAACAATTCGATGTATCGCGGCTGTGGGAGTAATATTACTCGTTTTAAACTGTTAATATTACTCTCAAGTTGCGTTACTTCAACATGTTCTAATAAGATTCCACCAATTTGTAGAAAGTTTAACAATTTGACCAAAACCAGTGTTCTTAATAACTCTCCCTTGTAATCATTTCGTTTTCTTACTACACGATAATATCCGTTTCATTTTACACATTTTTGATATTCTTTAAAGTGCCTGTAAAAATGGAAAAACTTATTTAACAGTCCTTATATTCCATAGATTTGATGACGATTAACGTTTAATAAATTGCAATAAATACATTGTATGTGCATTTTATTGTTTTTCTTTATATGTCATTAATTGTATCCAATGTTATAAGGTGTCTGTCCTCTCTCATAAATAAAAACTAATGATTTACCCTTCATCCCTGCTAAGTACTTGATGTTTAGTATTACGTTAAGCGTGACTGGGCATGCCTAAATCTCCCGAAACGGAAGTCAAGTTATTTTCTCGCAACGTAGCGCAGCAATATAGATTTTCTTTATCATAATAATACCGGCACCGTGGTTCAACACAATACATGGTTACGAAATGAGGATAAAAATCTTTATCTGCTAATGAAGACGTGACAAACTTAAAAAGAAATAAAATAACCTCTTATTTTTTTCAAAAGGTCCTGGATTTGAATTCAACTATCTTATGATTGGGCAGCGCCCTGAAGTCTGATCAACTACAGGATTGAGTTTGCCCCATGTCCCACAAAGAGGATACGGTCTTTACATAGGTATCTAATAAGTAACTTAAGATAGAACTGGCTAGGAAAAAAAAAACCGAAACAAAATAAGACACGTGTCAACTAGCTTGACAAGACGTTAAAACAATTTAGTTATTTTTACATTAATCTTGGAATGTTTATAATGAATATATTTTTTTAATAATGGCGAGCGATATAGAGAAGGGTGATTTCGGTGATTGTGCGCGACACAAGTCTCGTTATGACCTATCAGCGACCAACTCTAACCATATCTTTGATGGAGCCGGCGAAAACATTCAGTACCACAGTGATTCGGAGTCGACGGTTTCTAAAAGGAGCCGAACGCGGTACATTAACCCAGCGATTTATATAGAGACAGTCGAGGCGTCGCATTCGGTCACCTCGCTACAAACTGACACCTCCTGTCATGATGAAGTCACTCCGCACCCCCATAGCTCGTATAGAAGCAATTCCACACCGTTTCTAACTGGACGCCTGTCGAGCGCGTCTTCAGGTAGCGTGAAGAGAAAGTCGTGTCGACTCGCCCAAGATATTGAGAAGGACATAGAAGAAGAAACGCCCAGGTGCGACCACACGTTTCGGGATGCAGATGGAGCTGACACGTTTAGGTTATCTGTTTCGTCTCTTTCTACCACTACGACTGCCAAAGAAGAGCGAGAGAAGAACGAAATGAAGAGGCGTGAAGCGTTCAAGCAATGGCTGGAGCGTAAGGAACAAGAGGTATTATCTCGTTTTTTTTCCTTGATGACTTATATTAAATTGAAAGTGTTACATTTTGTATTTATAGTCCTTGTAATTTAGTTGTATAAAATGACTCATATCTCTAGGCTGAATTGTAGTTGTAATATTATCTCTTTAAGAGACATTAATAATATTGTAAAAATAATTTAGGCTGTATGAAATTTCTTTATTTACAACAAAAGAAGCTTTTTCAAGTTTTTGAAACCCTAGTGCGGTGCTACAGATTTTTGATTTAAAACAAAGTGGATAAAGTTGTCACGTAGTTTTGTCGTCTAGTATTGAAGAATTGTGTCTGTTACTTTAAAAGTAGAAATCTTTTATAGGTTCATATTTGTACTCTGAATAGTTTTATTTCGTGTAGAAACGTGAAAAGTTGCGTCAGGAGAAATTAAAGAATCAATCTACACCAACGACAACGCAAGAGCAGCGTGAAGCATCGTATAGGAGGTGGTTGGAGCGAAAACGCGTGCAAGTGGAAAGGCAAAAGGCTGAAGAGATTATGCGAAAATACCGCGAAACCGAACGCCTAGAACAAGAAAGGAATAGAAGGAAGCAGGACAAGGAGGAGAAACTCGCTGAGTGGATTAGGAAAAAGGAAGAAGCGATCAAAAGTAAGCCCGATGTCACCGATCTTAACAAATAATTACTAATATTATAAAGATGAATAGTTTGTTTGCTCGAACGCGCTAATCTTAGGAACTACTGGTTCGAATGAAAGAACTCTTTTTTTGATTAGAGCGTTTATCGAGAAAGACATAAGGTAAAAAAATAGGCTATAATATGGGGCGAAGAACCAGTGGGGAATGTGGAATCCTTGCGTGTAATTTCAAAATGGTACTAGATACCCAAAAATATGTACCTATAGAAGAACCATTACCTACTGTTTAAATTATGTATAAAATGTCCGCGACAGCTTATCTCGAAGATTAACTTGCAAGAACTTACTTGATTGACGCGGACGTTGTCGTGGGTAACAACCATAATTCGTAAAGATGAGGAGGTTTACAAGTACAAATTTTGATGCCCAGAATGACGTCAACATGTATAACAATAATAGCGATAATAATTTGGGAGCCCAGCTAGTATGTATATATGGATCATAATTTTACAACGGAACCGTCCTATTATTATTATTTTATATTGAGGACACTGAGTAGGCCAGCTGATCAGTCCACTTTAAACCAACATTCCGTTTTAAGACTCTTGTTTTATACGTTGTCCCGTTCTCTGAAACATAATTGTTCGAAAGATGTTCTTATAGCGTAAAATTGCTGGTTAAATCTGGTAGTGCGAAGATTTAAATCAGTGTCTTCTGGTAGCGATGAAGACCCACGCAGAACGGCGTGCAGCGCGGGCTGCTATAGAGGAGCAACGTAGAAGGGTGCAAGGCGAGAGGGCTTATCGAGACTGGTTGAGGACGAGCAAGAACAAGCCATTGCCCGTGCCTCTCAACCAAGGAGAACTAAGTAAGTTATTGTATAACAAAAAAGAGTATTAGACTATGTTTTCTCCTCAGAGATTAAAAAAGTACGTAAACAAATACTGTCTATAGTTTAAGCGAGTACATTTAAATAAAACACCCCCGTCTCCCCGTGAGCACGGCTGCTGCAAAGCATTCGAAACGTCGGGCCGAATTAATAGTTAAAAATCATTTCCAAATAAGTTTAACCAATATATCGCGTTTTGAACCGTTAAAACTGTTTACTTAAAGTCCCTAAACTACTAGGCTGTGTTTGAAGACCCTTAAAAGTGTTTTTTTTTGCAATCAAGCAATTTGACTTAAACAATTTATACTTATATGTACTGCAAACAGTCAATCACTTGAGATAATTCTTAACAATAAAATCATATTTTACGTGTAGAATCTTTAAGAAAAAATATTGAAAGGTATGGCTCGAACCCTTGAGGTATCCATGTGAAAGTTAAAAATATATTTTGGATGCTGGTCGGCTAACCTAGTCGAATTTCCTTTAAGTAATGAGACACTTATTTTTTTACAGGTATGCGGGGTTCCGTATCTCAGATGTATATTAATCCAGTCCCTTGGCAATCTACGACTTGATTTTTTAGACATAGCTTATTATTGTTTGCTGTATTTATTTTAATGTATTTTGTATAATTCTCAAATCATTGTGTTAGTGCTTTAAAGATTTTTTGAGTGTTTTGACCTTTTTTTATTAGACTATCTTGATATTTTCAGTAAAGATGTAGATGAAATTAAACTTTTTGTTAATTAAAAACCGTTTATTCATAGGAAAATTACTACGTATAATGACGAAATACCTACTAGTATTAATTGTGAATCATAACAGGGTCCCCACCAGTATAGTTACGTAAAAAATTACTTTTAATTAAACATATTTACTTATTTATGTCTTAGTGGTTAAAAATACCATTCTAAACACAAATGAATCTCTAGAATTATGAGGCAATAAGTTATTCTTCGTCTCTCTAGCAAAGTCAATCTATTGTTTGGATTTTCTGCGCGTGCGTCTTAAAATAATGTTTAAAACAATTACAAATTAGAAAGGCACGAATATCATTGTACTCAATCCTACGTCACACAATCTTGTAAATAGCCCTCTATTTATTAATATGTACGTATGGTAGGTAGGTATTCATTCAATTCCTAATACATTTCCTCTTCCTCTTTTAATCTTAATATGTCGGACTTGTTCATGAAGTAATAGGTAGGTTGCCGCCCTTTGAGATCCTTTAAGACTCGCTTTGCACCAGCTCTGATTAGAATGCGACTTAATGATTCCATTTTCTCAACGCCCATCGCATAATGTAACGGAGTTCTTTCCAACTAAAAATATAATTAATTGAAATAATGATAATATATTTTTAAAGCTTATTATATTTATGTATTAATGTATGTATTATTTATACAGTATTAAAATATATTAGGCTCCTAGAGTCAGAGTGGCCTAATAAAAAAAACACGATTTTCAATAAGGAGGATAATAAAAATGCGCGAAATAAGCTAGGCGAGTAAAATTTGAGTGAGAATTATGTTATGTCCTGCCCGAGTCGAAATTTTTTTTTATTGATTTTGGATTTTTAAATTATATAGTGCCTTCATGTGCAACATGTAAACAATAATAAAGTTTTCAAGAATTATGTTAACAATTTTCGGTCACTGTGCTCTTGTAGATTAAGATTTTTAGACTTTAAAAAATTATAAGTCGTGGTATAAAATTGCAGTTAGGCTACTCTGGCTCTAGCAGCCTTATATATAGCAATAGGTTGTTTATTTTATTAAAAACAGAAAAAACAAAACAATAAATTATATCACTAGTTACGTATAGGTATTTACATTGTCTCCTGTTTTCAATAATTCCGGGAAGGATTCCGCTAAATATGAGACGATGTCTTCGTTCTGCGCAAGCACAGCTACATGAAGGGGGGTTCTGCCGTACGAGTTTTGGGAACGCGCTAAGGTCTGACCACCTTCAGCAGAGAGGATTTGTTGTACCTCCGTTAAGTCACCTCGTCTTACGGCTCCGTGGAGACGATCTCTAGATTCCTTGTAGAAAATAAGTAATTAAGAATATAGTTATAGTATGTCAAACGTAACTTTGTCATAGTCAATATCGGAATTGCTATATAGTCATCGTATACGTTATTGTGTAATTATAGGTAACCACGTAAGTAGATTTATGAAATTTATGACGTAAAGATATTTTTTATAATATTGCAATATTTAAAATCCCACGTCTTAATTTCTTTCGTATATATACTAACCTTATATTTATTCAATTGCAAATTTATTCTTTCTTTCGCCAGCATCCACAGAGTTCTGTGCTGCCGTTTTTACTAATTGAACTACCATGTGTTACAAATTTTAATCTAACATGAATTTTACTTATTTTCATTTTGTGTATACGTACCTCAAAAGTAGGTATTGAAGCTAACAAGTTGGACATGTCGGTATCGTCCCTTTCAGATACAACTTCAGTGATTGGAGCTCCTCCATCATCCACTACATCCAGAATATGGTCATAGCCTTGCATAAGTAACTCCATTATTTTATCGGTGTTTCCTAGAATATGGGCAATACTTCAGCAAGATAAACTCGTTACATAATGTTTTTATAGCAGAGGAGAAAGCATGAGCAAGGTTAACCAGCGTTATAAATTCAAATTGATAAAATGCTTTAAGATAAAGACTTCCATCTGTGGACGGTGGTACCAGACCCGAACGGTTATTAATTATTCCTACGTATTATTCATTAGTTAAACTGACGGTCTTCGGTCTTCTCGTGACCACGGCTGCTGCAAAGCATCCACCAATATATATCGCGTTTTAAACCGTTAAAGTGTTTTTTAATGTGTAAACTACAGACTTTAATACATACAATACAGTATTTATTATCTCACTTAGCTGATGGTTTCCTGTTATTCTGGTGGTGTTCCTATTTATACTCAGAACTTACCTCTGGCTGCTAGATGTAGAACAAACCGATCTATCTCTACCGTGTTCTCCATAACGTTTGCCTGTATTGATATGTCTCGTGCGGTTCGGTATAATTCATCTCTATAACCAATGCTAACATCGGTTTCTTGTAGAAGTTGAAATAGTGCGTTTTTTGTGTGGGTGCGAGCCGCCGCGAAATGCAACATTGATTGGCCGTGTTCATCCTAAAGATTGCATAAGTAAATAAACGCACTTGGTTCAAGGATAGCCATTTACATGCTAATTTATCTAAATGTAACTAAACTAAGATTTGGAGCAAGTTAGATGTATTTATGTATTACTCTGTTTGCGCTGCTAAAAGCCACTTCGGGTGCATCTGGATTAGCTTGCTGTGGATCTACAGCGATGACATCAATAGGCCTAGTAGATCGAATAGCAGTTTTCGCACTTCTGGTTTTAGCACTGATTGGCTTTGCTTCGGATCCCAAAAAGTTCTCGTTCGGTGCTGGAAGTTCGTTTTCGATTTCCGGGTCTTCTTTAGTTATTACTGTATTTGTCTCCTAAAAGTTGTTAGGTGCTTTTATTTTGTTTAATCAATCTAAGTTTACATAAAATTCTTTTAACTACTATTCATGTAAATGTCATTCACTAAATCGCTAAGAGAAGCATATCGCGTTATGCGTCATACCATAGCCGACATACTACATTGAAAGGCTAAACGTTGTATATAATTAACCATTAACTGACCTGAGTACCTAATCGGGGCTTTTCGTGATCAGGGAAATTATGAAGGAATGTAGCGAGAAACGCGATCGGATCCTTCGGTTTAACATTTGCCACTTCTGTCAGACCTTTTATCAAAGGATCGCCGAGTGCTGAAAGTACACTTTCCACATCAACCGATCTTAATGGCGAACTATCCATATCAACAAATTAAGCTTACACTTTGCCAGATATCTGCCTTCTTCCGTGTGGAAGATGGGAATGTCCAAGTGTCCGTCCGTCGCGTTTACGCCTGTAAATTGATCAATTATTCAATGTTGGCCTTCGCTATTAAAACGCCATTGGGTTGGACACATGAAACGCTATAATAGCGGGTAAAAATCGAACGGCGGAAATGATAACTATTTTTAACAAAGGCTGTTTGGTTTGTTGTTACGTAAGTTTTATGATATACATTGAATGCCGTGATTAGTATTGATGACTACTGTTGGAAAAGTACACATGTTATAGCATAAGAAATTAACTCCAAAAATTCTATAAATAAGTAAAATATGCGCTCAGTGAGCAAGACAAGAGGCAAATAATATGTTACCGTTTTTTAACTACATAAATAAATACTGTATAAAGTAGTGAACGCGAGCAGTACAAATTTAAATCAAACACCTTAATATTTTAAAATATATTAGTTTCCTGTGTCCTCTGTTTTTAAAAATTGACAAAGTATTTTAACATTGAGGCGTGGTCAAACTAATTTGTAAGTTTAACTAATATATTTCGCGTTTTAAACCGTTAAAGTAATTTATTTAAAAACATAAATAAGACAACATATTTTTTTCAAATTATTAATTTACACCTGACTTTAGTTAACGAGACTCATATATTACGCGTTTTAAACCGTTAAAGCGTTTTATTTATAACATACTCTAAATCGATCCATTATAACCTAATACACAAAGCGAACACTTGGAAAGACAAAGGTGCACAAGTGCGTTAAGCTTTTTTCGACGTGTTCGAGCTAGATCGTGTAAAAGCGTGATCGCTTTGCAAACACGTCGTTTGACGTACACGAACACGCAACACACAATATGTGAAATATTTGACACAATAGGTACTGACCTAAACTTGATTTTAATGTAGACTTCTATATCCTTGATAATTCCTTTAATACACCTATGCCTTTCCAACATCAATAAATCTATGAAATTAACATACATATATAAAATAATCTAGTCGTAAATTACAATTAATATTACGCTAATGTTTCTCGTTGATGTCTACGTCTGATAAGCTGCTCCGTTTCCTCCTAAATATGTTACTAAGCATCGTTGCTATTTGTGCAGAATTGTGTAAAGATAAATCTCTCTCCAGGTGGAGTAGATTGGAGGTAGCCGTCGCGAAATCGTTAAAACAAATTGTTTCGGTAACACTCAGGCATTGATAGTTACTGATTCTAGCTATACCAGTGCTAAGTGTCTCCCGATATTGAAGACCTCGCATTGCGCATAAATGTTTTATATTATCAGTATCTCTTGATAGACCAGGGAAATTTACAATGAGATTAAAACGTATACCGGCTCCTAAAAAGGTTGGTCTACCTGACAAATGACCTAATCTATCATGCCACGCGAAATCAAGTTTATCGTGAATATGCGTCATAATGTATGATAGTTTGCTAAATGGTAGACCGACTTCCCCGGGGTTATCGCTCGGATTTGAAACAATGACCCTTAAGTGGTCATGCACATTAATCCATGCAGCTACAGTTCTATCATCGCTTAAGTATACACCGCGTCCGTAAGGCCAGTGTCTTCCATGTAGCCGTCTATAGTCATCAATTTCATCCCTGTCACAAAGAGATATAAGCAACCCTGCCGCAGCTAATGTGGCACTAATTTCAGAGGGCTTTTCCAACACTTCGTTTAATGTATAATAATTCCCCCCCTTTTTGATCAGCTTCAGGGTTTAATTGTTCAATTACTCTGGTAAACTCAGCATTTAATAAAATTGTTGTAATAACTCTTTCAATAGTTTCTAGCTGTCCAATTTTAAGATTAAGAGGTAATTCAAATCCATCTAAGTTTCTTGAACACTCTATAGTACCCGAAAGTACCAATTCTTCAGTTGGATCGACGTTAATTTCAACTAAAGGTTCAGAATGTAAAGAATTTGTAATTGCTGTATCTCTAATGAAATCTGACGGAGGGTGAAATGGCAAGTCGTAAGAAATGTTAATGTTATGCAAATCCTTGATAAGTGGTGTTAAAAATTCACTAAAGACATCATATACGTAATAATCTGGAGCGGTGACGCCACCTGGAAAGTCTTCTTCCACCGTTTGTATTACGTTGCGTGTGTCTGGTATCTTTTTAACAGCTGGCCAAATAACATCGAAGAGGTCATGATCAAGTTTTGTAATACGAGTCTTTATCAGTTCAAATGTGGATTTTTTGAGGAACCTTCCGAGAACTAGCGGCGGTGTCGCTTTATTTGATGAGGCAGATAAAGGAGTTCTTGTTGATCTCGCCGAAGTCAGAAGTTGGTAACAACGGTGCAATGTTTCTATCACTTCTGGAATATCCAGGTTCCGGCGACTTGAAACACGGTCATCTGCCACTATACATAATAATAAAATAAAATAGTTAATTATTTTATAGGACACGGTATAATCACCTCGTTTAATATGCCACGTAATGTAATACTTTTTTAAAAGGACTTATATTTAAATACATACCTCTGTCTGAAAACATCTCTTTAATGACATCGTTACTTATACCAAAATCGTTTAACAGTTGATTAAACGGCAGTAAGTTTGGGTCTTTATAATAGTCATCTGCAGATCGCCCGTTCTGTGAAAACAAATTTTTCGATAACGAAACTTTCCCCAGCAACCTCTTTTAGTTGTTTGAGTTTCATTCTTACATCATCTAGATCTTTAGAATTAGATCCAAGTTGTTGAAGTAAGTGATAATAATGGCCATTATCTGGTAAAACTGCTGCATAATGTAATGCTGTGCGTCCTTCGAAATCAACAGCTGACAAAGTTTCAGGAAACCTATTAAGACAATATTATATTTTATTAGAAAACAAAATTTGTATGACTTTTTACGTAAAATATTTGCCAGTTTACCTTCCACCCAAATATTTAATAATGTTAGTTTTGCCGAATACGGTAGCTACATGTAACGGAGTCGCACCATTCGCTGATATGGGATCCCGAGCAATGGCAAATTTTCTTCTATCCAACGCCGATTGAAGCTCACTTATATTTCCGTCCCTTGCTGTTATATGCACCCTGTTTATTTTTTGCTAAAAACAGTTCTTGTTTAGTGAAAAAATAAACACAAATAAAGTAGTAGCTGTAGATTGATTGTTACCATATACGCGGGCACGTTTTCCAAAAACGATTGTAACTCTAAATTATCCGAATGCCTGCCAATTAACCTCGCTCCTTCCCCATTTAATACTAATGTCGCCAACATTTCCATATTTGCCGTATTTATCAATTCAGTTACTTCGGGATCTATTTCATTGTCCTGACCCAAAAAAGCATTAATACAATTGGTTGTATAGTGCGTATAACACACACATAAGATCGAAAATAAGAGACAAGGCAAGGTTGCGTTCTAAGTTGAATCTATTACATAATTATTCTAAAAAGCTGGCAAACTATATCTAATTGTGTAGTGCACTGATATAAATAGTGCTACAACGATGCTTCTATTCTAAAACGGCACTTTAATACCACCAGTGTGTTATTACCTTTTATCTGTCTCTTAACCCCAATACAATCAAAATACTTACAAGTAAATCTTCGTGATGTACTGAGTTTTGTTTTAAAACACTTGCGTCCTGTGAATCCTTTTCCGCTTCGCTACTCACAATACCTTCAATTAGACTCTCCTGACTATTTCGACCATTGTTTCCTTAATTTGTAAAACAGAAATTATAAACTAGTGAGGGACCCTTTATAATTTAGAATAAGGGGAACTATAATTTTGCTTAAATTTCATGTATTGTGCCAGAAGTGGCTCTGGCACTTATAATTGCACTTCCATTTTTGTGTGTATCCTTTAGGTTTATGTATGTATCGTAATGTTCGGTCTGTGTGTCACCTTGTACTTGTACGTCATCATCGTCTTCACTGTGATCAATTTTTGTATTACCTTTATCATCCAAAACAGTTGTTTCTTCTATGGATCTGTGATTTTCAATATCATTTTTATTTTCACTATATCCATTTTGAACCTCACCATTGTTTGAATCTATATTCATTTCGTTGTTATAACCATTACTTTGTATTGCAACGACGTCTTGTTGTCGATCTTGAATGTCGTTATCATCATTTCTCGTTTCATTTTCTTGAATATCAGTTACTTGTGCTTCTTTTGTTTCGCACTCATTAAGATGTTTTTCATTTTCGAAATCCTGTGTACTTCTATTTTCTACCAAATCGGTTTTACGTACATCGTCTTCATTTCCTGCAACTTCACTGGAGCTAATTTTATCCTCTTCGTTGATCTGTCTATTTTCTGTATGAGGCATAAATTCAGAATTATGTTCATCACTCACAATATTTTCATTTTCATTATTATTAGTTATATTTTCTATGGAAATTAAATTGCTATTCTCTTTATTTTCAGTCTGATCAGTGTATTCTGGACTATTTATTTTTGGATTATTTACTTCTTCATCTAAATCAACATTATCTTCATTTATATGTTCTATATTATCTGGCGGACTTCCTTCAATTTCATTATCGTTATCCGTATCCTTATTATCTTCTTTTTCCTCGAAAGTTTGTTCTAGTTGCTTTTCTTCATCTGTTTGCTTGTCATTTTCACCGGAGGTTGTATTAACCTCGATAGTCTTTGTTTCCTAGAACGTTAAAAAAATCATGCAGATGGTTATGAAGCAATGCAAATAAATTAAAATAACTCTTCGTATCCAAGAAGCGTGCTTTTCTCACCTTTGTCGGATTTTCTACTGTATAGCTATCACTTTTGTCTTCAATGTGTTCTTCGTGTATTGTTCCGTTATCATTATCATTTAGTTCTGGTAAATTATTTATTAATTCATGTGTACTGCTATTTTTCATAACGTTTAGATTTTCTGTGCTTTCAGAAAGAGTATTTTTGGATGAGATGTTTTCGGAAGATGTTTTAAAATTCTTTCTTTTCGGTTTCTTATTTAATTCAAATGTGTACTCAGTATCAAGAATTTTCCAATCCCAAGATGACGGATAGGTACTGGACGGTGTTCTGGGAGCTTCGGGCAATACCTTCAAACTGTTTCTATCTAACTCTTGAGGTCTGTTGATGTAGTAAGCTGGAGTCTTATTTTTCTAAAAAAATGTGTTTTGATTAAAGAATTGTTCGTATTCTTTATGTGACAAGTGTTATCACACTCACATTATCTACGGCTCCTTCGTCAGCTCCAAAGCCAATAAGTGTTTTGAATGTGTGTTGATCATCTCGAACAATGGCAGCATAATGTAAAGGTGTTCGTCCCTCATTATCCTGCTCACTTATGCCTTGAGGATATCTTTCAATTATGTACTTTAGGATTCCGCAATGCCCCAATCCGGCCGCCTGAAAATCATTAAATACCCGGAATTCTTTACGTAAAAGTATCAAATGGAACTACTTTTATCGAGGTTTCTGGTAATCTTCAGCACTTTGAACCATTCAATGTAATTAAAGTCTCTATTCTAATTCAAAATCAAGATTTTATTGCTATTCACATATTATTAAAGTTAATCTATAACTTATAGTCTCACCAGTTTCAGCTATGCTGCTGAATGCTTGTCACACTCAGCAGCGCTGGTTTCAGCCTGGCCCGGGTATAGAAGTAGAAGAGTAAAGTGTAGTAAATGAGTTTATATATTTATGTCGATAGTTATAATATACATGTATTAATAATAATCCTTAAAGGATACATATTTGTTTTTCATTGAAAACCAACCTTATGAAAAACTGTCATATTATTCACGTCCTTGCTGGATAAAATCTGCGATGGTACCGGGCTATTTGTGAGTCTAATTACATTCTCCAGATCATTTTGAATGACTGCGTTGTGTATATCCTTGATTGTGTTCTGAAAATAATTAAAATTATTCGATATAGCAGGATACTGCTATATATTAGATATAATACCAATTGTCACTCGTCGTAAGAAGAAGAAAAGAAGACGTACCATCATATATGGCACGGCTTCTAGAAATTTCTTGACTATTGGTTGGTTGGACACTTCGCTTAGTAGTCTCGAGCCCTGCCCATCCCAAATGACTCGTTGGAGCCGCCCCATGTCGCATTCGTGGCACCATATTCGGATATTGTGCCGCTTTATCACCAAACCTGTTAAAATAATTAGTGCAGTTTATAAAACGCGTGAAACACATAAAAGAATTTTAAATACACATTCTGTGTATTTGATAGTTATATATAATATTACGTATATTTGTATATTTCGTTTCAAACTAAATGGGGAATTATGACGTGGTCAAATAAGTTTAACTAATATATCGCATTTTAAACCGTTGAAGTGTTTTATTTAAATGTGTAGGTACTACTTGCGTAAACTATAGACAGTATTTAAATGAGGAATGTTTATGATTGTTCTTTATGATTTTCCATGACACTGAGATGCTAAAGTAGAAGCGGTTCAAAATACCCAAATAATATGAAGAAATAAATGATTCCTCTGTAAATACACTGATACATGTAATTTAAGTGACACTAACAATGTTTAAAATTCAAAATCAAAACGCCTCACATTATGCAAAATCACCTAACCTCGAGGCTTTTTTATTTATTAGTATCGATTAATTATTATAGACGAAATTACCTACACCCCAGTGAATAACTAAAGTCATATTTGAACGTTCGATTGTGTTTTGTGATTTCTAGAAAACTGGATCGATAAAAAAGTTCAAGGTGAATTGGCTGTCAATAGAAATGGGAAATATTGGCTGATGCGTAGATGGATTCGACGTATTGATGGTCTTCGAAAAAGCTCTGATACACGTCTTTAAAACACTGCCTTCATCTTTTCACAGACACACACACACACTCCCCTGTGTGCATTTGTCACACATATTTAAAAAAAGACTAGTTATATACTGTCTATAGTTTACGCGAGTAGTACACATTTAAATAAAACACTTTAACGGTTTAAAACGCGATATATTAGTTAAACTTATTTGAAAATGATTTTTAACTTCGGTCCGACGTTTCGGATGCTTTGCAGCAGCCGTGGTCTCCCTGTGACCGTTAAAAATCATTTTCAAATAAGTTAAACTAATATATCGCGTTTTAAACCGTTAAAGTGTTTTATTTAAATGTGTACTACTCCGTTAAAGTGTTTTATTTAAAGACTAGTTATTCTTATTTCTGGCCTAATATATTGTATACCAAAAATATGTATTATATTTTTATAATGGTTGCAACGAGTACAATAATAATTAAATAATATGTTACTTTATTTCGGAGTAACACTCACTTACTTAAGTACCTTTTTATACTTATAAATGATTAACATCACCGACCGATTTCAATTTCTATTTAATAAAAAATCAACTTTCTAAAAGATCGATAATAAAAGTCTTATATATTCTTTATTCTGTCAAACTTATCATCCTATTGTTAAGAAAGAAACAATAATTTATAAGATTACTGGCTAAAAAAAAAACGTAAATCTGCCGGGGTCACTTTTAACATTTAAGAGTTTTTATTATTAATAGCCCTTAAGTAAGATAATATATAGCGTTAAAACAATCGATAAATTGTTATTGGATATTTAAATAATAAAATGAGCACACACGCCCGCGTTATATTTCCTTATTCGGCTTATAAAAATCCTATATTATTTCGTTTAAATAAAACACTTCAACGGTCTACAGCGCTATATATATTATGTCCTGCCCGAGTCAATTTCTTCTCAATTTTTTTCCATTTTCAGGCGATATATATATTATGTAAACTTATTTGAAAATTATTTAACTACGGCCCGACGTTTCGGATGCATGAATATCGCGTTTTAAACCAAATAGATCGACACATCTTGTCCACTAGTTTTAAGGCGGTATTTCACCTAATGTCTAGTACACTCATAAAAACATTGGCTTGATAAACGAAGATAAAAATAACATCTGAAAAATGCTTACATACATGTTGGTTTTGTACATACTATATTTTACATGACTTACAATAAAGGCTAATCTACGAGGCATTAAACAAAAATACATATATCATTCAAGTGAACATCGATCAATACGTGCCCTTTCAGACGCATATGTCTAAAGTAGGACATCGCTGTCAATTACTGCCTCGTGTGCCCCCACGACAGCCAATACACCATACCGTATTGACTAATAACTATCTCACTAAGGATTATTGGAGTTATATAGGACTTACTAGATAATCACGTTTTATTGGCATTTAAAGAATTTTACAAATCAGTATTCAATATATAAATATTACATTAGACAGGGCTCTTTGGGGACAGGGAAATTCAAAGAGGACGTGTAGGACACGGTAGCTTAAGTAAATTTTTTCGATCTAAAATAGATTTTTAATTTGAACATGTCTCCGTCCTATAACGTCCAATTATAATGCGCTGTCTGTCTAATGTATTTTGGGTAAAATTCGGAAATCAACTTGACATGATTTTTCTTCACAATTTGATTTTCCATATTTGGAATCAGAATGAACACGTCTCGTCTCATTGTTACCACTGGAAATCAAAAATTGTATACAACTGAAACAAGTGTTCGTGTCGTTGTATGATGCAAATTCAGAAATTCTCGCGTGTAATATAGTGCAAGTTTCACCAATCGGACACCAAAATTAAGAACATACCTTAAGTTTTTTTTGAACCACGACATTCGTAGATGAATATCTCAAAAATACTTCTTTCTTTCATTTCAACTTGAATCAAAGGTTACTGCGTAAAAAGCAACAAGTTTGCGTGTTACGAATTCAAAATCGTTGGATATTAGCATAATACGAACTTACTGAAACACTTGCGGCTTGATATCAACTGATTTCATTTCGCCGATAAGCGCTTATCGCTTTTAAGTTTGTGAAAAGTAACTGAACAAGATGTTTAACACTGTTTCGTAACGGTTTCGACTTTTCATTAATTAGACGAGACTCAGTTAAACACGTGAAAAACGGGTGGGCCTCGATAAAGGCTACTGAAAAAATAAATATTTATAACCACGCAATATTCTAGCCACGCCCCAGAAAGCCAAGCCTTTATCTACACGCCAAAATTTAGTTTCGATGTATACTTACGCTAAGTTATTACAATGCTAATTATTACGTTGTTTTATAACATTTTTATTTATTTATACAAGCTATTTATAATTACAAATATATATGAAGGTTTAAACATATATATATATGTATCTGTATTTAGTTATAAAATTCGATTTTAGGTGAAATTTCTATTCGTTTTTAATATTATTTACATAGCAATAACATCATCCCATCGCAAGATCTGTAAATACAATTAAAAATAATGATAAATATTTAAGCTTTAGAGGTAAAGGTAAAAGTTTATGAATTCAATTAGGGTCTTGTAGGTTCCGTAATACTTTTAAAACCTATATCAATGTTGGTACGCATAAAATGTAGTACACAGAGAAATGCTAAATTTTAAAGACATATAAATATATAATTACTAACCTGCGTCCCGAATAATAGTAAAGTATAGCCAAACAGACGGATAAATAAACATTCTACGTAAAGTCACTAAGTTCAATTGATATGAGAAAGCATAATTTATAATAAAAAAATCTGTTTGACCCTTGTAATGTTTGTCTCCTTATTGATTAAGATAAATTTAACATAATTAACGTTCATAGGAACACGTCAAATGTCATGGTCCAACGGCAAAGTTATTTTTGGAAGCAGAAGGAAATTACTTGTAGAAAGATGCTTTATTTAGAATCACTCGTACATATAAAACGTAAGCAGTTATTTATAATCTATATTTTACAAACTTTTGTAGTTTAAAGGAAAAGTACGTATTTCGTTTGAATTAGACTTTTCCAGCAAATTATTAAATGAAAATATTCTACAACGCTTATACAAGTATTACTAATGTACAGATGATCCGTAGTTGTGGCGTACTAAAAAGGTTTTCTACTACTTTTTTTACTTACTTTTGTAAGACAATTGGGTACAAAGAATTCAAATACTTATTACTATTTTCTATTGGGGACACCGATAGAAGGCCGGGAGATACGATTCAAAACAGTACATACAAATAATATTAAGCAAAGTTTCGTTAAAGATATTCTTTACAATGAGTAAAGCTGAGTACTCACCGGGAGGGTTTGGTCGGGTCGGCATGTCTGCAGCGGCGGGTAACACGAGCAGAGTGCGAGCCAGCCGGTAGTGGGCCAGTGTACGTCCAGCGGCGTCCCGCGCGCCCCTTGACGCCCCCGCACCCTCCAGAAGGCTGGCCATCGTCGCTTCATCGTGGCACGCCGCTGTGTAGTGTAGAGCTATACGACCTTCCTAAGTTGTATATAGGAATCTTCTATTATCTTTTATATCGTAGAGAACAGACAAGTCTGGAATTTATTTTATTGGAAGTTAAAATACCCCAGTCATATATTAACACTAGCTGCTCCACATACCGAAAATTATTAAACTTCGCGGTTTGCCGGTGGTTATTGCGAACGAAATTTCGATATTCCTACTGCCCATTTCGTATCCAGATATCCAGATGAAGTCCAACTTGCTTCAGAAGAATTATACATTTGAAATAAGTTGGTCCCGGTGGGGACCCACGACCCGTAGATACATAGATACATAGCTACCATTAGACCAACGGTCCCGTGAAAATTATCTTACGCATAGAAAAAACTATTATAATAGTTTTCTTATTTATGTGATTTGATTAACAATTACAGTTAACATAGATTGTAAATTTGTATCTAGATAGTAAAAAACATATTTAGTATTCAAATTTTTAGTTCGAAACGTTATACTACATTGCTACTGTACGATACTGGCATACTACTGTAAGATAATGGCAGTATTACAAATTAGGGGTACCTCGTAGGGGTTATATAAATTTTAATTAAATTAAGTAATTATAATAAAACGCGTTAAAACGTGATATGTATATATATATATTAGTTAAACTTATTTAAATTATTTTACCTACGGCCGACGTTTCAGATGCTTTGCAGCGGCAGTAGTAACTAATATATATCGTGTTTTAAACTGTTAAAGTGTTTTATTTAAATGTATGCTAACGTAAACTATAGACAGTATTTAAATTAATTAATTTTGGCCTTCATCTTTTCCAAATAGAAAATTATAAATCAGTGAAAACAAATAGGGTATGACAGACATACGTAGCGGTTCGTAGTCATCTACGCCGTAGTATTAAAACTCACCGAATCTCTTTGGTGCACGAGGTGTTGGAAATATTTGACGAGGTATTCTACGATATCCGTGTAGTTGTAGTACACAGCTTTGTGTAGCAAGCCCACTCCAGCTTCGTCACAGCACGTTGACAGCTTATTACGATTGTAATCAGATTCTAGAAGTTCCTATGGAAAGATATTAAAAGTAATTTGCTCATGTGAAACTAGATCTTTCCGAAGAACATAATAGATCGGTACGATGTTCATATTTATAGATATTTAGCACGTATCATTTTTTTTTAATGATAGAAGATAGACAAATATGGGGCTCTTTAGATGGTAGGTAATACCCCAGGCCTATAGCATCTACACAAATGTAGACCTAGTTTGGCTTTGGATATTCGGAAATCCACGGCATAAACTTTACGGCTTTTTCATCTGTGGGGGATTCGTGCCCCGGACGGAATTTCGATATTCCATCCTACAAAGCTTGTGCGTGTTTTATACACAAATATTGGTATAATTTAATATTATTTAACTTTTTTCAGAGTATCCCATTCTATATATTTAGTTCTACCCGAACGTTGTTACATCGAATGTATTGTTAATGTATCTACACCATTATGTTTTTTTAACAAAAAAAGGAAAACCTGCTTCCCCCGTAGGGTATGGGGGCGAAAACATTTCTGTGTCCCATACACTGAACGGTTCTTTTATATGGACGCAATTGAAGAACTTCCTGTGTTCAGCTCGACAGAAACAATCTTCTGTTTCCTTGAGATACGAACGCAGGACCCGTAGTGCTCACTAGACCGTAATGTGACTAGCGTTGCGTTGAGCAATAGCCCTAGTTACACGTTTACACACAACCAAGCAAGAAAAGAACACCTACTTGTAGATCAAGAAGTGATCCCCTTTCAACAGCAGCATGCAAAGCTTTGCATTTAGCGACCAGATTAATGAGATATCTCGAAAGGGGCAAAGTCTCCGCTTCTAAAAGCAAACGCTGCCCCTGCCCATTCAACACAGCTCGTTCCAGCTTGCCTTCAGTTCCACCACGAAGCCATTTACGAAGTTCGGTAGCGGAGACTACTCCTAGCACTTCAAATTAATCAGAATTAAAAAATTTGTAGTTTGCAATATTTAAAATTGATAAATGTTGTTTGTTCAATGAATAGTTATGTAACTCACGTCACCACTGGGTGGCGCTTTTGTCAAGGATGTACTGTCAGTCCACAAAAGCAATCGAAGGCAAGAACCATTATGCATTTCAGTATTATGTTGTGTAAAAAAGGGTTATGGATGCTTAAGCAAAATTTATGATTTAATATACTGTAGTGTTGCATTAATAACAATATGATTTTGTTTGTACTTTACGCAACCAGTACATAGTAATAGTAAATAGTAAATAAATACATATAAATGTATTTAATTTAAATATATTAAATATAATATTATAAATGCGAAAGTAACTCTGTCTGTCTGTCTGTTACTCTTTCATGCCAAAACTACGGAACGGATTTGAATGAAATTTGGTCTAGACCCTGAGAAAGAACATAGGTTACTTTTCATTGCGTTAAGGGGTTAAAAGGGGGGGTGAAAGTTTGTATGGAAATTCGTGGTTTTTGAAGCTAGAACAATGAAACTTTCTTCTTTGGCTTTTTGGGAATAGGAGTGGGAGTGGGAGTGGTAGTGTGAGTGGGAGTGGGAGTGAGAGTGAGTGTAGGAATGAGAGTGGGAGTTAAAGTAGGAGTGATGTGAGGTGAGAGTGTTGCGGCAAAGTAGCACTTATAAGTTACAACATAAACTGGCTGCCCTAAATGCGCCCTTACATAAATTAATAAACAGCCTAAATAATTAAAAATTCTACCACAAGTCACTATTCCACGCGGACGAAGTCGCGGGCACAGCTAGTAGTAAATAAAACACTTTTTACGGTTTGAAACGCCAAACATTTTCCTTAAATTAATTTACCTACGACTCTACATTTTGGATGCTTTACATCTGTTTGTTGTGTTATTAAATATATAATATGCTGTTAACTATAGATGCTTGTAATTGATTTTAAAAATTTTTGTTCAATAGAAAACTACAATAAAAGTTTTAATAACGTATTGAAGGTCTTATAGAAATTAATGGGTACTTAATGTTATAAAATAATCCGAAGAAAAGTCCCGATCAATAATATTGTTTCGTGTATAACGCATGGTACATTTTAAGATCTTATATCTTATATATGTATAATATTTAATGACTATTCACTTACCTCGATCCGAAATAATTTCGATAAACACAATTCACATTTAATAGATTAAAAGCCATCACAAAACATTCAGAGAAAATAACAAAAACGTGTTGCCTGCATAAGTCACATATTTGAAAATAAGAAGTAGCATAAAAGAAACCAATTGTCAAAGTAAGTAAGTTAGGTAAGCAAACGCCCAATGACTTCGACTGATATGAACCCCGATTATTTACAGGATGTTCTGTTAAGATGTCATATAAAAAATCTTTACCATGAAATAGTAATCCGTTTACATAAAATCTATACTAATATTATAAAGCTGAAGAGTTTGTTTGTATCGATTCGAATATTTTTGAGATGAACAGACCATTTGTCGAAAAAGGATTGAGGCTATATATAACATCACACAGCGACTAATAGAAGCGAAGTGTCTTCGCTCGAGGGAAATGTGGTAAGAACGGTTACGTGCGCTGCGAAATCGGTTCAAGAAACCAAAAATATGTATAAAAAATGATTATTTCTTAAAAAATGTAAAAAAATATCCAACAGTATTTAAGAATAACTGTCAAGAACGACGGGACGCGGACGACGTCGTGGGTAACTACTAGTCCCTTAAAAAATTAGCTCTATACATACCCTAGAAACAACGCTGAAAACCCAATATACAATCATTCAACAGTTTTGAAGTAATGTTTAAATATAAATGAAGACCTAAGTATTGTATATAGTTTACGCGAGTACACATTGAATACATTTTTTTAACGGTTTTAAGTCATGAGTTATTATTGTGAGAGCCGCCGTGATCGGTCCTGTAAAGCATCTGAAACGTCGGGTCGTAGTTAAAAAAAAATAAAAAAAATAGATTCAAAGGAAGCCCCTTTAGTACTTACGGGTTTGATTATTATTTCTGAATTTTTTTTGTCTCTTTCTAACAAGTATGAGGTTAATAATTTTTAAACTCGTTAGGAGTCACCCTGTAGATGTATAGCATGTGCTTGCTGCTAGATTACATGAGTTGAGATTACACGATTTATAATTTTACAGTCGCTATGAATTATCACGAAATTAAATTATCTTGACCTTAAGACTGTGGTGGCGACGCCATGTTTGTTTCGAATCTGTTCTTCTTTGCAAGACGGTAATTGTTTGAAAACATTAATATTTTTCACATGTTATTGCACATGAAGGCACTATATAATTTAAAAATCGAAAATAATTTGAAAAAATTTTCGACTCGGGCAGGACTTGAACCGGCATCGTTAGCTTTCCGTGTTGTTGCTCTAATTGCGGTAATTGTTTTTTAGAAAACCATTAATATATTAAAGTACTAGCAATTTAAAAGCTTTTGCTAGAAAATATTTTTTTAAGCAAAAGCTAAGTCTAAACATTAATTTATTTTCAAATATATTAATAAATTAATGTTTAGACATATGTTGGACACATTTATTAGTTTTAACTAGTGAAAATTAAAACAAAATTAGAATTGTTCAAGGTGCACAAAAAAAATTAACGTCACAAAGGTTATGCCATAGCTTAAAATTTGGATCATGTGGAGGACTTGAGGTTTAAAGGAGAGAAGTAAATATATATATTTTTTAATATCAATGTTTCACTGGTGGTAGAAGAGAGGCTTTAACGCATATTTGGGACGTTATATTAACGCGCTTTTCGAGAAACTTGTGAACAATAAAACTTCTGACAATGGGTTTCTCTAAATATATCATAAATCATAAGCTATTATACTAAAAATGTCGCGTTCGATCAATTAGAACGGAGTGGATCCTGACCCATGATTTAAATGATCTGGTTCGTTTGACCCGTTCAACTCTCACTGTTAATTTTTTACTCGCAACTGAGACCATGACTCTACATATAAACTGAAAATTATATATTGGAAGATTCATCACAACATCGGCGAAACTTGTACCGGCCATACACAACGTTCAGTGCTACTGATCTAACCATTTATTTGATTATGATAACGCATTATAGGAGGTTAAGGCTGATTGAAACAACTGTTAGGTACTGAGTAGGTATATTTCTCTACTTGTGACTCTACTAGAACTGAAGCTCGAAAATGGGGTGTTGACGTTTATATAACGACTCTGTTGACTTTTAAAAAATAGTTTTTGCACCAGTATCAATTGAGCTTCTTAATACATTTTACAAACTGGTCTAGAAAGTCCTGGTCTAGAATATCCAACACGCATTTTACCGAATTGTACTATTCGATCGCGCTTATTGAAAGATCTGGTTAATTTTTTCAATCAAATCCGAACCGAAAAGTTACGTAATGGATCAAAGCCGTTGCGTAGCATGATAAGAGGTCCGATTTGTGCTTGTTTTGCGTGAATATTTATGTTAATTTACATAGCCCTACAGTGTTTTTTCGATTCAAATTATTTCGAACCGTGTAATCTGTGTGTTTGCAATGTGACAAGCGAGTGCTGTGACATTTTTAGAGCACTTTATTAGTCACGCTTTCTCATTCTTTATTTCATTTTTACTCAAGTTACAATGGTTTCAAATGCCACTTATTTATTTATTTAAAATACTTCAACAGATCAGAACATCACTATTATTATTTCGTACAAGTGTTCTTTAGATCTCATACATATATTAAACAAAAACTGATTTGAGGATTATATTTTTCCTTTTTTTTGTCCAATAACAGAGAAGTCGTAATAGGATGTTGGCCCTCAATTTTGTAAGTGTCCTCGGCAAATTCTATTTAGCACTTGTTACCAGACTGTATTAATAAAAAGTTCTCGATTAACGTTATCTTATATAAATATTACTCTTATAACAAAGTGGGTAAAAAATCAATAAAAAGAGAAGTTGCTAAATAAAATAAAAACGCTATGCTACGAGATTTTTATTAGAATGTTTCAGGTGGTTAACAACAGACGCTAAGTGCTACTGCTTCGAGGGTAATGTTTTATTTTGCTGGTAAACGTTTGAAATTATTTTTTAAAAAGACACGCAAATTAAAAAGTATTTACCTACAATTCAGTCGTAATATAAGTATTGAATATTCTGTCTGTAATAGTCCGTGCTACAATGTAAGAAGCTTATTTATTCAAAGCTCGATGGAGGCAATAACTAGACATTGTTTGTACTTTTGTAGGTCGTGTCATGTGGACTCAGGTGAATAGCCTATGTGACTAAGTCTATTAGTCACTGAATGTTCATACATTTTTAATACAATTGCTTTGTGTATGATACGAAAAATTCAGTTTTTCAATCGTGTCTTTATAATTTAAGCGTAAAATACAATTGTCCTATGATATCTTTAATATGGGATAGACAAAAAATTTAATATTCGACAGATTACAGATAAATTAATCATGTCTTAGTAAGGTTCTTTATTATTTCGGAGATACTACAAAATAAGTTCCCTAGCATTACGTTAAGCATAAAAGCCCGCGTTATTTACAATAGGGAAAGATATATATAAAAGCGATAGATGAGTTGGCAATATGTTTGCTGGCATTTAGCATATAGATACGTTAAGCTGTTACCTATACATTAAACAACCGCCCCCTGACCACGCCATCGATCATAGTGAAAAATAAATTTATAAATTTACGGGTGAGTAGCCAAAAAACGTTCTCATTATTTTAATTGCTAGTTCTAAATGAATGATAGACTTGAAGATATCTTATGCTTAAAAATCGATTTTAGATTTTAAAAAAAATATTATGACACGGGCAGGACTTGAATCGGCACCCACGACACACAACGTGCTGCTTGTTGCTTTAATTTATATAGTGAATTCACGTGCAAACATATAAACAATTATTAATTATACAATCTTAATACTTTCATGGCCAGTGCCAATATTCAACTGACCTTTAACTAGAAGTGACAATCTTAACTGACAGTTAAAATTCTTGAAGTTTTAATATTTACAGATAGATTGGCATTTTAACTATTGGTTGCTGACTGTTAAGTGGTCAACTTCTTACCATGGTAGGTTAAAGGGAACTTAAGCGTTTCAACAACACTTTGACTGATAACTAATGTTTACAATTGCGACAAATATTTACAGATTTGGCTACCCGCCGATTTTGACGGATTTCCGAAAGTTTACCGAATGGTTACAATAGCTTCTGAATATTTCTTGCGTTTTTTTTACTAAACGTAAGGAAACAATGGAATTGTTTAGTGATGAAGTGACGCTGAAATATTTGAGGTCAAGTTCATTTTTGTATACTTAAGACTATTTAAAAATATTTTTTACTGTTTAGGAATGCCCTTGACAAGGATACATTCCTTGTAAAGCTATTTTATATTCTAAGATAACTAACCGATTCTAAACAAATCCACCTTTCTTATCTGTATGAAGTAATACAGGATATAAATCCTAACATTACACAACAAAAGCGTTACTAATTTGCGTATTAAAAGCCCGTGTTGTGCAAAAAGGCTTTCCACGCGATCTAATGCCAATCATGCTAAGGTCACGTCCACAAGAACATTAAGTTGCATTAATTATCCCGCAATTGCTATTGAATAATAAGCACATAATTTAACCAGAAATATTATAATGGGTGAATGAGGAAACTAGTAAAATGTGAAACAGGTGAAATCGAGAGACCACCTATATAGCTAAGCTACGAAAGCTTGTTGCGGTGAGATAGGGCATAGAAGATCTAGTACTACTACTAGCCTGTAATCAAATGAAGCAGTAAAACTTACTCAGAAATGTGTTGGCTTTCATTTTTTATTTTCAATTCACGGAGAAATATTTTCACGTCTTATTCCAATTTGGCGAGTTACTTTTTGCTATAAATATTACAAAAATTAACTTTTTGTATATATATATATAATGTGTGTTATATAACGTAATGCATATGTGAGTTGGTCAAGCGTTATACGTCACCGTAGATGATCTAATGTAAAATTGCAGTGAACATTTGTAAATTAACAAAACCAAGCCCTCCGTGGGGGGAAAACCCAAAAAAAAAAATTTTTTTAAAAAAAACTTTTGTCCTTATTCATTTGAACATCGAGTAGTTTCATTTCGTAAGAAGCGACACATATGTATTGGTGGGAGAATATTTGTAGTAATGAGTACGAAATAATTTACTATTGTATATTGTTAAAGAATATACAACATTATGATTGTTGTTATAATCTCTATGTAAGTAAATGGAAAAAGTAAGTATTCAAACTTTACTTACTACTCGATTGTTGACATAAATATGTATCTAAAATTAAAAGCACTTGTATCACAGTGCGGGTTATTATGACCCGTATCGATTTCATAGAAGTTACCCATTGTGAGCGCGGGAATTTTATGGTTAGTTGTCATTATGTCGACAGATAAGTAATAATTATGTTTACGGATAAAAGATAAAGCAAAAACTGAATGGTTGAATGTTTTACGAGTATCTATGGTTATATACTCTATAAAATCTCTGGTCTATCGTCAGTAAAAAGTTTACTATGAGATAAAACATTACAAAAAAAAAAAATTAAAAAGTTTAACGAAATGTTAGGGTTTTTGTATTTTAGATGATTTTAGTAAGTTTTCGCTGTCTCCTGTGTTACTTAACTTTGTACTTTTAAAATGGCGAAAGACGACAGAGACGATATAATATACAATAAATATTTTACACTTACTGTATACCGAATATTATTTTACGCAAGTGTTTCGCTTAAACATAACAATTTGTTCGTTTTAAATCGCGACATATTTTCCTTGTCTATGGCTGTTGTAAATACCCGAAAACGTAGTCACATATTAATAAACTAAATTTCTGTGAATGTCGATTAAAAAATGATTATAAATTGAAAGCTGTTTACGATTCGAGCAGGACTTGAACCGGCGTCCACAGCGTTCCGTGCCATTTTTCTTTTTTTTTTTAATTTTTATCGAATTTTATTTATATAGTGTCATCATGTCCAACATGTGAAAAATGTATTAAAGCTTTCATATGTGAATCTCATCAAGATTTTATTAAGCAATAGTGGTCTTAATTAATGTAATAAGTAATACAAAGCATTTTTTGTTTTATTTTAATAATATGATAAAAAATACTAGTAGTATCGTGCTGAATAAAATGATCGATGTCTTCATGCATTTGAACAAAAACAGACACGCGACTGTTTAGTCTGCCTTTACGTTTTTATTTCTGTTAACTAGAAATACACTTACATTTCGGCGGACTGTGATGCACAAAAAGTTCTGTTTTGTTGAGTTTTCGATCCGATAACAGTTTCTTCACACTTTCCATATTTTATTTTGAATTTATAAAATTAAGTCAAAGAACACACTTATGAAAAAGCTTTATATTAGGCTATATTATTTTATCGTAATCATTTTGTTATAGGTACCTACTTTTGCTGCTATTCGAAAACTGTTTGTATCGAAAAGTTTATTTCACAAGTATAGATTCCGATATTTTCGTACATATAAAGAACTGCTTCCTTAGATTTATTATTTATGCATGGTGCGAATAACACAGCCTATAGAGTCTAAATAAGATCTCTTTTAGCTTTGGATGTTTGGAGACATCTTTCGCCTTTTATAAAAGGAAACCGGATTAGCGTTTAATATTTGAGTTAAGGGACACAGGACTATAATGTAAAAGAATGCAAATTAGATATACTTAGCTTTATCGACATTTATATTGGCATTATACTTCATATATCAAACATTTTTCCTATAAACCGGATCGATATATGACATACTATATATGTGTAGAAGCCGACCCGCAGGCTACATAGTAAGTTTCGTAAAGTACCCGCTGATGCCCGTTTTAATCGATTCCAAGTAGCCTGAAGCGCTCCTTTTTAAATATTTACAAACTACTCCACTGACACTGAAAGACGGCCGACTTTCGAAATATATCGACCGGTTAACTATTAAAAATTAATTACTCCGATATGGATTTACTTATATAAGCACAATAAGAAAATTCTTTACACACACATACTTCTTTTTTTGGCATGGAAGGTTATTAACCTAAATACTGTCTATAGTTTACGCGAGTAGTACACATTTAAATAAAACACTTTAACGGTTTAAAACGCGATATATTAGTTAAACTTGTTTGAAAAATTATTTTTAACTTAGGCCCGACTTTTCAGATGCTTTGCACTTTGTCTCCCCGTGACCACGGCTGCTGCATGCTATATCACGTTTTAAACCGTTAAAGTGTTTTATTTAAATAAAGAAACCTTTCCAACTAAAATTCTAAAAATATAATAGCTTGTTCCACTTAAGTGAATTTTGAAATTTTCTTTTATTATAAAAGTATATATAATTAAAGATTGCAATGTAGATCTTTATAAATAATTCTCTTATCGTTTATACACTACCGGCAGGTAAATAGTAACTGCTTCTTGATAGGTGATTTTTCCTTTTATCTGGCTTCCTTTGCAAGTACATCATGGAGTTTAATAGGATCTTTTCATATGTGTACTTCTGTTCTTTACCAGCAATAATAGGTACAGTATAGCACTTAAGTGCGTACTATTAAAAGTTATTATTTCTTAAGAAATTTCACGTTTTACCTATTGCATTAGAATTTAAATGCAATAGTTTTGGTCTAAACAGCTACTGAAGATCCACAAGATTATAAATCATTGCTCCGTGCTGCTAGACGTAGCTACAGTCCCACTTAATATTATATTATCATAATTAAGTTTAATAGGTATTGCCGTATCGTAATTACGTATTATTACAGCCATGCTTCAGTTATAAAGAATTTTTAATTTTTTAACTTAATTGTGCGAGAACACATCTGATTATCAATACGTTAAAAAAAATCGAACTTGACGAGTAGGACACGGTAGCTCAATTTGTTAGAGCAACAACACGGAACGCTGTTGATACCCGTTCAAGTCTTGCCCGTTTCATAAACCTTTTTAATGGAAAATCGGTTTTTAATTAAATTAAATATGACTGTGTTTCATTTATGTGGCAACTGCGATGTGTAAAAACATTAAACGCTACTCGAATTTGCCATCACAGCCATAAAACTTTTTACGACCACTGTTCATGACATTGCGCGTTTTCACGAAATTCCTACCGTTTCGCTGAATTGCTGACGTGATTATTAATGGGTCGAATACTGTTCAGGAGCGGAAGGTTTTTAACTAATTAAATTCTCCATTAGATTTCCATTGTACCAGTTTCATAAAGCTGCAAGTTTGGGAAACAAATGCGATACAGTCATGTAAGATTTGTGTTCAAAGCAAAAACGTTTATATTACTGTACGTGATATTTTATTGAGCAAATTAAGGTAAACAATGTTTTGCACTAGCTTATACAGAAAAGGGTCAAGGAATATTTACTTCTTTGATAGTTTCTCTTCACTTTCTGATAGAGTAATGTTTATATTCAACCCAACGTTTTTCTTATTAGGGTTTGAACTGATATCAGTGTTTTCATTTATGTAGTTCAAATCTGCCTCTGTAAACAAATAAAGGTCTTATTAGATATGAACATATATATAGATTTAATAAACATAAGATACATGCCATTTTTGTTAGTAGCCTTATTCAATATTTTGTGGTAGAGTTCATTAAATTTCTTCTGCCGCTTCATGTTTGAGGGCGTACGGATAACTAATGTAGGCAACAGTATGTAGTGCTCCAGGTTCGGTTCCCGGGATTGAAACTTTGGACGTGCGGAGCTCTTTTTTGATGATGAGTTTCGGGTGCTTTGGTCGTGGTTTACAAGTGACAATGCTACTGCCGCTTGTGTCTATATTCGAAGGTTTGTTCATGTTATTTCTATTTGCAGGACTTGAGGTGCGATAACAGCAGGTGGATTGTTTATTACTAGCACGATTTGCAGCAGAACTTGGACCTGGAGCGCATTCATCACGACTGTGTGGGCGCTGCGTTCTGGCTTCAGAATTTAAGACGTGTTCTTGACTTTTATGTTCACGTCGTGGACTGTTATTATCATGGCGTCGCTCCGTCACAGATTTCCCAGCTTGGCGATCACTGTCAACGTCTTTCTCTTCTCCTTCAAGTCTGTTCTTGTTGCTAGCTACAATGATATCCCCAGTTTTCCCGACGGTTCTACAATTTTCGTGGCGATTGTTCAATTTGACAATGCGATAGTGGCGTCGTCTTCTACGTTCCACGTGAGCAACTCGTTCTCGCAGAAGACTATCTATAAGCCTCTGTAGTTCTGATCGAGGTCCGTATCTTTCCGGATGCGCTATTCGCCGTCCCAGTCTTGTGTTTGGCCAGTGAGTGCGACAGACATCTTCCCAAATAATATCACTCAAGACAGCTTCTCGAGACGGTGTTAATTTTATACCATCATCCCGGGGTGCAAACTCACCTTGAGCCAGATAGTGCACTGTATCCATTAGTCTATAGTCACGTACAGGATTCAGCTTGTGTCGTATTTTGTGTACTCTTTCTGCGGCTATTTTAGGAATTTCATCGCGTTTACACGGGACGGAAGCACATTGCCTTCTTCCTCGAGCAGTGATACCATCGTAAAGAGTAAAATCGCGTCCATACTGTTCGGAATTGTGTTCTTTCTGTATGGTCGTAGCTTTGCTGGGAGATAGTGGAACAGGTTGTTGGGCATAACGTTGAAAAGCTGATGTTTCTGGAATGTGACTATATTCTACGTAACTGCAACCTGGCGCTGTTTTATGAAAGGACTTTACTTTTTCACTTTCCGTTTCCTCATCTGAAGATAACTGGATATTGGGATCGAGCGTCCGGAACACCATTTCTTGCCTAAGTATTCTCTGTTCAAGCCAATCTATTCTCTTATTAATATTTAAGATATTTTTTGCAGATGACGTAATGGTGTCGTTAGAAGAAGTATTTGTAACAATCAATGTGCCTATATTTGTCTTATGTGGATTATTTTTGGAACTTTCAGTCACTGTTTCGAGCTTAGGAATATTTATGGTCATGTGAGGTTGAGTGTACATGTAGCATTTTTCAGAAGATCTTCGCTGTCTGGGGATGACACGAACATCTCCGGATGTACTGGAGGTGACACATTTTGATACGGCGGTTGAACTCTGAAGATAACTGCTAGTGGCAGGAGAGCTTGCGTCTGCCAATTGATCTTCAATATTTGCCTTTAGTTTTGGAAGACTTGTATTGATTTTGATTACGTCGAGATTTCCTTCACTGTAGTCTAAAATAATATAGTTTTTTTAGTTTTTCATGTTATTGTTTATAGACTTACTCGTTCAAACATTTTACTCACGGCTTGTAAATGAAGAATGATCTCCAATAGCTAATCTTGAACGTGATTTTTCAGAATGCTAAAATTAATAATTAGTTGTCATTAATTATATTTATGTAATCAATTATAGATTATGCAATTATTAAAAAAAATATGACTAGTGCGACTAGGGCCACAGTGTAAATAAATGAAATCAAAATATCAAACAATTCAAAGATTACCTTTTTCGGTTGAAACCTGCTCTTTTCAGCTATGTACAATGTTTTGATTGCTGGAGCCCGAGGTTTGATTGATACAAGAACTTTTTGAGATGAGTTTCGAAACGTTGGCCCCTTTTGTAAGATTTCTAAAGAATATAATATATTAACTATTAGTATAATACCTACTTAACTACAACCTTGTATAAATAATCTACATATATGAATCATAGAAAATCATGTTACAGACGTGTCTTGAAACTAAATTACGTTATATTGATATCTTTATAAATACTTAGACCTACCAAGAATAAGTGGTTTTTTTTGAGAACGATTTGAGCCGCCTGGAATCGAATCGTAATCAACTTCTTTTATTAATTTTTCTTCGCGAATGAAGGACTTCTTTTTGGATGGATACTGTTTATTTTCCATCACATCCCATTTTTTTTCTCGCGAGCATAGTTATTTCAATTTGGTGGTGGAAAGTTTGTATACTATAATTTTAAGTAAATTTGTCGAAAATTACGAAATACTAATGACTTCATATTTCAAAGACATTTCCAATGACAGAGACGGCTTTCTTCTTTGAAAAGGGTTTAGGCGTGTTACAAAGAAATTATAATTGTTATTGTTATTTTAATTTTAGAAATTTGATATTATTTTTCAGTTACAGAGGCACATTCCGTTCTTACTATCCTAAAAAGAAAACAGTTTAAGATTTAAAACATGGGTGTTATATTAAATATTGCTACTGTACTTCTTAGAGCCTTGTTTGAAAATAGAAGATATGAAAAACAAGAAATATAACTGTCAAAATTGCAAAGCGTGACGTTTCAGCCATTTGTACTTTCCATAAAAATTGTTAATAAAAATAGTGGGTGAATCTGAGATAAGGACGTATGGATGCTTGAGATTTTCTAGAAAATGGCGGATCAAGATAAAAGTAGCGGCGGAACCGGGGTTTCCCCCGCTGTGGTGGTGGAACAAACGACTAACAGTCGCCACAAGCCTCCATACCGACCTACAGACAAACAAGATATTTCCGAACTACAACACAAACATTCCAAGGCACCGGCGGTACCATGTATGCTAAAATTATTTATATTCTTTTATGACACTTTATGACAACACATATTTATTACTAACATTTGTATGGGAGCTTCGAAGTAAGATGTAGAATGTACATACAAATTAATAAATTTTTTCAGCGCAATTTAAAGTAATATGTTTAGTTAGCGCTGTAAACATTCAAGCTATTTGTAGGACCTTTGCGCGTATTAACTATATATATATATATATTTTAACAGCTGTTGCTGAAGAATTAAAAGCTTCAACCGTAGACACAACTGTTCAAGAAAATGCTGAGGAAAAGGAACAAAGACGTGGTAAAAAATATTTTCGTTTGGTTAAATATATTTTTTACTAAAAATCTTCTCTTTCGTATCCCCTAAATTAACTTTATCCACTATTGCCATAATATAATATAATATTTTTTATAAGCTTTGTGTTTTTACCGCCTCTGTCGCCAAATGGTCAAACGTGCGCTAAGTGCGAGTGGCCCCGGGTTCAAATCCCACGGAATCATTAGATTGTATCGGTGGGGCACAGCACCGACGTTTGATAAACTAGTCTGTAAAAGCACCTGGAAGAACCTAGTGGAACAAGTACAAAAATGTGCTCCATGACCTACGGGGGGAAACAGGGTTTCACTTTGATAAGCTTTGCTTTTAAAACAAGCTTGTACAATCTTTTTGAGCTAAATTTCCTGGAAGACGACAGTTGTGAGATCGTCGGTCTGACGCTGCAGTATTTTTTGTTTTTTTTTTTTAATTTTAATAATGTACCAAACTCTACATGTATAATGTAACTTATTGCAGCAAAATACAACGAAATGAGCAAGCAGAACGCCTCAAAAAAATTATCCATGACCAAGAAGCAAAGTTCTTCACCAGAGGCCATTGCTTTAGCTCACGTCGAAGTCGATACAAAGGTAGATATGAATCGTTATGTTATGAAATACTGTCACGCTCATTGCCTGAAACATGACATGGTTTGTTAATGTGTCCTAATTGGGGTCTAATTACAATGAACAACGCTATTGGGGGCTGAGAAAAATCCTTTATATCGGAGAAATTTTGGTCGAATCGTTAAAAATAATCTATGTAGTATAAGTAGTTATTTTGGACATCATAAATAATGTATTTTTGCAAACAACATAGTATAGATAAAAGTCATACTTACGTATTTTAATCAATACTTATGTTTTGCTGTATTATGTTTCCAGAAGGGTTCCATCACACCACCGTCTCAACCAATACCACACGATGTTGAAGCTCTCTCAGGGGCCGACTTTACTGCTGCTGAAAAGGAAGCCAACAGGAGAGGAGAAACCGACAGCATCACGGACGAGATCTCCGACGCTCGGACCGTTGATACTTCGAAGAAATATTCAAATTGGGTTGGTACTTACTATCCTTATGTTATTGCTTTTAAACTTATTATTATTAAATATTTTCACTTGTAGTCGGCACATATAAATAAATTAAAAAATATTTATAGATGAAAAAAATTACGAGATGGGCAGCACTCAACCCACACACACACACACACACACATCACATCCACAGCTTAATATGCAAGTGTTAAGGTTGAAAGTATATTGCGAGAGACATGCATGTGTATTGTATAGGTTAAAAAAAATCATCGATGACCTGTAAGACACGGTAGTTCAATTGGTTAGAGCAACAGCACGGAACGGTGTGGATGCCGGTGTCGATTTTTAAGTTAAGTTAAACTGTAGTTTAGCGTGGCAGCCCGCTGCGGGTTTTTATACATATTACTCAAACAAAAGAGGGTGTTGTTGAAATGTTGTATAGCATTTTTACATACGTATGTTTATTTATAGTCAGATGACGATGAAGAGGCTGGCGGGCTGCCGCGCAGTGAATCGAGGGCGTCCCGCGTCTCGCGCGTCGTCCGCCAATTTTTCTGTTGCGGCGTCCCCTACGAAGCTCCGTCCGAAGAAAATATCTCCTCGGGACGAGCTTTTGGTCAAGGAATATAAATCCTCACTTAAAAACAACGTCTGCGATACATTCGCGCACTGTTATGTCATTTTGGCTGGCCATTTTCGAACTCTCCTGCTAACACCATCTTTGGTAATCTTTGAATTCTACAGTCAGAGGTTCGGGAATGGCCAGCTGGAACTATTGAAAAAATGTTAACTTGCGTTGTACTTAGTTGGTGTGTACATAAAATTAATAATGAAAGTGGTATTTTATTGTAGTTTTATAGCACGATTTTAAACAAGTTGAAACCCATATAGTACATAATACTTCTATTGAATCCAAATTACAGAAAACCTCGCTTGATTCTGATGGAAAAAGTGATGTTACTCGTGATGAAAAGTGCCAAGAACAAGACATGTTGCCGGTTTGTATTCAATATCTTTTTGTTAGGCCTTAAGTTAAAGTACCTTGAATAAATTCCAACTTTTTAAAACTTGAACTAGAAATATTTTTCTCAATTGCAATGTGTTCTGGTTTCAGGAGATAAAGGAAATAAGTCGCGCTTGGATTTTAGAGCGTCGGGCTTCTGTTGGGCCCTGTTTTAGGCCCGGCATGCCCTTCGAAGGACCGACGGGCATATCGATCTATATTCCAAGGGTATTTCTGTATTTAGGATTCATTAATTTTCTGCAGGCTGAAACTTTTATGGCCAAAACTACTCAACTTGATCTGTTATTATAGATATTATTCTAGCATAGTTTTACCAATACAACACAAAACACAACAGAACAACATTGAGATAATTCTTCTTCTAGTTTCGAAGTGACTATTAGTGTTGATGTTGTATCTGTATAGATGATTATTTTTTTAAATATTAAATAACAGTTTTTTCAGAAGTCCGTGAGCGCAGTGCGGTCGTCTGGAATTAATATAAACATATCACGGTAGGTATATAAAATGTGTAGTATTAAAATTGATATCATCGCACAACACAAATACTTATAATATTTTTTTATTTTCTAGAAAAATTTTATCAGTAAATCAAAGCTAAATGTGAAACTAGAAAAATCTAAACAAGAAATTAAAGAGTGCAACGAAAATGGACTTGAACAAATTGAGGTATTGCCTTTTTCTAAGCTGTTATAAATTTAATTTATTCATCTAGATAATTCAATATACATGACCTATTTCGAGAACAAGGACCAGTTAAATTTATTTAGGTAATAGCAGCAGCAGTAGCTAATTTCGTAAATTGAAATAAACACGTTTTTAGCTGATTAGCTGTAAAATACAAAATATATAGTCTCAGATTTTATTTATTTTTGTAAATGTAAGTTATTTTGTAATGCCGTTAATATAAAAACAAATGCATTTAGAGTTTTAAACCGTTACTTATACCACTCGGTATATTACGTACGTATCATTAAAATTAAGTCCAATTAATCCTAATGTCGTTTTTTTCAGACTAACTGTGAACCCAAGTTGCTAGCGTCTTTGAGGGAAAAGCTTTCCAGCGTACACAACAAAATTAAAAATGCACTACATTGTTAGAATGTATATTTTAAAAACATTTTTTATAAATTGTTTAAACGTTTAGTTAAATGTCGCAATAAAATTGTACAAGTTACAATACAAATGTCAATCGAAAAACGATTTTATGTAACCTATTTATCTTGTAAAAGGAATTATAACATTTAATTGGCAGTTCATTTAATTTATTAATATTAGAATTGATAAATTGTATTTAATGAATTTTGATGTGAACCAAATTAAAGTACTTATTACGTATAGTGTATTTTTTCTAACGTAGCAAAAGACCACTACAAATATGGCCGATTTCAAACCATGGAGAACTAGTGAGGCCCTTTTATAGAGTGTTTTTGCCACAGATGACACAGGGTTTAAGAAGATCCATTGTATATCAACCACCAAGCGACCTCAATATCCAAAATCACTTTTATAACGACTTACTACTTCAATTTTTTCATGTCATTATTATTATTTCGTCGTTGGTAACGCTTTTCAGCGATCGTGCATGAGTGAGAATTTTAGTTTCTATTGTCGTTGATTTGCTTACATCACAAATTTTAACCTGTGCATTTATGTACAATTATTTTTTTTGGGTTTTCATTAATTTTAGCATGAAATTGTGGTTTTTACTAAGTGAACTTGAGGTAGTTCATTAGTTTAATATAGATTTCAGTGTCTCAAAGTGTTTTTAGTGTGAATCAATGTAAACCTTGTGAGAAAATTATGTAAATTGTATATTCGTTTACCAAAAATGCCAAGTAAGAAAAAATTACTATTGGACTATTCACGAACAAGGATCTGTCGCTTTCAGTCGTAACTGCTTCTCAATTAGGACACTCCTAGGAACTGTCCGCATAGAACAAGATGGGCTTTTCAGCGGCATTTGATGCGTAAGATTAGCCGCCCTAGCGCTATCGTAGTCAACCTCCCTCGGACGCCAGCAAAGCTCCGTACTGCCGCATCTGCAGGTCATTTCTCGGCATATCTGTTCAATAAATAATTAATTATTAATTAAAAATCGATTTAAGATTGAAAAAAATGACGACACGAGTATTACTTGAACGGAACGCTGTAGATGCCGTACAGCGTTCCGTGCTGTTGTTCTAACTAATTGAGCTACCGTGTGCGACACGTCATCCTTAATTTTTTTCAACCTATTGATACATCTAACATAAATTTAAATCTAAAATCTAATTTAGTTTACAAGTATCTTATGCTTTCATGCGCATATCCAAATATTACCTTTTTCAAAATTAATAAATAATCTCGTATCCTATTGTATTTTGAACGTCTAATGTTAGTTAAAAAAGACTAAAAAACAGAACTGATATAGCTATAATTAAGGTTATAATTATTTTAACTGTGTCTATAAATAATCCGTGGTCGGTTATATAATACATTATCTTAAGCAAAGTTCTCATAACGTTGCTAGATAAACTTTTAAAATTCATTTAAGTATTGGTATTATAAACAAAAATCAACAATACAAACAGTTATTACGCCATAATAGATTATTAAAAATACACTTAAGGTAAGCATAGTTTGACGTAAGATACACAGCGTAAGATGTGTTCAAAAACGCATTTTGGTATTATACATATTAAATTAAAAATTGTTAAAAAATAAGTAAAAAAAACGTCAGACACCCGGCATACAGTTTTATTTACTACCCGTGAATAAATTAGGAGGTAAATAAGATTCCCACTAGTATTTTTAAGACATATTTACAAGAATATTGATTAGATAACAGTAAAAGTGTGTCTGTTTTTATGAAGACTAAGTACCAACATACGGAGTACCAGTTGACAGTGGTTCCTAATTAGTACGGGGTTTGGATTTTTCACTTTCTTTCACGTGAATCAAGTATTTACTCATACCTCCTTGTCACAGAAACAATATAAATTATACCGTGAAATTTAACTTACTGTCGCAAGATACTCGTCACGACAAGCATCTGGACAGTTGCAAGTCCAGTTCACTGGTGGTACACATGGCACTATGGGTGGGTTATAGCAAGTCTGCGGATGAGCAATGCAAGACGGGCAGCAGCATTGTTGGCACATGGTGTAGACCTGAAACATATTATGGATGTAAGCGAAGCTGTCTTAAATTCTAGGAATTGGAAATAATTTCCTTGGCTGCTCTGTTCTTTATGTAAATAGTCGATTTTTGGTCGAATTATTAGGTAAAATGTAGTTATTAGTTGAAATATAATTATTAGTTCTGATATTTTAAACTACGACGCGTCCGAGGGCGGATAGGATGGAGCAGTCCGATAGCCGTGGTTGAGTCAAGAACTTATAGTTTAATTTTGATAACAATAGAAGGTATTTTATTTATCTAAGTAAACGTACTGTACTTAAAAAATATAATTTATTGTACGCTTGAAGAACTTAACATAATAACTTGTAAATAATATCAATATGTTCAAGTAGTGGTCTACCTAAGTCCTGGAAGAATTTATACAACACGCGAAAACATTCTCAGGTAAAATACAATAATAGGTGTCTCCTCTAATCACTATACAATAAAAGAAATAATCCATCCATTAATTAACACAAAACATATACCTCCTAAAAATGCCTCGAGTAGCGTTGTGTTAAGCGCGTTGTTGGTTTGTATACCGGCAAAACATAACGTATAGTTTTAGACGAACGGACGGTATTACAGTCTTATCAAATCACCTAATAATAAATAAATAATTCAATCAAGAATTGCGATAATTACCAAAGATATAGCGCGACAAATTTCGTTTCGGACGTAAGGTAGACAGTTGCAGAGAAGGCAATTTTCGAACTTCGTGAGCTCTGGAACACCTAAATTCTTTTCTATCCCGGATGGACCTAGAACAACCTGCAATAGAAAACATAGTATAAATAGACCTCTTGAATTAATAAGGCCTACTACATATGGTAATCTATCAACATGGGATTGTAGACGGCTTTTTACGCAATAAACTTAATGTTTTTTGTTTGATCTTTTTTTTTATTTGAAAGCTTCTTAGTGTGTATTCATCATTAAAAATGTCTAATAAAGAAAATAGTTAAAAATAATAATTTATCACCTCACTAGCGAAGTACTGGCAATCGGGTGCACAGGTCCCAAGACTATCAACATATGCACACTGAATAACATTGGAGTTGCCCTGCAAGCCTTTGACCACGTTAATAGCTGTTCTGGCTATCGCATAAGCCCCAGACAGGCAAGCTGTTGCTTTTGAACAGCCTTTTGAAGCACATACCGCTTCACTGCCGCTCATAATACACGAAGTTACGCACTCGATCTGGACATTTATAACAAAAACTTAGTTCTAAAACACATGTTATAAAATTATAAATGATAATGTTTGGTATTTATTTTAAGAAACTATACCAATAAATTAATTTGATAGTTGGTCAAAGCTTCTTCTCATTAAGTTCAGTAGGTCAAAAACACCAACCTGTTCCTGACTCATAATGCAAGGATGGACTGCAGCAGACAGCACGGGCACCATGGTAGTTGGCGTTGCACCGCCCACCACCGGGACCCTAACAGCTTCGGGAGGGACACGTAAGAAATCGGCTAGGACGGTGTTAGCGCGAACACAGTTCAGCTCAACGCAACCAAGTAATCGCCGCGGGTCGTACTTGCAACGGCATCTTTGGATTTCACCAACCAGAGGTACTAAACTCTCTATTGGTTCCGTTGCCACTATTGTAAATGCCTGAAATATTTATAAATACGTTATACAAGTTTCGTATCTATTTCAATAAGATAGTGTTGCATAAAATAATAGACAGCAATAGTCAAATGACTGTGTTTGAACCAGAAGTATTAATTTAAAGTATTATATTTAAAGTTGCAATGAGGGTAGTTTCTTAAAAAAATTTTTGAGTGACCCACCCACACCTAAATGTAAAATGTGCGATAGAATTACGTAATGTTATGTCTGTGACATGTCTTTCTGGCATACCTTCTCCGTGAGCATTTATACACCATGACGCATCACAGCACATAATCAGCCCCAATCTAATTCCAATTACCAAATTGGACGAAAGTGTTCTTCATACATAGGTTGATTTTTAATCCTAAATTTGATGTGTCGCATAATATTGTTGGCGACAGCTCTCAGTATTGTGATTTTTATTTCAATGCATTAAGCTTTTCAAAGCGTATTGGCTAGCATTTTCATTATTTCCTTACATACATGTAGTCTGTCGTTGATAATTATATTTTAAGTATTATTTCAGCTAAGACCATGTCAAATAGAACATGCACCTTTACCGTGTCACTAATATATAATATATTAAAATAGTACGTAAGTACTGTCTGTAGTTTACACGAGTACACATTCAAAATAAGGAACAATACGGTTTAAGACGCGATATATATATTAGTTGAACTTGTTTCAAAAATTACGACGTTTCGGATGTCTTGCAGCAGGCGCGATTTAACGGGTTTAAAGTGTATTTTAATAGTAAGTACTCGTATGTTCATTTGTTCTAGACAAATTGTATGCGTTATTGTAATCTAAATACTGTCTATAGTTTACGCGAGTAGTACACATTTAAATAAAACACTTTAACGGTTTAAAACGCGATATATTAGTTAAACTTATTTGAAAATGATTTTTAACTTCGGCCCGACGTTTCGGATGCTTTGCAGCAGCCGTGGTCACGGGGAGACTCCCCGTCGCGTTTTAAACCGTTAAAGTGTTTTATTTAAATATTGTAATTTACTAAAAAATAATTATGTTCGGCTTTCGTCTTTTGTTTTGAAAAGTTCAGTAGTGTTTTTGTTGAGTTCTAATGGGGTCTTGCTAGAGTGCAAGAGCAGGTACACGTCACAGACGTAATACTGTTAAGATATCGATAGGAACGTAAATATTAGTACAGAAACAAACTGTTTTATAAAAAAAAGAACAATCCGAATCCAATTAATTTTACTTACATCGGGGCACGTGTTGCATATTTGCAAAGCTATTTCTGTCATAAGAGGCGAATTAGCCTCAAAGGTGTCTTCTTCGTTTCTCGCGACGATTATAACTATTCTAGCACCCTGGAAAAGGCAGTGGATGTTATAAATAATTAAACATCCACCAATCACATCGGAGACTATTTGCCAAGATGACATACTCATACAACATACAACATGGATGTTGATCTAAACGATTCCTTACCCGGGTTAGATTCTATATAAACCTATTCATCTTTGTAACAAGGTTTCTAATTAATTTTTTATTTTAATTTATATTGAAATTCGCCTGGATATTGAGTCGATATCTAAAATTCCGCCCGGGTCACGAACCACCATCCACAGATGAAAAAGCTGTCAAGTTTAATCGCGTTTCCGTTTCAGTATGTGAATTTAGAAATGTCGAAAACCAAAACAGGTCGGGTATTATACTTACTATCGAGCGAACCCCATGCTGCCATAAAAAATAAGAAAATGTATGACAGTATAAGTACTTATAAAAAGATATACAACGTAAGGAATACCTTCAAAGCATCACACAACATATGCCCTCCGGAAAATGAAGACACCTTACACTTAGTGTCTACGTGACTTAGTTCCATGCCGTACCCGCAGGTGGCGCATAAGTCATATAGCGCAATTTCATCGAGTAATGGACATTGTTTCAGTAGAAGGGCTAAAGGTTCCCCTAGCGAAACAAAGATGGCTTCAAAATTACGATTTACTTAGTATTCAGTAAAGTTTGTTCGCGTTGTACCCTAATTACTGTAATGTACATATATTATGTTATACCAAGTTTTCGTAAATAAAGTTCGAGACGATTTGACTGTAATTTATACCTATAATTAGCTGGACCGACAAGCAATTCTCTTTACAAGGATCTGGTAGGGGACTTTCTCATCTTTACTCAGTGATATTTATTGGGCGACAAGTGATAATGGTTCAGTTATAGAGCGTTATGAAAAATTATTAAATTCCGTTAACAACTATCAAAAAATTAGTAATAGAAGTGTAAAACTTATGTTGCTTGTATTTTAATGCTACAGAAAATAAATGTTCACTTAGGCGTATGAAACATATGTAGTAACCGATTCTCGATTCACTGAATATGGAAATAAATTTAACAAAAAAAACGGTCGAGCAGTTTCGGAGGAGTGTTAGTTACACTGTGACACGATAATTATATGTATTAAAATATATATTTCACTTATTTTTGGTTACGTAAAAGATAAAAAAAATAGAACTACCTGTGCACCCAGCGGCACCACATATTGTAACTTTCATTCCAGTTGGACACGCGCTATAAAACCTCATGCGGCTTCCACATAAAGACTGCGCACCGATTATTGTCTTCATATATTTGTTGGCTACAATTTTCGTACATTTACACGCATTCACCACACATTTTAGAAACATTGTATTTTCAAACTGTTACAATTTTTTTGAGCTATATTATATACTCATGTATATATTTTTGTTATTTTTTAAATTTAATTAAATTTTTTATCATTTTTGTATATCAAGTAATGTCAAATTTGGCATGTTTATTCTTCTCTCCTTCTACCTTCCCTTTATTTATCGACAGCAAAATAACTTATGTCGACTCAACGCGTCGACGAATATATAAAAATTATTGTATATTATCTGTATTAAACAAAGGTAGGTACCTATGTTTAATACAGATATAAAAATTTTTGCAAAAAAGAGACTATTTTATTTAGGCCATAAAATAAAGATTATATTCGATTCACGTCATGATACATCGTAATGCAAGTAAAAAGAATATACATGATTATTTTCGTGTTGTACGATTTTATAGTACCAAAGGTTACACGAAACGTTACAAAACAACAAAGTTGTAACTGTACTTCAATAATTGTTGATAGTGGCATAATTATAGTCATCTATGAATTCTTTAATAGTTCTCAAAAGAGTTTATATAACTGAATCCTGTAAAAATATTGAGTTTCCCGTGAGCTTGAAAGCAATACGAAATGAAACGTGTGAGACAAAAATTCCGAGCATTATTACATCCTGATAAAAAAGCATTGGAGATTCAGGACGTATTGAAACCGATTATTCAGACAGTCACTTTCCTAGGATTTTTACCCTATAGTGTGCGATTTTCATATTTAAAACAGAAGTACAGAGCGATACCAGCCTCTCTCCTTTTTAATAGTCTAAGTTGTTTTATTCTTCTTTCGTTAAATTTTTCCTTTGTAATTTTCCACATTTTCCTTTTATACTCTCCTAATTTGCACTTATTACCTGGGATATTCCTTGAATCGGTAGCTACATTAAATTACGTATTCGAGTTCTGTAACTATTTCATCACAAGTGTTATTAGTTACACTTACTCATATGTTAATCGATCGAAGTATGTTAAAATATTTAACACTATAGTTTTAACATGGACCAGTATTCCTACTACTAACAAGGGGCAAGGAATTTTAAAAAAGTTACGTAAACAGCGGAATGTGATGTTTATTGGATTAATAATACTACTTATCATAAAGTTGTATTTGACCACCAAACAAAGGAATATATGGTGGACATTAATGGTGGTGTTTACGATGAACATTCCACAATTACTACAGATTATCTTACACGGTTTCTATACAACCCTCGTGTTATCTGTATCTGCAATTTTATGCAATCTAAAGGACCAATGTAAGAGTTTGGAAAAAGATATAAAAACATTAAATCCACCTTTCGTTTTTAACTCTAAACTGACCATGACTTTGCGCCAAGTAGAACTGGTATATATGAAGGCATTTGAACTGAAGTGTGACATAAATAATTTATTTCAAGTTCCTCTTTTAATATCGGTAATCCAAACATTTCACGCCTTAGTGTGTGAGTCTTATCAAGTTTACCACGGCATTATAAAAGAGCCGATTTTAACTGTACCCGAAATCGTTACCAGTAGCATTTGGATTAGCGGCCATATTATTCGAATATATTTATTATCGTATTCAGGAACCTCACTAAAGCTCGAGGTAAAATACTACTGAAGTCCTTTTGATTTTGCCTTAAGTGCAAGAAGTTCTACTTTCATTTTAAAATTTATGTAAATTTCAGTCATCGAAAATTGGCCAAGCCCTATACAGCATTTCAACGGAGCGGCAAGAGTTACGTCGGATGATGGAAGTAAATATTCTAATTCTTAAAAAATTACAAAAATATAAGTAACATTGCAAAATAAAATAATATACCTTAATATTGCAGATAGAACATTTTTCGTCGTTATTAAAACATCAACCAATGGAAATAAGCTTGTGTGGTTTCTTTCCTTTGGATGGTACTCTTCTGTTTAAAGTAAGTATAAGGCAAAAATGAGATAACTAGCTGTGTCAGCGACTTTGTCCGCATAGAACAGTTATTATGGAAATCCAGATTTGTTTTTGCAAACCTCCTCCTTCGTCTTTGAAAATATAAGCTGTTACCCACGACGTCGTCGGGTCCCGTCGTTCTTAAAAGATAGATATATACTTTCGTGGACTTTTCTTTAAATCATTTAAAGAGAAATCATTCATTTCTACATATTATTTGGGAATTTTAAACTGTTTTCGCAGCGTACACAATGATAGAAACTATTCCTTTTTCCACAGTCCCGTTGTTTCTTCGCTCCTATTAGTCTGAGCGCAATGTTTTATATCCTATCCTAACTTTTCTCGATAAATGATCTAACCTAACCAACACAAAAAAATTTTTTCGATTCTCACCAGTGGTTCCTGAGATTAGCGCGTTTAAACATACAAATAAATAAACAAACTCTTCAGCTTTATAAATTAGTATAGATTGTATAATAATGTTTAATTATAGTTGCGTTTTAAAATGAATCTAGGGTTTTTTTACTGTATACTGTATAATCTTGTTTATTTTCAGATAATTTCATCCGCAATGACATACCTGATTATCCTAGTACAATTTGCTTGAACGGAGTTTTACATGCTACTCGAATCTTTTAATAAAAAAATCTCTATTTCTTCAAGAACATCAAAATAACAATCAAAGCGTAAACCTAGTTACCTTTTTAGCATAATATTTTTTTGCATTCATATTTAGCCTTTTAGATAGTTTTGCACAATAATAATTCACTTACGACTAACTTATTATAATATGCTACAACTAAACTACTTCTATACTTTGTGAGAAATTCACGATTTCATGTAAAGTGTGTATGTTTACTAAAAATGTCAAGTTAGAAAAAATACATGTCAACTTACTATATTGGTTTTTTCACATCATTTGAATTTACTATAATTTTTTTCTTATTCTAAATGTGCTATCAAAAATATGTGAAGAGTCTCTTTAACATTGTTTATCATTAACATTTTTACTCTTTACTCTTCGGAAAGTTAGTGACATTTCGTTTAAGCAATCTGTGGTTTTAATTTATCATTTATTCAACGAGTTGCCGGCTGCTTGATTTATTATTTTGTGTATTGTAATGTTATTAGACAATTAAATAAATTTCTTTGTATTGTGAAAGTAAAAATAGACCTTTAATTCGCATAATAAACAGTTTATTCGTGTTAGTAAGAAAAATATTTGCCGTTGTGGAGAGAATACACAGGATGGTGAGTAAAGATTCACAAAAATGTTAATAAAGGAATGAAATTACTAATATAAATAAATGTATGCTTATCTGATATTAAGAAAAGTTGTATTGGGTTTAGCTCATATGTTTGTAGTGAGAAATCGATCTTGAACCGGCTTATATACGAGGCCATCTTGCTTATTGTATAGAGCCGCCATGTCATATTAGAATCACATGTTTTTTGTATTCGTGCGTATTATACATAAAATATTGTAACAAGAAAACATAGTATCCCTTAATTCATTATAAAACTGGTGGATCGACATTCAGTTGATGATGATGAACACTTACCTTCAGGTAACTTGATTTAATAACTTGGTTATATAAGTAATACATATGTTTAATAATAAACAAGAATTTTTCACAGTCGCTCGTAAAAGTACAAATCTTAAACACGTAACAATGATATTTTCACTTGACGCAATCAAATTTTACAATGTAGATAAATTGGTAATAAAATTAAACTTAAATATTTTAATAAACAAACTGATCTGGTTATGAAAAAGATAGGGTAAGTAACGCCTTAAAAATATTTGTGAATTACTTTTTGTTTAAAAAAGTAGGTAGTCTAATACTACAAATAAACAATATTTAAAATGATACTCACTGTAATAGACTCAAATTTCAATGCCTAAGTTTCCTAATTCAATCAATCAAATGACAAAAATTTACATAGAATTTGTAATTACCCTACTGTATAAATTGAAGCTTGATCTTATTTCTACTAATTGTATTAAGAAATAGAACATCAGTACTATAAGTTTAATTAGCCATGACTGCCAACATAAATCCTGTTATACTGTCTTTAAGATTGTATTTTGTTAAGAAGAAAAAAACTTGTGTAAAAAACTTAACCATTTAGTACTATTGAAAACATTAATATTTTTCACATGTTATTGCACATGAAGGCACTATATAATTAATTTTCGATTTTTAAATCATTTAGTACTAGCTTTTTTTAAATTTCAAATTAAAAAATTGCTAGCGTTAGAACTGGTTGTTTGTTGATAACAGATGGATGGAGGTGTAGTACACCCTCACCCTGGGGTTGTCCACGGAGGTATGCCAGGTGTGGTACATGGTATGCCAGTCCATGGTGCCGGTCCAGATGGAGAGCATGCACCACACGGGCCGAGGAGAAGATACCAGAATAGACCTAAGCCTCCAAACAATTTAGAAAGACTGCCTTTGGATGAAGCTGCTAAGAGAGTAAGCTTATTATTTATGTTGGTTAAAATGTCTTAAACACCATACCATGATTTGAATGTGCTCAAAACTCATTATTACATTCATTCAATGTGAGTTCTGTATATAATTAATATTGATGCAGGAAATGGAGTCCCTACCTATGAAGACACCTGTGTCTGTATTGCAAGAGCTACTGGCTCGCCGTGGAACAGTGCCCAAGTATGAGCTGGTGCAAATTGAGGGAATGATTCATGAACCAACATTCAGATATCGAGTAACAGTTGCTGATTTAGTTGGTAAAGATATACTTATATAAGATATTTATATTTTACAACTCTAAAAGTCTAAAAATCATACATATAAATTGTTATCCACTGTGTATCAAGTGTATTAACAAAACGACAAAATGTTTTAAGTCTATTAAAATTTATTAAGTCTACTTAATCTTTTCCTATTTTAAATGGACACAATTAATCAATTTACAGCCATGGGTACTGGAAGATCCAAGAAAGAAGCCAAACATTCTGCAGCAAAGGCCCTCCTCGACAAACTAACTGGAGCAGCTCCGGCTGATCAAAACACTAATGGAAATGTTCCGGAGACGTGAGTTTAAAATGCCTAAAGTTTTACCTATATAATAATTTTAAATATGTTGAATTGTGCATTCAATAAATATATATTCATAGGTACATATAAAATAGAATGAGTAGTGTTACAGATTATATGTAATACATTATACTTTCTGCATTTCAGTGGTGCTGTTGTGTCATCGTTTGAGGACAAATTGATGGGAAACCCTGTAGGATGGCTGCAAGAGTTGTGCATGTCTCGCTTCTGGCCACCGCCATCTTATCATGCTGAAAATGACGACAATGTCAATAGACGTTAGTACAAATAAAACAACATTACCAAATGCTCTACTGAAATATATGCTTAGATATTTCAAAAGTGGTAAAGTGCCACATTGGGTGTATGTGATGAATTATAAAGTGAATTGTCAGTTAATAAACCTTACTTTGTAGAAATTGTTGCTGTTACTTGAAGTTAAATAAAAACTTTTTTATAACAGAGGATGACAAACAAGCTTCACGTGTTCAATTCACATTCAAGTTTACTTGATGCTAGGTGAAACACACCAGCCATATAACTCAATATAACCTATTTTGGCTTTGGGTATTCCGAAAAACACAGACTGAAATCGAAACGCGATTAAACTTCACGGCCTTTACAGATGTGGACGGTGGTTCTTTACCCTGATGGAATTTCGATATTCCTACCATCCATTTAAGTCAGATTTCCTGACAAACTCTAACATGTTTCAAAAAAATTATGAATTGATCGAAAAAGTGCTAAACCTGGGATCAAACCTACGGCACGTTGATTATTAGCCATACATTGCTACTATTAAGCCAACAATCCCCTCAAAACTTTACAAGTTAAGAAAATACAATTTCCTTTTTTAGTTGTCCTACTATTACTAAATTTTTGTTAAGGTCTTCCTCACGAGCGTCAATTCACCATAATTTGCACTCTGCTTAAACGTCGCGAGGTGGGTACAGGCAAATCAAAGAAACTTGCTAAACGACAAGCAGCTTACAAGATGTGGCAGGCGCTTCAGGACAACCCTCCCGAATCATTCCAACAAGAAGAAGAGGTTTGTACTTGTATCAATATTTCTTAACATGGTGTGATATTAACAAACAATTAATACTTAGCCATGTTTTGTATACCTCTGAGAGGTGTATTTCGTTTAGGTTGTAACTAATATATTATCTTGAATTAGGGTATACTGTTCCAGTTTACTAACAAGCATAAGTAATGTATAAACTAATACCAAAAAAAATTGAGGAAATCCAAAATTGATAAATATTGAATAATATGTAATTGGTACTCAATTTTGAAGTTTTATAAGTTATAATCAGTTTGGCCAAATAAGTATTGTAAGTAATATGCAAGCATTTTAATAAAATACTTTAAACAGTTTAAAATGCAAAAAACGTTTCTACAAAATTTTTTTTTCTATTCTAATTTAGTGTTTTTTTGTGCATACAAATGTATTAGCTAAATAATGATAATGTTTTAATACAATGACTTATCTTTCATCACAGTAAACATTTTGGTAGCCACCGCTGGCTATTTTGTGTGAGAGGTTAGCACTTGGCCAGGTTTTTTACTATCTTTCGATCGGCTACAGAAACGCAGAAGGGTAGTGACCCTTCTAAGTGTAGTAAAAGGGATCTCTAAGTCATGTTTATTTACACAAATACAGTAAAATTCTGGTATAACAATGTATAAGAGACAATGATATTACATTGTTGGAAATGAGAAGAAATAAATATGTGTTCATTTTTCTTAAGTGTGGATTATGGTTTTATGTAATTTTAACACAGGCCAGATACTTTCGTCCATAAGATGTATGGCAAAATCGTATCTTACACGCGTACTCGCTTAAGTACTATAACGCGCGGAAAACAAATAATAAATAGTTAATCGTCTACAATTTGATTGTAACGTTAAAATTCATCGTTCTAAATAAATACTTTGATGAGAAGCATCGCGCCACGGTTCTTTTAACGGACATAGTTGTAGCTAATATGAAAAACCAAGCTATTCCTGCTAATATTTATCGGACGGACTATATTGTCTTATTGCTGAAAGGATTTTAATAAAGAACTACAGAAAAATTGAAAGTATTCCTTTCGCGTTGTGTTATCTACCGCTTCTATAATTGGTGTTATTTTCTAGGGCAGCGTCGCGTCCCGCTATGCCGACTTGAAAGATAGTAAAATCTCCACATTAACCACAAGTCACAGCCACAAGGTGTCGCAGTTTCACAAACACCTCAAACAGTCTGTCGGGCCTAACCTGGCCAAGTTGCAGGTACGGCATTTCTTTATACTATGCATGGTTGTCGTTGGCATGATCTGTCTTTGGGTTTCTACACAAACTGTAATTTAGATGCATCTAACTGCAATGTCAGGTGAATAAAAAATTAAGAATTTTGCATGTTACATCCATTAATTAATTACTATGTTATCTAATTTTGTCTATAACATATATTTTAATGTTACTGTAATGTATTGATAACGTTTACTTTCAGACTATCTATATTTGGTTATAAAATATTTAGATATTGGTAGGTACTTAGCCATATGTTAATGTACTTTTTTTTAAGTAAGGGAAGACACTATAGAAATATGTATTTAGCAACATTATATAAACTTACAGGTGACTCCACTGAACAACAAGGACTTCAACTTTGTGAAGTTTCTGCAAGAGATTGCTTCGGAGCAGTCATTCGAAGTGACGTACGTCGATATAGAGGAGAAGTCGATGTCCGGCCGCTGCCAATGCCTCGTTCAGCTGTCGACTCTACCGGTGGCTGTCTGCTATGGCGCCGGGCTGACAAGTAAGGACGCGCAGTCCTCGGCAGCCCAAAACGCTCTTGAATACCTCAAGATTATGACCAAAAAGTGAATCGTCCCCCACCGCGACAACAACTAAGCCCGCACACCCGCGACATATTTGTTATACGTAAAATATATGGCCACTACACATCATCCGTTTACATATAAAAAATAAGTTGCACGAGTGACGCCGCTAGTTGAAGGTCGCGTGGTTTAGAGTCCACTAACACCACTCTTATCGGTTTGGCGCCAGCCAAAGCACTTCGGGCTATGCTGTATAACTGGCACATTTGCAGTGATTTATTTTATTTACAAAAATTGCTATTTAGTCATACTTTACAGGTCTAAAGTTTTCAGCTGATATAACTTAAATCACAATGAATACTAAAACGTTTTTTTTTAGTTCTGAATAAATAAAAATAATGATGTAGCTACACTTTGCTGTATACCTGGCAAAAGTCGATCCCCATCCAAGACAATTTAACGTCATTGTCGATAAATACTATTGTTTTCGTAAATTTGTTCTCATTGTGATTTGACATAATAAATAGTTCTGGGCCGGACATGGGCAGCGGGCCTTATTTTGTCCTCTATTCATTTGTGCCGTTGAAATCCGATCCCGAAAGAAAAATTATATAGTAACTGCCAATGTGCGAGAGTACACAGCATAGCCCGTAAACTTTAAGGAATCAAAGTATGGAGTGGTCATAATATATAATACAAGCTATACTTTGCATAGAATTAGTGTAATTTTCCCAGCGTGGAAATTACTTATAAAAATAAAAAATACAAAAAAACAAATAAAAAATATAAAAATAACAAAAAAAGTGTGTATATAACTTTCCAGTTTAATATTCAGCATTATTTAGGCATGTTTTTGCATTAATATTAAATTGAAATCATATTTATCAAAATCATTAGCTTAAATAATATACTTATGATATAACAAAATGTAGATCGTATTGTTTCTTAAAGACGCCGTCACATATCTTTTCCTGAACGGGTGTGTTGAGATTCTCTAACGTGCTGAGCATTAAACGGAAAATATTCTCAGCTGGTTGTCGTATTGACGAACTGTCCGAACCTTTGCTTTATTTTTGATTTTATTTAATACCCACGAAATTTAATACCGAATAAATTACGAACGCCGTTTGTATTCCATGTGCATTATATTAGTTGTAACTTGTAACACTGTAGCTGAATAACGACACTCGAAATCTTAATCGAGCAAGGGTTGGGTCTTGTGCGAGATGGGCCGAGCTGCGAAAAAGGGTCGCTGAATGAAATTACTATGAATTTTACCAATAATCGTGTACATTTTATTTTCTACATGATGGTAAACTTTGCATGAAAGCTGAGAACTATGCGTTTGAGTGAATTATCACTGGAAAATAACGGATGAGAAGCCAGGAGAAACCTTGCCTGTGAAAATGGGCATTATTTTAATGCAAAGTATAGAGGTTGTAACATTTTCTACCAGTACAGAATCGTCGTTGACGCCGACTCGTCTACGCTTACGCGAGGGTTCTGCACACGCCGAGTTTCTTTTAAGTTGAATGGTGTGTCTCACCTGCCCGTTGAATATCGGTCGCACTGTTCAAGTTAGAAAAGACCAGTAATTTGAATAAAGGAATGGAGTTCTGTTCAACCAAGACCTACTAAATGAAACTATAATGTCCGACCAACGAGGCATCGAACAAGTGTTATATTTTATGTTTAGTTAGTCTTGGTTCCACTAGTTGTAATCGTTAAAAATAATGTAAACGTAGATGGCACTGACCTAGAGGTTCTAACATTTCACTTGCCTAGATGTATTAACTTGTTGAAATGAACTTTTGAAATAGTTTTCTTTGTTTTGCTAATAATAAATACAGTAAAATTGGTGTTGCTTTTAAGTGTTGTTTTATTTTACCCAATTGCAAATTAAAGAAATAATGCATAGCATGCATGAGCTTTACAACTTAGGATGAGGACGTTAAAATACTATTTATTCTTAATAATTACTTTAATACTATTTAATGTTCAAATGAAGGAAGTTTATTTCAAATTATTCATTTTTATAGTATACTAAAATATTATCTATTATGGTAACTTAAATTTGGCCTTAATACTTTTTTACTTTAGAAGTATAATTACTTTTACGTGTAAATTTAAACCTGTTCAATTTAACATGTCTTTGGCTTAAATTTGGTGTTAGGGAAAACGGAGGTTGGGATGTATATGTGTCCTGTGGTGGACTGTAGACGGGCGAATAATTCTCATCTTCTGTAGATAACGTCCACATTTCAACTTCGGGTCCTGTTGTGTCTATTTCCATGGCGACTTCATTATTAGAAATATCTTGAAGTATAGAACTGGTATCGATTAAATCATAATTGCTTTTATAATCGTCTAACATAGGTGAATAGGTACTATCTGAGAATTCAGGAGGCGGTGGTATAATTTCGTCGCTCTGCACAGATTGTATTAACGTTTTTGGATTCAGCAGCGCTTGGGTTACCTCAAAGTCATTTAAATCTTCAATAACTGGATTAGGTGGAGAGTCATTCAAGTCATCGTCACTTATTTCATTGGGAGAATTCTCAGATTTCGATATAGCTTCACTATATTCTGCCTTTGGTAATTCTGTTATTTGTTCGTCTAGACATTTCCTCAAATTAGGGTCGTAAAAGTCAGCGTCTGGTATAACCATTGGTAAAACACTGGATACTGTTTTGTTCACTGGCTCATTTTTCGTGTCAAATATAACTGAAGTTAATGAATTTGGTAAAGGGATGTCAACTTTGTGTAAATCGCTGATCTTATATAGTCTTCGCGGTTTTACCGTACACTTGTTCAGATCGTTTTTAAAATTCTTGACGGGACTAAGCACGGGCGTTTTGTTTTTACTGTAAATATAAGGATTATTAGACATTATTTCGGTGTATTTATAAAGATTAAATAGTATATTAAGCGTATGTTCATAACTTAAGTTCCGCAAGCTTTAGAATGAAAATTATTATTACAAACCTTATGCTAAGTTTTGTTTGATATTTCTCTAAGATATCATTAATGGATACTGGACTTTCACTACGTTCTAGCTCTTCGACCTGGCATTTTTCGTCTTGAACGGACGTTGTTTGTAGTTCTTTTAATTTGTTGTTGAAATTTGGCACTTTTACGCTTGAGAAACATGTGCTGTCTATATATTCATTATGTGATTTATTTACATCACAATTAACCGAACTTGATTCTAAAGTCTTAGATTTATCAATCCCTATATCAACATCATCTTCAAAATTATAGCTTTCGTTCAAATTATGCTGTCTCGTTCGAATTTCTGTTACATCAAGATCTATTTTAACTCTGCTAACTATATGCAGTTTTCGCTCCGGTAATGTTTTAGTGCAAGCATTCACTTGTGTAGCAGTGAACGAGTATTTGTTAATCGTATCGTGTTTTTCATTTCTGTTTCTATTACTTCCACCAAAGCTCGATACAGTATTTACATCCTGAATAGATACATTTTCTGGTCTTTGTATCTTATTTTCACAGTCCGATGGAAGAGCTATTTCAAATATTCGATATCCGTTAACATTATTTTGGCGATTAAAAATATTGTCTATAGCCGGTAGAGGTATTGTATTTGGTTTCAATTGTATTGTGCTTAGATTATTAATTTTTTGTTGAACAACTCTATCTTTGTCACTACTTGTATCAAAACGAACTATACTACGCCGAATTTTATTACACGAAGGAATCGCTAATGATAATTCGTCGTTTTTGTTATTGAGTTCTATATTTTCAGCCACAATTTGAACTGCTTTATTTGTAAAGCAAGATTCTTTGAAATCATTTCTCGGGGTATTATTGTAAATAAACTGTTCAGTGCTATGTGAGTCATCATCAATTTTATAATTCACTATTTTTTTCTATTGTTGTCGTTGATATTATTAGTAATTAGATCATTTAATAAATATGGTAAACCTTCATCAACGTTAGTTTTATGCATTACTTTAGATTTTCCAACTTCATTTTTAGAGGTAGCACAGTCAGAGTTTTTTATGGAATCCGTTCCAGAAGGCATCAATAATTCATTTTTATTTACATTTTGAGCACTTGGCAATCTTTTATCTTCACAATTATCAGGTTTGACATCACTAGGTGTAAGATGTTTGGTATTTTTAGAGGTCCCACAGTCAGCGCTATTAATAGAATCCATTCTAGAGCTTATCAATGTCTTATCAAAGTCTGTTAGTGACTTATTATTAAATTTATTCTGTATGTTTTCCATAAACTGTCTAACATTGTCTTTGATGACACTAGAGAACGCTGTATCCGTTTGTGTTATATAAGTATTTTCATTATCTAGACACTCCTTCTTTTTGATCGAGTCTATAAAGCTAAAATTGCTTTTCGGAGTCTTTCCTTTAAAGTAGTCATTCTTAATGGCTGGCGTATCAACTACTTTATTTATTGCATTTCCTTTGGGTTTCTTTGAAACAGGTCTATTACAACATTTCATACTACTAGTACTAGCCATTTCAGATTCAATTTCTTTTAACACATTCATTATTTCTCCATCATCAACATCTGGCGTGTCAACATTGTCTAGTACGAGATCTTCATAGTTATATTTATCATCACATTTATCTCTAACCACTGGTTTAGAACATTCTGAATCAGCTTTATTGGTTAATTCTTTTTCTTTTGAGCATTTTACAGTACTATCAAGTGATTGCTTTAAATGTTTATATTGTTTTATAAGATTGCTATCGCGCTTCTTTTTCTCTTGTGATTGAAAGAAATCGTGATCTCTATTCAGTTTTCTTTTACGTTTAAAAGCGTCAGTTATAAGAGTTTGCTTTTGTGAGTGTATTACGGACGTATTATGTATATTTTCTTTATCTTTTTTCTCGAAAATCGATAATCCTTTGAACAGGAATTCGCATGAGTCATCGATGCCCACTGAAAAATAAAAAAAAGAACATTATTAATTTGGTTTTCCATTAAGAGCACATTTTTACATAGCGATGTACAAGTACCAAAATTTGAACTAATGCAATTTACTAGAATTTTGTGCTCGTTATTATGCTTCCGGGTAATGACGCACGTAATACATCCGTCGTAAACGTTTAATAAATCCGAATCTCTGTAACAAGTAATTATATTTGCTTAGGCTCTAAAACCATGTAAATCTTGAAACATTGTTACTTTTGAACTAGACAAGAGAGAGTTAAGCACGAGAAGGGTCTCTAGTTCGATTTCCAGAGAAACAATGAATTCGTTGTGACAAAACATAGAAGTCAATAAAACAGATACGGAATTGTGTTCGCCTATGCTTCATAGATGGAAATGAGATTTATTATAATTATCGACAACATGGCTTTAAATTAGAAAGTTAGGTATGGTAAGGAATTAGAATAATTGAGTACTGCCTGTAGTTTATGATTACTAACATATTTTACGTTTTAAACCGTTAAAAGTGTTTTATTTATATTGACTTAGTTGATAAGATAATATAGACGAGCGGGACACGGTACCTCCGTTGGTAGAGCACAGAACACTGTAGTCCTGTTATTTTGAGTATCTTAGATATATAGATTTTTTATTGAACATCTTCTTGTATATTGTATATTGAAAACATACGTACTTAAAAGCGGCAAAGTATAGCAGATTATTTTCAGAATCGCCTACAATTAGATAGAATTTGTGATTGGAGCCGACTGTGAGGTGTTCGATGTTTTCCAATAAATATGCATGGTTTAATAAAACCATTTCTATGCGAACCGATTGATCGTCGGCTGGAGCAATGTTAAGTCTGTATTTTGGTAATAGAGAAATTTGCTTTCTCAGCACGTTCCCAGCTGGCGGTCCTTTGTTCATAATCTGAAGAAATTATTCTTAATATAAAAATAGCTTTGTCAAATACTGTATGTACCTACCTAGTTTACGTGGGTAGTACCTACGCATTTAAATAAAACAGAACGAACGAAACGGACGGACAGCTGTTAAAAATAATTTTCTAAAAAGTTTAACTAATATATCTCGTATTTTAAACCGTGCAAGTGTTTTATTTAAATAGCTTAGTTATATCAACTTAAGAGATATTATTTATTTCAGCAGTTAAAGGAAAGCAAATAAAAACCCGTTGGTTTAATGCTTTCTTACTCTAGACAATGTGTTTTGAATTACGAAATTTGAATTCGAGTCTCGAATCCAGTATGTAACGGAATCCGATAATCACCTAGCACAGAATAAATAGGTTGTATTAAGATTAGTACAGCTAGAGGACAAGCTAATTACAATAATCCAGCAACAATAATGACAATAACATGTTCATCCACAGCAGCCTTGACCGTTAAATATTTTGCCGTTAAACCATGATTAACGACAGGTTAACGAAGATGCAATTATGTAAAGTTTAGTATTTTTTATACGAATATTGGAGGAACAATGCATTTATTCGCCGATTTATGGCATTAATTTGATTAGAATAATGGTAGGTTAGCGTTTCTGTTTATTTAGAAATCGGTTGCCTATACAGTAGCGTAGGTAGGTGGTCAAGGGCCTCGGTATGTGGAGAAATAGTCGGGCCCTCATTACCTCTAAAGTTATAGATAGGTACAATAATAGTTTCAAATGTTACATTTTTTATTTCTTTATACTCAATTCAAAGAAGTTACAGTACCCAGCAAACACTATTTTTAATATATTTTTTTTAACTTTATAAAAGCCCATAATCATTACAATTTCAAATAATATTTGTGAGATATTTAACGTCATTTTCATTTCCGGAACCTCTTCACTAACTCTAGAATTCTTTAAGTATTGTCGCGAATCGCTTTTTTAGAAAAGTGTTTAATACTACCTTGTCATTCGACTTTCCTAAGAACTAATCTCGCACTTCAATTTTCTAACAAAATTCATTAGTGACATGGGTTCAGGTATTTTCGTGATTTGCGCTTAGCAACACATTCATGGATTCACATAACCGGTATTTTAAAATATATGTTATTAACTTACTCGTTCCAAGTCTCTCGGATGGCTTTCTTCGAGCAACATAAATGTAACCTTAAATGTAAGAACTAGTAAGTATAATCAATCGATTTGAAATAATAATACACACAATAAAGACTCATACCTATACGAAAGAAAGAAAATTATAAAAAAAAACACTAACAGCAAACAAAAAAATGCAAAAATAAATCGGGCAAGAGGGTGTGGAATTTCAGACTACGTTGAATGCCGATAAGTACGATTTTTTGTTTTTAACAAATATATAGAAGTGTTGATTTGAGCTAAGACTATATCTGGATGTACCATGCTCTTTAATTGTTCATAACATCGGTTTTAGTGGGATCAGACCCAGGATTTCACTTCTCATTAATCCACAGGGGTTTAACATTTGCAAGTCAATTAGAGAACATTAAATCAATGAGCTCACCTTTCCGGCAGACGCCAGCGAAGAACTAAAAGTAGGTCCTATACCCTTCAGTTGTTTACTGAGATAGGGCGAGTTTTCCCATAGATGTGCGGAAATGCATTTCGCTAAAAGTATCGCATTCACAACAGACAAATAGCACTTGGTATTTCCGGATGTAACTTTTGAACTGGTTACGTATGCTACAAGACCTAAAATGTATATTTATAAAAATGTATTGATTCTATACTGTCTATAGTTTACGCGAGTAGTACACATTTAAATAAAACACCCGTGACCACGGCTGCTGCAAAGCATCCGAAACGTCGGGCCGAAGTTAAAAATCATTTCCAAATAAGTTTAACTAATATATCGCATTTTAAACCGTTGAAGTGTTTTATTTAAATATGAAATGAAATGAGGCATATGAAATTAAACAATATTAACAGTTTTAAACGCGAAATATATAATTTAAATTGGGCGTTAAGTGTTAAGTCAGAAGCTACTGCAAAGCATCCGATACGGATCGTAGTTTTTTTGCGTTTTAATCTATTATAAGTGTAAAGTGTTTTATTAATAACAATGTATTAAAAGATCAATAAATGTCTTGTTAGGATCGAATATTGATAGTGTCGTTCAGTACTTTATAAAAAAGACGAAACTATGACATAATTTAATACGCGACTATGAAGGAATAAGAGCATCAATAACATTTTAGATATACTGACATTTACAGACGCGATCAGCAATCCTCATAATTTTCATAGCCTCTTGGTTCAGCGACGGATCGGGTATAGGAAGACATCCTAGAACAGCTTGGATAATACTGAAAAAAATACATATGCAACTATTTACGATCCAATTATAAAGGGAATAAAATATAAGGCCTCATATTCTTGTTCATTTATCTGTATCGATTTTATTCAAAGGGCCTGTAGTTTTAAATCAATAATAATGTAAAATTATACACATAACAGAGGCTTGGACATCTTACCAGTTCAATTTCATTTGCCTCGTACAAATTTTGCCTTTCATGGGAAAACGGATTGTCGCAGTTGTATTATTCCTGTTAAGCGTGTTCAAAGATCTTCTCTCGTCAACCCGTAAATGCATGTCTGAGAGCTCGTGGCTTTCGCATATAAGCCATAATAACCGCTCCAGGGTTTCACTACCGCCTATCTAGAAATTAGTTAGCATTTTAGAGTGGGATGATAGTTAATAATAATTTCACCAAAATAGTGCGCGATTTATATGTACTACGCATGTAAACTATACACATTATTTGGATATGTGTATCAATATAGGTATATATACCTACATAAATAATTAAGTTCGAAAAATCTTAAAATGCTAGATGATTTTAAAAATTCTTAGTTTAAGACCGCCTGTGTAGCTCAATAACTTAACGTATTACCTAGCATTGCGTTAAACGCGAGAGGGCCTAGATTCGAAACCTGGATAATAAATAAATGATAAGGGGCGGACAACTACAAGAGTAGGATCGATTTATTGCCTAAAAATAAATGCCTATCCCCACGTGGAAACTTAATTTATCCTAAAGTCACAACTGTTTTAGATGTTTGTTTGTTGTCTTGTTTTAATATAATTGTTTACCTTCATAATAGTCTTCATAGTTTCCACGTCGATATAGTAAACAGACATAAGACGACCAGCGTCTGTAGATTCTATACAACTGGCTTCGTCCATTGTTATGAGACCCGAAGTCGCCAGGCTGTTCATAGCTTTGACACATAGCTCTGTTTGGGAAGTAAAATATAAAAAAAAAATAGATTAAAAATGTATATGTAGTGTAAAAGTAATAGTTAAATACGATCTGTAGCTTACGCAAATAAGGCACATTTATATAAAACACGGTTTTAAACGCGATATATATATTACTTGAAAATTATTTAAACTACGGTCCGACGTTTCGGAAGGTTTGCAGTAGTCGTGGTCACGACACATCGCGTTTTAAACCGTTAAAGTGTTTTATTTAAAAGTAATAATTACTTCAAACGTCACTTTTGGCTTCAATGGTCTAATGGTAGTAATGCATGGCTAATAATAAACGGGTCGTGGGTTTAGTCTTTATCTAATCAATTGATACATTTTCTGAAACATGTTGGACGTCTGGAAATCTCCGGAAACATTTTTGAAATGCGTTTGTCCCATTTCCTAGGAATTGATATTTTATTATAATTTTGCTATAAAAATAAGAACATAGTAACGTTTTACGACAATTTTATAGTAACACATCTTCTTCTATATATTTCTGTTGACACAGTGTTCTAAGGAAAATCAAGTGCCAAGGACCAACGATTCTTAATAAGCTCCATACCACTCTTATGGAGTGATATTTACGATCCTAACATACAGATAAAGTTATTACTCACTGTGGCATTATAATCTCCACAGACAATTCATAAACTATTGCGATTTTATAAGTATCTTTAATATTTTCTTAAAATCATATTATTGTAATACCTACTAGGTACAACACACGAACTTTAAACTGATTGCCTTAAAATTTAAAATCCTTTAGATTTAATTTCATTTTGTAATGACACACAACTTCCACGTTCTTTATAAAAAACTTTAATGGCTTAATATAAAACGCGATATATATTAGTTAAACTTATTTTTAACATCGGCCCGACATTTCAGATGCTTTGCAGCAGCCGTGGCCACGGGGAGACCCGGTTCAAGTTAACTAATGTATATCGCGTTTTAAACCGTTAAAGTGTTTTATTTAAATGTGTACTCGTGTAAACTGCAGACAGTATTCAATGTAAATGTTCTTGTATGTTCTTACACCTTCGTTAGTGTTCAATAACGAAAGAAAACATTTAAAAAAATAATTTTAGGAGGATAAAATAAGTTATATTTAAGTGAAATAGATCTTCTATCATCAATTCTATCAATCAAGGAATACAAAGACAATTATTAAAACTTTGAAATTTATTACGATGTAAAACTAGATTGTAATCTTTGCTTAATGTAGTAAATGTCGTATATATTTTTTAAATACAAATTATATGTAGATATCGTATTCTATAAGTTAAAGTTCATTTGTGATCGTGCATGAATTGCAACTTACCTTCCGGAACTTACGCCAAGGCTATGAAGACGCATCTTCGTAATGGCACTTTTAATTATTATTATCTACAATTCCATAGCCTTATTTGAATCTCTAGGAACTTGATCATAGTTTTTTATAAAATACCAATTGACAATTCATATTTATTATCTTTTTTTTATGATTTTTATTCATTTTATTATATCAAGAAGTCATTATTGTAGTGTTGCATGATTTATTAATCGCACATCACTGTAATTATAATTATAAAATACTTCTGTAATTGCGTGTACGTATTTTAAGTAGGTACTTTAACGTCATTTAAAGCAATAGCTAATTAGTAATAGTCAGGCTTTTAAATTCGGACATAGAAAAATACTGTTTTTGTTCGAGTTATCCTTAAATATACAATTTGAATATATCCGAAGAATAGGTCGGTTTAAGTCTTGTAAAACCCTTTTCGATATCACAGCAATAAATTCGATAAAAAATGTTCAATTCGCTTATATCAAGATATCCCGCTGCGTGTAATCCGGAGACGGGATTTTTTTGTACAGTAAAATTAACAAGTTATTCTAACGTAAAGATATACGATAATTAATATGTTCCTTATGATCTTTTTTGTTAATTAAACCTAGGATTTCATGGTTAAATAGAGAGAGGATATGTAAAAACCACTATAAGTGCCTAACTAACAAAGATTTTATAATACATAGTTACTAGGAAGAAACATCGGAAAACATACGTGATTTCCGTTTCTTTTTCTTAATTTACTTAAGCTGATCACAGAAAATTTACCAACTATACAGATCATAAACAAAAAAGATAGTTATGGCATTAACTTTGTTTTTTAATTGACATTTAACTATAGTAACACCTAACACATAGGTTCACACCGTTCACAGATAAAAACGCCGTAAAGCTTAATCGCGTTTCGGTTTCAGCCCGTGGATTTCCGAATATCCAAACCCGAAATAGGTCGACGGCGCATCTTGTTTATATACTTTAGGCCGGGGTATATCATCTACCATCAACTGAACCCCGTACCATGTCCGTCCTCTATCATTAAAAAAATAATAATTTGTATATTGTAATCGGACGTAATTATGCACTTCCTTCATGTGCCGGTGTGAAGTATAAAGACATACAAATAAAATGTATATCATACAATGGCTGATAATAATATAAAAAACAAATATTCAATAAATAACTATATAAAATAAATTGTAGAAAAGGTCATTACTATTTCAGTTTCAAGGTAGCAACTGGATTCATTCTCAGAACGATTGGTTTACCTATTAATCTAACCGCATAGTTTTGAGGGCGTCATTCATAAAATAATGTATTTAGGTTGTACGTATGTACAATTTTTTAATAGAACTGAAGGAGCCAAATAAAAAAAAACAATGGATCATATTTTGCTAGGATTCGAAATTAGAATTTTCCATACTTAACATTGGAAAAGGCAATATTGTATAACGGTCTTAGAGATGGTCATTATTAAAACATATAGCCGACAAATATAGTAGACAGCAAAAGATTTTAATATAAATTAACTTTTTATTGTACCTTCTATTTTCTTAGAGATTAGTTGCTTTGAGGCGTTATTTGGAAGTCCCAGATAGCGTCTTGGGTCGCGAGCGGCTCTCACACTCAAGAACGTAGAGTTGACCCATTGCACGCATTGTGCGACATCGTTCACAGTTCCCAGAGCGGCCTCGCTGTTCAAATTCTCCGCCAAACGTTTGTGCAGATAACTTTGTAGCGGTTCACTACCACCGACGATAGATTGATAACGAGCCTGTTTGGACAAGGTTTAAACCGTAAAAATAAATTTACAACGCTCTAGATTAGCACAAGCGTCCTCGTTAATATGATTTATTATCCTCTCGTGTGCATTAAAATGTGAAAATTATAAATATTCAAAAGTTTTTGTCCTCATAAATTGTTAAGTACTACCGAATCGATAGCATAAATTAAAAAAAGGAAAAATTATTATAGTATTCTAAGACACGTTCGAGATTATTTATTTATTTTTGCTTCTGTGTCTGATTAATGTCTATATAACGTAATGAAACTTAAAAGCGACGCCTCTTATCAACGATTAAATATTTGTTGAAAGCTTCTGTCAAATTTGTCAGTGTTATTTACACCTGAGTGTTTGCTTCGCGTACATTTTTGATATTATTTTATTAAACTAACATGGGTTTGTCTAAAGAAGAAAAAAAGCGCTAAAAGAAGCAAAGCGTTTGGAAAAACTTAGAGCCGAAGAGGAGGCTCGTAAAAAAAATCAAACGAGATGAATTACAACGAGAAATGACTGCTCAAGCACGTAAAAGGGGCGAGTTGGATAAAAGCTGGCGTGAAATGATGTTAAGGGTAAAAGAACCTGTGTTTAAGCAAGATATTAACGTTATGTGGCACGTGTTTGAAAGGGTATACGATAAAAAGGATCACTTAATCAGCTACACAATGAAATTAATGAATATAGCAGATGATCAATTCCAAAGAACAGTCGCTAGTTTCTGTGACACAATCGACACAACGATAAATAAATTCCTCGATGAAATGGAATCTCTTTCCAAAGAGAACGATATCAGAACAAAGAAACTTCTAAAATCCGGCGAAGAGAATTCGGCTCAAATCATGAAAGATCATGACGCAGCGGAGACTCATCTTCAGCTCTTAATTTACCATGGTCATACCACAGCAGACTCCGAAGCGTGGACAACAAGAGGTGAGAATTTAGTTAAAGAAGATGAAGACCGTTTGAAATACGCTAATGAACGCGAAAATTTGCGTTCATTCCTCGAAAATACTTATAATTCCACCTGGGAAGAATACAAAGCTGTGCTCAAATCTTACGTAGTGGAAACAGCTGATAATCAGAAGAAGTTGCGCAAATTACGCCATAAAGAGAATTTAATGGCTGATATAATAGCTTCTCAATCCAAGAAGATAGCTAACAACGATAATGTGCTGAAGCGTCTACGCACCGAGTTAGCTGCTTATGAATCGGGTACCAAGCAAGCTGTATTTCGTGATCGACGTAACCGCCATCGTGCAGCTTGCTTTCGCCTGAAAAAAGGCTTAATCAATGGCTGTGCTCTGGATGCGCGACTCTTAGCTGTATTAGTCAGAGTGTCGGATGACACTGTAGAATGGCTTACGTCATCACAAAAGAAAGGAGAGAAGATTTTACGTCTAGCAGCGTTATGCCGTAAATTTGAAACGCAACGGGAGAAAGTACTTCCCTACGGTACTATGCTACCTCATTCTCCCACTGAAGCCAAAACTAGTGGACGACGCGTCCATTCCGAAGACTCTCTGGTGGTGAATGCTATTTCTTCAACGTGTGGACTGACAAGGCTCTGGCAAAAGGTGTCCAGAGCAGAGCTTTCAAAACGAGCGCTACTTCGAGAGAAAATGCTACTCGAGCAGGAAAACGCTTTGATTGTGAGAACAATACAGGATTTTCAAGAGAATAGATTTCAGGTTGAAGCCCAGAATTGTATTTGCACAAAATCTAAAACGATCTTAGCTCATCCAGTGGCTGTCGACGGAGTAACGGAAGTAGCAAAATACGATAATTATGCGCGTCAGTCGAAAGGAAGTTATATGTGACTTTAATTTGTTATTAATTAATAATCTAACCTAATATTTTTTTTATTGTATATTTATTAAATTAAATTATTATCTCTTTTTCTTTATTTTCTCTTCAAATCGTTATTTATTTTAAATATTACCTACATTTAAGGATAAAATATGAGCAAAACGAAACCAACACCTTTCATTAGACCCATTAAAACTGTGAGTGGAAAAAATATTAGCTTTGAAATTGGGATTTGAATAATATTAGCATAAATCTTGCCAGGTAACATCTAAACGGGTAATTAATTTACAACACAAACCCTTTTTGATATCTTTCAAGGATTAGGTTACTTAAAAAACTTACATGGAGAATACTTTTTGCCAATTCAACAGTTAATTCAAAGGAAGAAACAAAGGATCCACGCATGTCTGAAGCATTGATACACTTGTAGGAAGATGATAGGTTTGCTGTGACACAATAAAATTACAAGCCATCGATATTGCATTATGACTTATAACAATTGTCATACAACCACGATATAATAATAATACATAGTAATCAATCACACTACGATTAAATTACATATGTTTCATTTTGTTGTAATTTAAATACGTATCTGGAAATAATTGTCTAGTGGTTAATACACTCGGAAAGAACTCAGATCGCGAGATCCCGGGTTGGGCGAAATTTTAGTTCAATATTTGGAATATTTTTTTGAGAACAAGGAAAAGCTGTCATGATCTCCGGGCCTCGAAAAGAAGTATTACATAATATTCATGTATACTATACTCGTGTATATTTGTCGTGAAACGTCGGGCCGAAGTTAAAAATCATTTTCAAATAAATTTAACTAATATATCGCGTTTTAAACCGTTAAAGTGTTTTATTTAAATGTGTACTACTCGCGTAAACTTAGTGATCTATCTCATTTATGATTTTAAGTAAAATTTGACAATTTTACGGCTATTTAAATGATATTATATAAATAACAGTCTTCCGTGACCACGGCTGCTGCAAAGCATCCGAAACGTCGGGCCGAAGTTAAAAATAATTTTCAAAATAAGTTTAACTTATATACCGCGTTTTAAACCGTTAAAGTGTTTTATTTAAAAATTATAACTGTTTTCTTTTTTCTTTCAGTAGTTTTATTTTCTTTAAACGTCAATGACCTATACCTATATTCTTCACGAGTTTGGTAACAAGAGAAAGGCCTAAGAACACGTTACTAATGAAATTAAATAATGTCAATAAACATGTATGACCACGATGCAGTTCGTTTTAGTTATTTGCCTAGTCGAATAGTAGTTTCATAAATGTTTAGTTCTTCTATATTATAAAATTTTACATACAGTTAATTCACTATACTATTATAAAAGTGGATAAAAACCTTGACCATCTAGATAATATCATTGACGATCGACAAGACAGACTACAATAAAAAAGTTATCATGGACAACGTAGAACATACAAGCTTATTTGGCTCACCGTAACACAAAACCTCTTCGCAATACCATACCTAACAACATATTAACTAGGTGCATTTACTTTGAACAAATCTCCAAAGTAAACTCGCATCTTGTAAACTGGAACATCAATTCGAAATTGTAGAGACGGAACGTTTGATCACAGAACCAATGATCATAAAGCAAAAGCCACTTCCTCGTCACGAGAGGTTGACAGACTATATCACTTTCACTGGTTTATGGCCAGGACAAATTTTCAACAGATTATGTAAAGTACCAAAAATTATCTCGGCAACACCTATGAAAAGCTTACAAAGTAAAGAGACGCGCATTAAAGTGGAAAAGACAATGGTTATAAACTATTTGCTTATAAAATACACGAGTAACTTATAGTTTTATTAAATAAATTAATAAAAAACACTTTCACGATTTAAAACGCAATATATATTAGATAACCTTTTTTTTAAGTTATCTTCACATTACCACCGCTGCTGCAAAGCATTCGAAACGTCGGGCCGTAGTTAAAATAAGTTTAATAAAATGTCTACAAGGCGTGTAAACTACAAACAGTATTTTTTTTAAATATTTGACGAATTACGAACTTTATTTAATACGCCTGCATTCTATTATTTAGTTAAAAAATGCAATTCAGTTATCACCAAATAAGAAAAACAATAGGTTTCTTTCTAAAATTATCGTGGATTGTCAAGAAGATAATAAAATTGTGCCAAATTAAACTAGAACTACCAATCATGGTCTTTTCGATGAAGATAAATAGATCTATACTTACTTTAATTGATCTAAAACGAGGTTCTTCCTACCACGACTCTTAACTCGAATTCCCATAAATGCCAACATCAATTAAAAGCCATTAATTACTCTACTATTTTTTTGGTTATGAATCAAATGTATGAAAATTACAACATTAATATGGTAAAATAAATCCTATGTGATGTTCAATCTATATGGATTATCAATTTGGTTTATCAAACATGCACAAAAACAAAAAAAATGTTAAACTCTTAAAGACAGAAACTGTACTAAAATAAATGGCTCAAAATAAACCGTTTAAGTCGGTTTTAATAATATATTAAGCTTATATATGAGGAAAATTGTAGCACGTCTAATTTTTATCAGAGATAAGATTGCAGTTATCACAGGTCGTGTTTTGTTTTGAGGGGTTTAATCACGATAGGGCGACATTGCGGCATCTTCGCGGCACCCGAGGTCTCAGGGATACCTATATAAGTGGCGAGCGAGGTCGGGGCGCGCCACAAGTCGAGTAGCGCTCACAGTTGTCAACTTTGTGCTAAGTTCAGTGTGTGTACTTCAACGGTGAGTCGACTTCGTTATTGTGATTTTCAAATGTGGAATTACTTGAATTAATTTTTGAAAATCAACCTTATTGAATTTTTGAATAATAACCCGTATTATTTAATAATATTTAAAGGCTTTAATATTGTAACAAAACACTTTGTTCTTTATCTCAATATTAACATAAATAAATGTTTTAATATGTATAATTAACAAAAATCATATAAATAGTGATTACAGTAATATAATTGAGTGATATTAAATTAAATAATTCAGTGTAAATCGTAAAAATAGATAATTTTCATATCTTTATTAATATATATTTTTTTCACATGAACTTCAATAGGCTAGATATATAATAATTGCATTATTAAGATCGTTATCAATTGCATGAAACGGAAAGTCAATTGTTAACATGTGCAAGTTCAGCAAAAATGTGTGAAACTGGGTCATTATTACGAGATTATCTTTTTTATCTACTGTTGCCATTGAAAAATTAATTAGAGCCATTGAGATTTATATGCGAATTACGAATTAATTACGATTTAAATATTGGAATCAAAGTTCTACGAATAATAAGCCGTATCTATAGAGCTTTAGAGCTTTATAAGACTACTAAAAACTATCGATCGATAATATTGTAATTATAGTTTTGTGGCAGTTAGAGTAATATTATATCTAATTCTCATACGTCATATGGAAGCAAATTCGTTTCGTAAAAAGCACTTCCGTTAACCAGCAAGAAATTAAATCGAAATTTTAAGTTACCTAGTAAAAAATAAAATTAATTTCTGTTGCATAATATAGCTATATATGAGTACAGAGATAATTATAAAGTGACATTCTAAGTTCAAAATAGTACTTAGATCGAAACAGATTTGAAAACTTTTAAAGACCATAAATGCTTATATTCAAGGTTCAGAGCGTAGGCAAATGTACTTTGAAGGTTTAAATTATATAATATTATGCTTTTTGTGGTAACACTTCACGCTCTGCCAAGCCACAAGCCGTATATCAAGTGCATGTTAGAATACAATTTGAAAAAGGAATTTTAAAACTTGTTTGTTTGACATAAAGAAGATAAATTTATGTTACGTGTGGATAATCGCAACATAAACATAATAAGATACAAAATTGGGTTCGAACAAGCCTCAATAATAAAAGTATTTCTCTGTCTGTAAGTTAATTTGCCGCCAATAGTGCTTACTAATAACTAATATGAGGCTTCTAGAGGCAGAGTGACCTAATAACAAAAACATGATTTTCAATAAGGAGGAAAATAAAAATGCGCAATTAACTTATACGACAATGAATTTGTACTATTATTTGTGTAAGAATTATGTTAACAATTTTCGGTCACTGTGCTCTAACATTGTTAGACTATAAAAATATAAATAAGTCAAGACAAAATTGCAGTTAGGCTACTCTGTCTTTACTGGCCTCATATGTAACTCAAAGCGAATTTAACTAAACTAAACCTCGAAAAAAGTGTTTAATCAAACATTCACACGACAATACTGCAACAGCAATTTTTCTCGCAGAAATCGAACACGCAAGCCGCAGCTGTAGGTGCCAATTAAGTATCGACGTTAGCAAATCGTTGCCTCGAAGTCTTGAATCTTATTTAAAATTAAAATACCCTATTAGTTATGATGAGCGTCTAAGTTATTCAATTACAAAATACCAAAGATTTTTCGCTTAATATTGCAGAAAAACATGTCTGTTGGCTATAGTTGTCAGAGAAATTCTTAAGATGGGCTCGTTGGTAAATAATATGGCTAATAATTACCGGTTCGTGGGTTCGATCCTCATCAACCGTGTTTTGGGTTCAGTTTGTAGATTCTCGAATATAATTAGGTTAACAGAGCATTTTGTTGAGATATTATATGGCTGGGGTATATCAACTCCTATCAAGCGAACCCCATAGTTGTTTATCCTCCTTTCTCATTTAAAAAATAAAGGATTGAAAGGAAATGAAGACTTTGAATAAATAATTATTATTATTATTTATTATCATTATATTACAGGGAGGTCTTTGGAGACCTACTATCTAGTTTTACTGAAGTCTGATAGTAAACTTTTAATTTTATAGCGATAAATGTAGTACTTGTATTAAAATGTAAGCAGACGTTCAATAGATTATGTGAAGGGTTTATCCAATTTAATACAATGATGAGAATTGTTTTTTTTTTATTATTGCGCAAAAAAATGTCGCTATTTAACTGGCTGTTAATCATAAGGGCGCCCGCTAACAATATAATTGAGTATGAACGACAATAATTGATCACGAAAACCGTAACAATGGCTATATAACAATAAAGAATTAAAATCGAAATTAATTCTCAACGATAACCAGTTTAATTATGATTTATTACTGACTGGCCGGTAGACGGCTTCCCTAGATAAATTGCAGTGTCCATTATGTTACATCCGTCAGATCCTAGATTCGAATCCCGGAGAACGAAGATAATACGTAGTTTCAGTTTTAGTAAAATAAAACTTGTACGGAAAATAAATTTTAATTTAATGTTAACAATTGATAACTCCGTTTTTTTGCTATTTCGTTACATCAATATCCACAAGTAAAATGAATTTGAAGGTGCAAAGAATTTAGTAATTTCAAAAGGTCTACAGTAATAATCCACAGGTAGAACAGAACAAATATTGTTAGTTCGACAACTCAAAAGTACGCATTTATTTTGTTTTACAAAACCGCAATCATAAGATAATCATTACAGAAATTTGAGAATTAATAACGGTTAGCGAAGGTTATTTTGTTTTTCAATGATAAGATCTTTTGTGTTGCTTACAAAATAAGCACGAGATATACTAGAATCAAAAATAAAATACATACAAAGTAAAGAAATATACGAACATTAAATTTAATGGGAAAACGCGGCCTTCTTCGTGAGTTTTAAGGAATAAAGAAACGAAGATTTCAATTACACAGTAACATGATGTGGAGTTAATGTACCTGTTAAATAATTATATTATTTTTAACAGATGACGTCGATAAAATGGTTGATGTGTGCTGTTGCGTTAGTGTGTGTGAGCATACGATACGCTAATGCTGCGCCCGCGCCGCAAGAAGAGGAATACCCACCTATGCCAGTAAGTTTTCGTCGAATTACAAATGAGATACTGTCAAGAAAAGATGATCATTTTTAACAGTCATACAAAGTCAAAATTATAGTTATTTAAGTGGTTAGCAAAATATCTTTAATGTATATAAAATTCTTTTCTTAAGTAAACGTATTGTTGTACCTTTTTTTAATAATTATCTTTAAACCTGGCTAGGTTTAAAGGTAATTATTATGACTAATGTAATTAACTAATTCGCGATTAATAATTTTCTAGTAAATTAATAAATAAGTGCTTAACACTCGTTCCTTGCGTGATTAGCTAATAAAAAGGGCTAACGAGCGTGGCGATACGACATTTGCCATTTGACATCAAACGATCAGCATTGTTATATGTCAAAGGTTCAATTTGCAAGCTTCAGTAGAGTTATTACACACATCCTTGCAGGTCAATTGGTTAAGGCAGTCAACTTTTCATTTAGCAATAGCGCATCACTTACGACCCGGTGTCACTTATATGGTGTCGTTGAAATAATTCTAGGCATCTAATAATTATAGGGCTCGTTGGATGTTCGCGTCTTTATTTATAAGTTGGTATTACATTGCTTTTCTGGCTTGTTGCCAGATCAAAACTGATAATAAAATCTTTACCTTAGACACACAATACGCTCTTTATTGCAGGCAATGTGTATAATGAAGACATATCCAGATACTCGCAAAGTTTACAATAGTTATTATTTTATTAATTTCATTAAAAAGGACAATTTGTTTGTTTTTTTTCAGTCTTTATGAAGGTAACTCTGGTGAAGTTAAGATATGCTCAATATATGTTTCGATTATTATTGCTAAGTCAAGTTTAGACCGTACCTACCAATCTCTATAAATGTATCAATTTGCTTGTGTAAAAGTTTTATCAACAGGAATAACAATTCCACAAGAGTTAAATTTATTAAAAAGAAGTCACGTTTGTGTCCTTTAAAATACGTATTTAACGGCGCCATGTTACCATGTTTGTTATTGGTAAACGATTGCGTGGAGCAACAAACAATTAAATTATAATTTCCACAACATTGACCCTTTCGTGAATCGTGACATAACAATTCAATTATATGTTACGGAATTTGTATATTCTATCGAAATTTAAAGACGCAATACTTTTGTACCATTTTAGATTTCTTGGATCAATTGAAAAAAAAGCAAGAAATTGCTCAAAATTTTCTTTCCTACTAAATTAAAATTAACGCAAGACAACTCGTTTCTGGCTGGCGTCAAAATTATCAGAATCAACCGTGTCTTATTGAAGATTAGACGAACATTGCATATATCACACCTGAAATTACACGTAATTCCCATGTGTAATTAACAGGTGTGCGCATACGCCACTTAGCCGTCGTTTACACGTCCTATGGCCTATCTGTTTTATCTAAGCAATACACCATTATACTAACGATGTGAACCACAAAGCTAACACTAATTAGATGGAATTGCGCCCAACCTCTTTTGTGCGCGCTCTTTGACCACACGATAAAATCGCGCAAAAACTCTAATTGAATTATATTTTTACAGAATATATTCTTTCGTAGACGTATAAATTATTTGACAATTGACTTGTTCTTTGCGAAGTATGCGCTTGTGAAACACGAATGTAGTTTGTATTTGCATATAAAGAGTATATTACAAATATTTCGGTATTAATATAGTGACAACGATCACAGTCGACGAATATTTCACATGACCTTAACTCAATTTATTCTCATATGGTTTGAATTATTTTGTTGCAATTATAATTAGGATTACTTTTAATTGACAAATACATAATAATTTTAATAAAAAAAAAACCATTTAAAAACTGAGTATTGAACGCTAAGTCGTTAAGCATTGCAATGCATCTCGATATGCACTTGAGGTTCAGAGTTCGAAACTCGAAAACATAATAATTTTAGTCGGGCAATGCAAAAAATGAAATCGACCAGTAAAACAAACCCAGAAATATGTATAAGTTTCATGCTTTGTATTGGTTTAATGAGTTTTACTAAATATAAACATATAAAAAAATATATTTTGTACGAACTATAATAATATTATAAATGAAAAGTTTCTCTGTCTGAAACGATCATGGAAATGTTTAACACACGCTTTTCAAATTATATAATATTGTTCTAAATCTACAGTACAGAGCAGAGTAGTTAATAGACTTTACAGACGAGCGCCCTTGACCGCTATTTGTAAATGCTAAAAAAAATAAGGAAGCCATTTTAAAGTAGCGTAATATTCGTTTTAGTATAATTTAGCATAAAATATAGATTATTTTACGGTTAGGTAACTTGACAAGATTTCTACGTTCATCTCAATTGAATGCTGATTCTACTAATTAGACTCTTTGTAACGAATATGACGTTAATAAGAATTTTAGAATTATACCTTTCATTTTTATTTTGCTCGTGTGCAATATTAGTCTTTTGAGTTCATTTAAAGAGTTAATAAATAGTCAGTATCTCTTTGAAATCGATAACATTTTAAAACATTTCTAATAAATAAAAATACTAGTTAAGTAAAACCTGCCCGTTTGTATTTATAATGTTATTAAAATAAAAATTAATTTGCCATTTTTATTCTTTAAGTTTGGATTTTTGTGTTTTATATTGCCTACCTATTTCCTATGTCAAAACAAATCAGTTATTCATCGATATTTTAAATAGACCTAAATTCTTATACCATACAATTTACAAAATTAAAAGTATTTTTTAAAAGCCATTAAACGGATTAAAATTTAAGCCTCTAGGAATATTAAAAATGTTGTTTCATTACAGTACGAATACAAGTACGACGTAGAAGATCCTGAAAAAGAATTATACTTCGGCGCAAACGAAGCTAGCGACGCGCAAGGAAAAGTGATCGGTGGCTATAGAGTACTATTGCCCGACGGTCGTCTAATGATTGTCGAATACACCGTGGAGGGAGACAGCGGGTTCGTACCCAAGATCAGCTTTCAAGAAAACGCGAACCCCTTCACTAAAGGATAAATAGACTCAAATACCTAGCGACCAAAACTATTACTATACATCGAAAGAAATTCTACAGCAATATGCGTCATAGGTCATAGAAATTTCATGAAACCAACGATAAAATAATTTCAATGAACAAACAAAAGGAACTATGTTTTTGTTACTGATATTTTAACATCTTCAGGACGTTACTTTCAGGAGGTCCGTACCTCCATCAGAGATTGATTATCACACTTAGAAACAGCTCCAAGACCCGTAAAAGGTTTTGTAATTAGTATTATATTTGCTTATTTGATAATGCCAGTACAATTTTGTAAGGAGACGATAATGTTTGAATTGTGTAATGAGGTTGCCGTATGCTAGTGCTTTCAAAAAGTTACCGATCTGTGATGGAAAATGTTTCGAAATACTTTTCTGTTATGGCTCCGATATGTGATAGTTCATTTAGACTTAAGCTATATTAAAATTGTATAAGCAATAAATACTTTTGTAAAATATGACACATATTTGTTTTATTTTTTTATCTAGTGAATTCTCCTTTATAACTTCCTAAAAGACATAATATAAGATAATAGAAAATCACTAAAGTAAGTACCAACCTTGTCTGATAGTCTTGTCATTATAACAGCGGTAGCTTCAGTATCAAATTGCGGTCTACCCGCACGCCCAACCATTTGCAGAATCGTACTTATGCTGTATTCCTGTGTAAATAGTATGTCTTAAACACAATGGCAACAGAAAATTAAAATAAACCGATATCCTGGGAAAAATAAAAAATATATATTTTACGTAAAGAAATTATTTACATTAATTTAATAGTAAATGTCGGTGTCACATAAAATAGATCGGCCATAAAAAAACGAAGGATCAACTCTATAATCTATGATTTTAAAAGTTCCCCACCGCACACCCATTGCACATATTAGTATTCAACGCGCGCGCATAACGTTACTTCAGACTGTCAAATTGTATATAAGTTTTTCTTTTCCATAGAAACAATATTAATTACTATATCATCAACTACGTTTTCCACTACTTGATATTGTTAGTATATAAAAACCTGATAAGTTCCGTTAACGTATTGTTGGGTGTTCTTGATTATAACCAGGTGTGCCGGAAGATTAACGCCCATTGCTGTAAATATTAAAACAACAGAACAAAATTTAAAAATAACATATTTTCCAAAGAAACGATAATATATCTTATTTTTATCGGTTGCATTCGTTATTAATATGATAATTACTATAAAACAAACCGATAAAATCTCAAAAACACCTTTCAGTGCGAATTTTTTCTAATTATTAGTTAAGAGACATAGAAACGATTATTTTCTATCTTTATTGACGTAGCTATAACATGTATGCATTGTAGTTGTATATCAAGACAAGTAGCTGAATAAACTTTCGTAAGGTACCAGACAGACTTCTTTTTTTATGATAAACGAGGACAGGCAAGGATGGTTTACTTGATGGTAGGTTGAATATCCCAGCCGTATAACATCTAAACAAGATGCGTACAATATTTTGTTTAGGCTATTCGGAAATCGACACACTGTAACCGAAAAGCGATTAAACTTCACGACTTTTTCATCTATTCTCGGTGGTTAGTGAGCCGGACGAAATTTTCGATATTCGTGCCCGTTTTCCCCTCGTGGAACATGGGGCGAACACATCTCTGCGTCCGTCGCACTGATCCGTTCTTTTTAACGGGCAAGTAGCTGATCACACTTCTGTGCCCGATATTCGATCGATATTCGTACCACCTATTTAATATCTAGACTTCCAGATGAAGCTCGATATGTTTCAGAAAAATTATAAATTGTTTACAAAAATCATGGACCCAGTGGGGTTCGAACCCATGACCCGTTAATTATCAACCGTTTGGTAACATAACACCAACGAGCCCGTTAAACGCGGTTTAACTTGGCTGCGTTTCTGGAATTCGAATGCAGAACAAATTAAGATAACAATTTTAGGTTAGGATTAAAACTAAGAAATGTAGGCGAAGAAATGTATATGGGCGGAAATTCTCTGAAATCTATCAAATCTAGCAAGTAATATCATTTGTCCACATTTTCCTGCACGGTGCAGGAAACTCCCGTTAAGTTAAAGATAACACTTTGGCCTAGAAAGGATACGTAAATAGATGTTGCAATCCGGAAGCAGATTTGTGTGATATAATATGTATACGGACTGTCTTTGATGTTAGATTATTGTACTAGGGTAGGTACGAAGAGTTACTAAGAACTTTTAGAATACAAATACTCTGGAACAAACAAAAGCCAATTTGCCGAAGATGGCACACTTTAGTATGGGAAACTAAAAGTAATTTCAAGGCGCTGGCTCTAGTAGAGACCTAAGTTAAACAAAAGCCAGTAAATATACTATTATATAATATGAAACAATCTAGTTCCATTAAGTTTATTGGTTTTAATTATTTTTGCTTATGTTAAAGGAGGAAGTTTTGCGTTCACCTGATGAAGGTTGATACACCCCAGCCATGTAAAACAAGATGGGCTGTTGTCCTATATTCGGAAATACTCAGACTGAAATCGAAATGCTACTAAACTTCCCGGCTGTAACGGACGATGGTTCGCGACCCGGACGGAATTTCAATATTCCTAACACACATTTAGTATCCAGATTTCCATAAGTCCAAAAAAGTTTTAGAATATTTTTAAATAGATTGGACCATGTTGGACCCCTGCTGATCAAACCTACGATCCCTTGATTATTATAGAACGTTTAATTATAGTTACAGTAGTTTATCATTGTGTTAGACTAATTTTGGTTCGAATCCCGAATTAAGAACGTGTTTTGGTCTGGCATAGCACAGATGTATAAATACATGAATATTAAGTTTTTAGCTAGTATATATTTTTTGGGTACCTTGAACTGTTTTCACAGCGTACGCATCGGAAACCCAGAGAGATAAATAATTTCCCCCGTTTTTTTTTCACATTTCTCGCTGTTTTTACGCTCATAAACTAACTATAGCGCGATGTTAGCCTATATCCTTCCTCAATAAATGTTCTACCTAAACACTAAAATAATTATTCTATTCGAACCAGTAGTTCCTGAGAATAGCGCGTTTAACAAACAAACTCTTCATTAGTATAGATTGTAACACAGTCTTAGATTTTAGAAGAGCTAAGTCTGTATGACGAAAGCATTTTCAATTCACGTTTTACGCTATCTTAAATCAGTGAATCAAGTCATCAGTTAGATATTTTACTATATACAATTTTAGTGCTTAAGTACTAGTAATAAGGCTGTTTTTGCTATGATCTAGATAGATGTGGGCGTTAACGTGGTTTCGATCTTAAGATACCAATTTCAGGGAAAGCTTGATAAAGTATAATATCCAAATAACCAAACACTTAAAATATTTTGAAGGGTTAAATCGCGAAATGTATAAGTTAATTTGTATTTGACTACTCGCGTAAAATACGTAGATCTTCCAGCAAGCAATCTGAAATGATTATATTACCTAGAGTTGTAGTAGTTATCAAAATGGGCAAGTCCATGTTTCTGAACGCATTTTCTATACTGACTCGTTCTTCGTACAATAACCCTGCATGATGACAGCCGAGTCCGCACAAGATAAGCGACTAAAATGATGTTATAGTTCAAATGAAATAAAGAAAAATCAATGGTAATATTCATACAAAAAATAAAATGTAAATTTACGTATTAACAAAATATGAATCGAACCATTTTGATCCATACTAGCTTACCAAGTGTCTATTCGCTTGCTTTCCTTGTGGGAAAGTACACCAGGAAAATTGTCGATGGAATATTATTTTCTCATCTCACGGGTTCGATTCGAGGTAAAAGAATAGCATTTTAAAGTCTATGAATGTAAGTTAAAGGTAAATATTGCCTCATTTTAACATTCAAAGCCATCAAGCAACAATGTACAGTGTGCATCACTTTTCTTAGATTATAATCAAATACGGGACAAGGTGCAAGTCATGGGTTAAACTTCGGTCTACGCGAAAAAAATATTGAAAATAATAATAAGAAATATAAATACTTGTAATTTCTTATTCTTGATAGAAGAAGCTAACGCAGTGAGCCTGGCCTTCTGTTCGTCACTGAAGTTGACCGTCATCTCACGGGATAGAATTTCTGCGGTCAGCGCAACACTCTTACGCGTGTTACAGAATATCTGTTACCGAGTCATTTATTATTATGTATTCCTTTATACAATGTATAGTACAATAGTTTGTATCTAATTGCACTAGGTTGTATATATTTAAAACTAAATATTCGAACGCATACAACGTGTAAATGTAAAATAAACTCAGTTTTTTTAGCACAACAAAAATAAATTTAAATAGAACACTTTACTAAACATATTTGAAAATTATTTTAATTAAGGCGCGACGTTTCTCTCCCTGAACACGGCTGCTCAAAGCATCCAAAATGTCGGGCCATAGTTAAAATATGTTTAACTAATATCATATCGCTTTCTAAACCCTTAAGGTGTTTTATTTTAATGTGTACTACTCGCGTGAATTACAGACAGTATTTAACAAGAATTAAGTTTTTTTTAGATAATATCTCGTTTTGTTTGTAATTTTATACACGAATTAAGACAAATAAAAGAGAGCATTATAATAAACAAAAAGTTGTTACCTTCTGTTGTTATTAAGCAATTAATATATATTCAACATATTATGATTAGGTAAAGAGAATGTTACTTGCCAAAGTAGGCTTTTTGTTGTGGTATTTCTGTATTATCTGCCATAGCTTGTAGTTGAGGATAATATCGAACTTGAATATACTGGACCCCTCTGCACATGGGTAACCCTCCACAAGGAGTTTCAATTTTACTGGACGACATTCATCGCCGAACCTAAGAATAAAGACGCCATTTACCTTTCTTACCGACGCGGGAATGTTACAAAATTAAATGAATTTAAAAGAAACTGAAGCGAAAATTCTTCTTCAATGTAAACAAGAGGTGGACAAAAGATTTTTTTCATAGATTATAGATTAAAAAACATTTGCGACACGGGCTGGACTTCAACTGTCATCCACAGCGTTTCTTACTTTAACAAATTCTCAAAGTTCAAGTCAAGATTTTTTAATTTATATAAATCATGTGAAAAATTTTAAAGTTCCTAAATTTCTTTTTTTTTTTCAAAATAAAATCCCTTTACAATTTGTACACACTCGTAGTAATTTTGTACTAAAATGTTAATCTTTAATATAGAAAACGTAAAACACTTATCGTTGCATAGTACATTCCATTTTTAAAATTGGAACATACTCGTCCGTTCTTAAATATATTTTTAACAAGGACTAATACTTAAGCATGTTGTAAGTCATTATTTCTTTAACAACAATGTTTTCAAATACTGATCTATACCCATGTAATCTGATGTAGGAACTTAGGATTTAAGCAAGTAATTAGTAGTAGTAAAAATAGTAGTAGTAGTTATAATTATTAAAACTCACTTGTAAAAAACTGCTGGCTGTTCTGCTGTACCCAACCAGTTAGCGACATCTTCCGGATTACTAACAGTAGCAGAAACCGCAATAAAACGTATCTTAGGTGCAGGTGTTTCTATAACGCTTTGATCATCAGTGTTTTGATATTGTCTTTGCAGTTTTTTTATACGATGAACAGATTTTGCTGAGGACTGAAAGGGATACCATACACGGCTGTCTATTCGGTGTCGCTCACAAATAAAAAAAAGTTTTTTTTTTATTGCGATAACTTCGACGTTCAGAGTAGTAGATATGGCTCAGAGGTTTATATCGCAGACAAGTAAAAAGTATGTAATTTTAGCAACGCCTTTATTGGTCTAATGGTAGCAATTACTAACAATCAATAGGTCGTGAATTCGATTCCCACCAAGGCCATCATTTTTCTAATGAACCTGAAACATGTTGAACTTCGTCTGGCAATCTGGATATTAAATGGGTGGTTGGAAAATCAAAAATTCTATTCCGGTAACGAATCACCAGTCCATAGATAAATAGTCGTGAAGGTTAATCGCGCTTCAGTCTGTGAATTTCGATGAAAATGAAGTAAACCCCATGAGCATGGACAGAAGAGGACAGACGAGCGTCTGTCCCCTTCTATCATAGAAAAAATCTAGGTAAATGTGATTTTAATTTAAAATATACAATATAAAAGTTTCCAAGACCTCTATATACATAATTGAAATACTTACCTCAATAGCTTTCATGCGGCTAACGACCGCTTCGAGAACGGGCCCCCGTGTATTATCATTAAGAATATGAACCTCATCTATAAGAAACAGCTTTATAACCTCTACCATGCTACTGTGGTCCTTCCAACGTCGCGTCAACATGTCCCATTTTTCTGGGGTTGTTATAATTATTCTAAAAATGCAACAAAGTTTTATCAAAATGTCGGTCAAGCTGTTACGAAGTGGGTAGGAAATATTTATACGTCCTAACAAACTTTCACGTTTAAATAAAATACTTAAAGGTTCAAAACACGAAATGTATTGGTTGAATTAATTATACATTGTAAAATGTAACTTCAAAGCATCCAAAATCGAGTAGTAGTGAATAAGTTTAACTGCTAAATTAAACCGTTAAAAGTGTTTTAAACGTTGTGAATGTTTACGAGTTTTCAAAGCTAAAAGAGGTCGCCAGCGCAACTTGTTTAGATGTTATATGTCAGGGTATTTCACCTACAATCGAGTGAAACCTATGTTCGTATGTCCTCCTCTATCATAAAAAACCGTTAAAAGCGTTTTATTTCTAATGTAATTTATTTATGTAAATAATATATTTAAAAAAAAATGCTTCTGGGGATATAGTCTAGTAGAGACTAAAAACTTTAGAGCTAAAACATAAAAAGACTATTGATGGAGTAACATTCAAAAACGTCACCTATATGGTTTTAAGTCCGGAAAATCCACATCAGTATCGCCAGTTACCTCGATACAGAGCAAGCCTAGCTTTGTGAATTTCGGATACCATTCGGTCAAGCGTTCTGTGCATAAGGCTTTGACTGGTGCCACTAAAAATTATTAGGATTTTTACACATTTTCTTCAACATTATTATCTCCTTGTTAAGCTAAGAGGGGTAAACACTTAATTCACAATTAAATGATCTGACTTCTGTGTCCTGTCCGACCGAATTTCCGTGAAGCTATTATAAATACCTAATAATTATAGGTAGTCAAAAACTATTTACATTAAAATAATTTTATTACACGGGGCGGGAATTGAACCTACTACTGTGTTCCGTAAAGCTATGGTCTTTAAAAATCTAAATCGTGGACAACCACCGGGATTGATTCCAGTTAAATAAAATTAAATTACATATTATCACAAAAGTGTTTATTACATATGTCTTTATATCACTTACTGTATATAATCTTGAAGTCCTGGTTGAGTTTCTTGTCTTCTATTTCCATGAGTAGCTGAACTATTGCCATTTCAAATACAACAGTCTTACCAGAACCAGTAGGTGCGCACACGACTAAAGATTTATCTATTGCACAGAATGTATTTTTTATATTGATATTTAATCATTTTTAGTAACATTAGGGCGATTATTTTATCGTCACTGCATATATAACATGATAGAATAGTATTATTTTGTGAAATATTTTAAAAATCTACACAGACGAGGCTCGAATTTTCCCTTATTTATAAATTTCATTGTAAGCAATCATCGGGTCAAATAAAGTAAAAATTTATTTTAAAAAAACTTGCCTGAATACAACGCATCATCGATTATTTTAGACTGTATAAGATTGAAGTAAGGATAAATAAAAACATCTCGGTATTTATCATCTGAAAATGCGTAATGATTATAAGATGTATTATTATAATAATGATTATAATCATATTAGAACCTCTAAAATACCTATTTCTTCCCTACTTCGAAAATGACCTTCTTGACCAGTGCCTCGTTCAGGTCTTTGAATTTTAGATTCAATATTATTTATAAATTCTTCCAGTGATGAACCATCAGTCTTACCAGAAGACAATGAAAGTGGTTGTGAATTATTAACATAACTGCTATCCAATATGTCCGTGAATGTTGAACTAAAATAATACGTAAGTGGATGAATGGTATGGATATCGATGAGATATTAAAAAACAACTTAAGTGTTAATAACTTACAGTCGTTCTTGCTCTTTACTCATTATCGTTTATAATAAACACTGCCACATGAATTATAATTATATTATTAAACAATATTATTATTTAATAATATTTTGGGAGTAATTTGTATGTACTTAAACCTTTAATAGGCGGGAAATCTAAACTACCAACTATTTTTTTTATTAGTGTATATATTATATGACCTAAATGAAGGCTTGTTTACTGGCCAGCATCTAAAATGTACAGTATTGCCATCAATCTATACTAATAGGTATTGCTTTGTAAAATAATTCAAAAATCAATCACAATGTTGCCTCTAAAATTGTTATTTTGAAAGAAATAAAACTACCATAATATATTTATTTTTTTCATTCATAGTTTTTAATTGATTTCTGTGGTCTCAGATAACAAAACAAATAGTTTTTATATTCTGTGGAGTGTGAAAGTCTATGCTCGTTGTTTATATAGTACTGCAGACTACTCACTTTGTTTATGCGAATTGTTTTCAAATAATTTTCCTCAAATTTTACAAATTGTTATTTTTCAATGAGTTTCTACCAAAACAAGTATTTGTATTAATATTCAACATTAGGAGTCAGTTAAATGGGTGTAATGTAAGCAGTTTTTTCATTGTTTAAATTTATAATTACTTCATATTCCAGGGTACGTGGTATTTATTTTCATTAAATTGTTTTCAGGGATTCTATAGCAGACTTCGAAAATGCTGATACTATTAGTATCGATACTTTAGCTCTCGAGGAGATAGTTCAAGAGGAAAGAGCTAGAGAAATATCAGAACTAAATAGATTAAGTGACAAGGTCTGTTTTCTCCACACCAACCTTCTGTATTATAGGAATGCTAAATCAAAAATGGGTTCAACATGTTACGAGGCATGGAGAACACTAGTAAAGAAAGTTGGTGGCTCTCCAAATTTATGGAAGGATTTGGGGTATGCACTATCTATAAATCAGGGTGATTTAGATGTAAGTCTTTAGCTATTATTTTAATATGGAATTTATTAGTTGCAATTTTAATTAAATGTTTGCTAAGCCCCAAATAATATATCTTTGAGACTTTTAAAAACAAATGGAATGACAATTGTTTGGATTACTTACCAAGCTTTATTAAAGAACACCACCAAGTTAAGGTGGCTTTAATACAAATGGGCTAGGTATATGAAGTTTGATACAATACAATCTTACTTTTTTTTCAGTATATAGCTAATTCTGTTAAAGATGATCCAGCAGACATAATATTAAAAGTTTACATGCAAAATGAATCAGCAACCATAGACAAAATATTGGATGCATTAATCAAAATGAATAGATATGATGTTCTTAAAGCTGTTCATGATCCACTCAGTAGTATGGCTCAATGTTTCAATAAGGACGATAGTGGTTATCAAAGCAATAGCGACACTGGGAAAAGAGAAATTATTAGCCTGACAAAAAATGTGCCAAATGACTTGCCGCCCGCATTAAATAAAAAATATGCTAAAAATCCAGATAGACAGAAGCCTTCATCTTTAAGGCCATCCATGAAGACTGAGGAAAACTCCAAGCGCAGTGGTAATCCTACGCTATTCCTAACCTACACTGAAGATGGATTGGACACTGCTATCAATATTCAGCGTTATGTAAATAATTGGGAAGATTTTCCGAATATAACAATTTTAACATTAAATAGTAAACGGGAGGAAGTAGTTCAAAATCCAGAGAAATTCATTAGGGAATATTTTGAAAAGGTACTTGTTTATGTAACATATTACTTGCAATGTGTCATTGAACAAATGAAACTTAGTGTTGTAAATTTCAAACAACTTTAAGTAAAAAATATTCTTGCATTGTTGTAAATATTTAAGTAACTATATTCTACACATGAAATTAATACTAAATATAAGTATTCAAATAATTTTTGTTTCAGGCCAACTTTGTTGTTCCAATCATCACTACTGGATATTTAAATAGAATTAAATCATATTCCCCTCAAGAACTAACAGCTAATGATAATTTAGATTTTAAATATGTTAATTTTATATACAATCTCATAGTAAACTATTATATACATGCTTCAGGCTGCCTTAATGAAAAAGTAAGGAGTGTTCTACCTCAAAATGCAAATGTTGATGTACTAAGAGATATTTCAATGTATCCAGATCTCCTTCCCTGGACGTATGAAACAAATTTTGACGAACACTTTAAAGCCTTTTTGAAGAACCTCCTTCATGAGAATTGAAGTTTTACTCATGAGTATCTTTTTTGTAAAAATAAATAATAAAAGAGACTCTTATTTATCTCAAGATATTGTATTATACAAGCCGGCAGTTATAGTGAATCATTAAAGAAATTAAAACATTAAATATTTTTTATTTGTTTATTGTTTAAGGCACAATCCAAGTCAGTTTAATAATACTTCTATCTAATTAGTCTCATGAAAAAGAATAACACATATTAATAATGCTAGGTAGTTGCGACTTCTTCAATACATCTAATGCAAACAAACTTTGGCAAACATATATTACCAGAACTAAAATAAATTGAAAGACAAAATTATTGTTAAAAAAGAACAGGTACACAGAAGAAACTTAAAAAAAAAATTAACTCTAAGAATTGTGTGATATATTACTTTAGAGAAGGAAATATCTTTCAGTCTTTTGTTTCTTCCTCTTCATTATTTTCCTGCAAGTCATCCACTGTATCATCAGCTGTGCTGATATCGTTAACATCAATGCCTGTATCATTATTACTGCCATTTGCAAGCTCCTCCTGTAAATATTTTGTAATTAATGCATATTAGTCACTAATCATTAGACTGTAAACACAGTATGTAATTGGAAGGAGTTCAGGCTTAGAAATATAGGAATCATGATAAATTAATTAATTAGGTTGCAATGATATTTCAAGCCGCTAGAGCCAGAGTAGCCTATCTGCAATTTTATATCTTGACTTATGTTTTATATTTTAAAAATGTTAAGCTACAATGCAATGTTTTAACAATGCACTGTAGCTTAATGCAAGCTTGTAATGTAAGTTTACAGTGATTGAAATTTGTTAACATAATTCTTACAATAATAATAGTACAAAACATTTTCACCTAAGTTAATTGTGCTTATTTATTTTACTGATCATTGTAAATCATGTGTTTTGTTATTAAGGTACTCTGGCTCTAGCAGCCTTATTTTTCAACTTAAGGATATAAAAGTATTAAGAGGATTAAAAACAGAATAACTTACCTTTATGACTTCAACAAAGCTGTTAGCTTCTTCTAACATTTGTTTGTACTGCACATTTTCTTCTTTCAAATCATCAATTATTTTCCTTAACTTTTCATTTTCATCTAAGGCCTCTTGTAAAGCTTGCCTGAAATTTTATGTCAACTTATAGTTAACTGTCAGTACCCATCCACTAAATTTTAATAGTCTAGAAAAAGTCAATATATGAAGCACTTATAATCAAGCAAAAGTAGTGTTACAAAAAATTTGGACCTACTGTCTTTTTTCTGCCAAAATTTGCCAGTACTTCTCTGAAGCACCTTCAGGGTTGGTCAGATCATCTGCTGTTACCTTTTCCTTAATGTCTACTTGCACCTCTTTGGTTGCTATATTCTTTCTTTTTACTTCAACATCTCTGTAACAGTAATGGTATCATATCCAGTGTACTATGTATTAAATATTTCTTTGAATTTGACTTTCTAATTAAAAAGACCCAATCGATTTGTTATCTAATAAGATAGTAATTATGAACGAAAGCATGTGTTATTGAATAATTAAAGTACTGAAGGTACTAACGAACTTTCATTTAACAAAATCTTCAACTTACACTAGTGTTTCTTGGGTGAGTTGATGCTTCAGGCTTTTTGATGGCCTACCCACTAGGTTTTCCGTGTCCGTAGCAGTATGCTGTAGTGTTTTTAATGATCTTCTCGTGGTTCGCGGCATTTTCTACAAAAATTTTATACAGTATACTGTCACACTACTATTGCAAAAAAAACCTTATTTGTCCTAACTAAGAAACTTCTTGCAAATAATTTATATATCTTACGTATTACTCGTAATAGATGTGTTTTCCCTATAAATACGAAAATACAAATTTAAAAGACGCCTTCGGCCATATAGATGGACAGTAGACAGAAAGTACATAACAGTATTGCCATCACCAAGACAAGATTTATCCGTTACAGTTGCAATCACCGGTTCAATAAAATGTTATAGGGTTAATGTTGTTCATACGGTCATCATTTTTTTGAAACATTCTTCATCGTTTAAATAAAACAATGTCGATAAATGTTAACGATACTGTTGTTTATTGAAGTTACTAGTTAATGTACAAAATATTTTCACTAAGTGAAATTGTTCAAACTTGGCAACATTGTCATTCCCGCCAATCGACCATTACAGAATATAGCTAACACATACATTAAGCATAGAAATTATAAGATCGGAGAGACATTTTTAGGATATCGCGAAATGTTTTAATATTTAAAATTATAAACGTGATAATGTAGCACACAATCTGCTTCTTATAAAGTAACGCCAAATTTAAACTTTTGCCTAAATATCGAAAATTCGGACTGATTCACATTTTGGAATACAACGCATTATCGTATTTGCTTTGTTTTTTAATCTGTTGCAGTTGTAGTAAGTAATATATAGGAAACCTTCTAATTAATTATAAATTGTCAGTTGTCATAGTTATTTGGCTTTGACACTATGAAATAAGATTATTATGAGGGTTATCAATTGACAGTTGTTAACTGGTGTTCAATCAGTGTACATACATTGTAGTGATTAAATTATTCTCAGGGCTAGTGTAATTTTTCATACGATGAAATTGTTCTTTTACTGAAATTTCTTCCTTACCTCCTGATCTATTTAGGTACAAGGATATTGCAGTGTAGCAGTTCATAACTGTATCAAACTGCAAGATCAAGAATGGATACTCTAAGGTACCTTTAAAGTGGTAGTTCTTGTGTTATCTCTACATGTTTTCCTTTTGCGTATTTACCTTTAATAATTATCTTAGTAACATTGTGCTTTAATCGTTGAATTTACAATTCAATGTTTCAGGTTTTATTTTGTAACCTGGAATGTCGCAACTAGGTCTCCAGGTCAAGATCTTAATTCACTTTTGGACTTTCCATCTCAATATAATAAACACAAGCCATTGCCCGACTTTTATGTAATTGGGTAAGTACCTAAACTGCATTAATGACCTGAAAATTATATATTTTTTATATATTCTAGACAACAATTTGACCAACAATTTTTATTTTTTATTGAAAATAATAAATACCCAAATAAAATATACTCATTTATCAACAGTACGTAATATACGTATCTTGTTATTAAATATGCTATTGCATTAAACATAATTTATTGGCAAATATGTTTTAGAGAAGATTCAAGATTTAAACCAAATGTTATTAAAATCTGGAAAGCTGTATGAGTGTAAAAAACGAATTCAACTGTGCACTGACATTTACTATATTTATAGAATCATATACTATTATGTCTTAGTTCTACTACAATGTGTTAATAATTGTTTCTATTGACTTAACAATGTCAATTGACTTTAACAAGTTCTCATGACCATTTATAATTTATATTTGTTTTAGATTGCAAGAAGTCAAATCGCAACCACAAAACATGGTTATGGATAGTCTTTTTACAGACCAATGGACAGCAATGTTTAATAAAATTCTATGTAGGCAAGGTTTCGTTATAGCTAAGAGTATTCGATTGCAAGGGTTGCTGCTACTTGTATACGCTCAAATGAAACATGTGACACACCTTCGTGATATAGAGGCGCAGTATACTAGAACTGGACTTGGCGGGTTATGGGTTAGTAATATTATAATTTTTAGATATTTTATAGTATGGATAGAAACTCATACAGCTAGAAAGTAGGTCTTTGGTCAGAGTTCAAAGTAATATTTTTAGTTATGGTAATTTAAAGTGTTATTATTGGGGGTTCTCTTGCTTGTTCCTAGGTAATATTATTTTTTATGTGAGTTTGTATTATAATGTTTTTTGTAGGGAAACAAGGGAGCTGTAAGTGTGAGATTCAATGTTTATGGCTGCTCATTTTGTCTTGTTAACTGCCATTTAACAGCTCATGAACACTTGCTGGCAGATAGGATAGGGGACTATAACACTATTATCAAAGACCACACATATCACCTTAAGGAGACATCCAATATTTTGTTCCATGAGTAAGTATAATATATAATAAACAATTTATTAGGCATGACTGTTCTGGATTTAGATGTAACAAGTACCTGAGGATACATATATGAAAAGTTAGAGTTGTTCTCAGATCTTACAACTAAACAAAATCATTAATAGTCAGCATAGTATTTTAAAAAATATGGTTATCACATTAAGCATATTATCAGATTTCTAAGAACTATTAATATCTTTAACTTTAACATAAAATATGATATTATTTCAAATATTAGATTCTATATCTATAGAGACAAATGTTATCACCTATTGCGTGTATTATCAAGTGGACAGTTTGTTATCAACCACAAAAGGTGAGTGCTAATATGACAAACATTTCCTGTTTGGCAAATTTAACTCAGCAGTTCAGAAACTTCCCCTCCCCTCCCACACCTGCTCAAAGATCCAAACGGCCAAGTTAAAAATCATTTTCAAATAAGTTTAATAATATATCGCGTTTTAAACCTTAAAGTGTTTTATTTAAATAGTTCAGAAACTTTTTAGTCATGCAACTGTACCGTGTTGGTGGTTGATGTAAATGTATTCTTCTATCTTATATTATTTTCAGCCTTTAAAAGCTGTTTGCTTAATTTTTGAATGGATGATAACATATTGGCTCATGATCTATGAAATGTTAATACACATTTTCGATCCTCTTTTATATGTTATAAATGTATCTTCTACATCCACTATACAAACGGTCTTTATTCTATTTCAGCTACGTATTTTGGTTAGGTGATCTTAACTTCCGTACTGATCATCCAGCTGGTAGCAGTCCATCATCGGAGGAGATTGTTGCCATGTTACAGAAAGTCGAGAAAGATAAATACACATCTATACTTAAACATGATCAGCTGTTAGCTGTGATGGATAGTGGAGAAGCATTCTCAGAGTTCTCCGAACCCGAGATACAATTCCCACCAACATATAAGTTCCAGATGAGCACTGACGATTATGATATAAAGTGTGTATATTTATTTCTTACAATACTGGTATTACATAATAAAATTAGAACAAATAATATTGTCTACCGTTCCTAAAAGCCAAGTATGATTCCCAAGGTCATGGTAGAATTCTCCATTTTATTATAGTGTTACGTAATACTGACTATGATAAATATATGGAGCCGAACATTTTGTAATTGTGGCTTTGTACATACATATGTTTGCTAACTGACCACACAACATGCCAAACAATGAAAGATAAATGCTTAGTTTATTTGAGTTGCGTGTACGTGTGTGTTTAACCCTTTTTATGGGTTTTTATGTGTCGTCATTAGGTTAGAATATTTTATAAAGGCGAAGGTTATTCAAAGCCATTTGAGATTTAAGAATTGTATTACATTAAACATATTTACGACTATATGTAGAATATCAAATCGATATTGAAAGAATCCGAACAAAAATAGCATTAAATTCATGTTATTGTTAAGAATGACTTTCTCAAATATAAAAGTCATGATTGTTGATAACTAAGAGTGTATAGTAATAAAAAAGGAATATAAAGATTAGCTCCTTCGTTATTGCAAATATGTGATTATAATTAATAAGTGTTAGTTATGTAAATTTAAAATTTGTTTATATATAATAATAATAATTAGTTAATCTAACGGGACTAGAACCCACAACTGGGTGTTTTGCTTTTATCTACTGAAATAAAATATCTTTTAAGATGTAAACAATCAATTACACGGGAGGAACTCGAATCTAAGAAATATATTTCTCTATATTTTGAAATAAAGATTACGCTTACTAATGTAACGAAATTATATAAAGCACATCGAGGGTTTAAATGGCGCAATATTAAATTATTTTAAACTACGGCCCTATGTTTCGGCTGCTCCAAAGCCTAACTAATATAATGCGCGTTTTAAACCGTAAAAGTGTTTTATTTAATGTGCGCTACTCGCGTAAACTAAAGATAATGAATTTCATAAATATATTTTTTATCGGGAATTACCAATCTCATTCTTTACAGGAGAAAACCGTCATGGACGGACAGAATATTATACAAGGTGATTGCTAATAATTACGAAAACATTACTCTGAGAGCGGACACCATATCTTACAATCACATCCCACATTACATGGTCAGTGACCACAAACCTGTAGTCGGACAATTCAACGTAAAGGTGAGCATATTTAAAAATAATCTTATCTGCACTTTATTAGTTAAGAGGCCATCCAATAATAGCGTCACACGAATGCCCCCCCCCCCACATACACATTCCCCACCACTTTCAATCTCTTGTCCCTATCTCCTCTTTTGTAAAGTATTTAATGCTTTCAAGTGTAGATCACGAATTGTTCGAATCCTGTTTTAGATAAAATGAAAATATTTTAGTTCCACCCCGCAGGTAATCATAGTTTGTCTTTACTTAGCAGTCATAAGCAACTGCAATGTGCCCAGCGGAACATCCTTCATTTAAATGTGGGACACAATTTTTGAATGGCCCTCAATGCTTTTAGTACTGAAATAAAGTAAATTAAACTTAAAAATTTACGCATGCGTTTTCTTAATTTGCACGATAAATTCCAGTTTGTATTTTATGGCATGATCATGCTTTTTATATATCTACGTTACCTTGATTACGTTTTAACCGCCAGTTAATATATTTACGTAATTGGTATTCATATCTGATAATAAAGATTGTGTAAAAACCATAGCTTTTGTTAGCATTCAATTTTACATGCATTAAGTATATTTGTATTACTTTGGCATTTGTATATTAGTTTGAATAATAATACTTCATAACATACTATAGGCAATTGCATTTCTAATCTTTTGTTTTTTTTTTTAATATAGACTTTAATCAATATTGCTTTCTCATTTTTTTTTATAATTAAACTTATTTTTTTCATGTGTCCTTAACACGACAATTATAAAGCACCCAAAACTTCGGATCTTAGTTATTTTTCAATTGATATTTTAAAATGAGAAAGCTGTATTGTGCTTATGACTAACCATTGCACGATAGGTACGCCAAAAGTTCCCTCGCACGGTGTTAGCCCAAGAGCCGGAGATAAAAATATCGAGGGCATCTGTGCGCATGCGTTCTGCCTTAGTCATGCCTATGGGCGCAGCTTTATCAGACACATCGCCTGAAACGGATGTACCCGTTGAGGGAAACACTTGCGATGAAACTAACCACGAGGGAGAGTTCGAAGTGATTCCCAGCGCGTCGCTGACATCCGATGACGTGGTCGACTCTGTGGAAATCGATGAGGTTTAACTTGAATTTCAAAACAATACACATTTAATCAGTTTTATGTATAGCGAGTAGTTGATCAGACTTCTGTCCGATGCTTCAGGGTTGAAACCCTAGGAAATCTTGCGCATCCTTAGGCTATTTAATATTGCGTCAGTATTTATACTCAATTTGTGCGATCCCGTTTCCCCTCGTGAGGCTAATTTCTGTGTCCATTTAACTGTTCGGTTTTACTGTCAGGCAAGATCAGACTTCTGTCCCTACCCGACCTTAACAATTTATTGTTTTCTCGGGATTCTAACCTTTACCTTTATTCTAACGGGATTTTAACGCACAAAAAAACACGTTGATTCATTTAGCTATAGTTGGTCGAATTTGTCAGTTTACTACAGATAAAAAATTAACGGACTTAAACGCGAACCCTTTACTTAACCTTATCATTGTTTTAAAACACTGTTAACATGTAGGGCGTTTAAGGCCATTGAAATAACTATTTGTTTTTATAAGTTGATTTATTTTGCCCTGCTTCTTGCCCCGCATGACCGTAGCGTGTTAGTTTTATTTTTGCACCAAACCGGATTTTTATACTAACGTTTTTACTAAAAAATTTCTTATTAACATTTATATTATTTTACTTAATTTTTTGCGTTCTACGTATTACAAATTATATATTCATTCATTTAAATACTGTGCAAAAAATGCGTTAACAACAATAAAAATTTGAATACTTTTATTTATTTTTATGGTTTTTGTTCTTAATCTATAAGCTGAATGTACGTTTATTGTAGACGTTTTCAAATTACACCGAGAAAATGGTTGAGTTTGCGCCTACATCTCGCATCTGGTACATCGGTGATGCTGACTTTAGGACGCAGTGCACCTTCTCCCACGACGTCGAAATTAACCCAGGTGATTGGATCGGAATATTTGATGTAAGTATTTTTTTATTGTAATATATTATACTAGCTCTGTTAGCAACTTCGTCCGGGTAGAATAAATATTTAGGGGAATCCAAAACAAACCTCTTCTTCATCTTAAGAAATTTAAGCTGTTACCTACGACGTCGATTGAGTCCCTTCGTTATCGCAAGGTAATCTTATAAGATAGACATACACAATTCCGGACATTTTTCATCATCGTCTAAAAAGGAATCATTCTGTCATATATATTTTTGAATATTTTGAGCCGTTTTCGCAGCGTACGCAACATACTATAAGTTCCTCGACAAATGCTGTAACCAACAAACTTTGCAGCTCTATGTATTAGTATAGATGATATTGCTAGTTGAGTCATATCGTCACAATATTTCAGGCGGATTTCAATAACCTTGACGACTACATAACATACGAGTACTTGGGCAAAGTCAGTGTGCCCCAAGCCCCAACAGCGGCCGGTCAACCTCGCACCATAACTTTGAGCTTTCCAGTCGGCAGTGGGGTGCGAACGCCAGGGTTCTACCGTTTCATATACTTCAGTCAGCCGAATTCGGACGTTAAGAGTATTTTAGGTGAGAACATTTAGTAATGTAAGCATTTAAGTAATTAATTTTTTTATTCCCCCCGCGGCCATGAATATAGAGCATTCGAAACTTATCGCAGTCAAATTTTAACTGATTTACATCGCGTTAAACACCTTTTTAAAACTGTTTTATGTGACACTTTTTAAGTGTAAGTAAACACATTATTTGTATGTATGAGCGCAAATCTATTCGAATGTACTTTTTGGGTTATCTTTAAAATATTTGGATCCTGGTTTAAGTCTTTAGTATTTTTTCCTAATTACAATATTATTATGGTTTTTCTCAAATATAAGGTAACAGAACGAAACATTCGTACTTAATCTGTTTTCTTTCTCTCTATTCCTTTTAGTCTAATTCAAGAAAATATTATAATAAAAATCTATTCAGCGTAACCACGTTTAAATATATAAATATATTACTATAAAGCGTATTATATATTATTTACTTAATAGTTTCTATTTAACCCTTTTTCATTTGTAGGTATATCCGAACCGTTCGAAGTAAGCAGCAAGGAGGATAAGCTAATAACCATAGATCCCTGCTCAGAAGCATCATGCAGCACATCCCCCAGTAGGCCCAAACCGATGTCTGCGAATACGGACGTGTTTACTGACTTCACTGGGCTGGACGTTGCCAAGTTGTCCCGCCATTTCTCTAACGATCTCAGCTTTGACTGACTAAAGACTTACTTGCCCGGTTCGCCGGCGCTAAGACGGAAAGATGGAGCGAGTTAGAAGGGGTTGGGGTTGGGGGCTAGTCCAGAAGTAGTATTACGTCATGGTTGCATTTAATTTGCGATTTAGTAGCATTAATAGTTTCGAGATGATTTCAAATGCTACCAGGTTTTATAGTGAAGATAAATGGGGTTGTATAATGATTGCCTATTGTTGCGATGTAGGCGTTCTTTTTTCTAAATTTACAAATTATTGAGATTTTTTTATTGAACAAATTATGTTTGGCCAGTATTTATTTTATTTAGAACCTTATTGATTAAAATTATCTGTGTATTTTACACTTAAATGCGATTATAATCGGACCAATAACAAAAGCTTTTAAGGATATAAATGTAGAATAGACAATTCATAGACGTACTTACAATGTACTTATGTCGTATCTAGCTGTAGGTTGTGTGCAATAGGCTTTTTAAACCAAATATTACACGCGCTCTTAGAAAATGTTTTAAAACGGTTACTAAGTAAGCTTATTTACCATACTGTTTCACCCTTGCCTATAGTCACAAATTTTATAGATATTGTTATATTCAACACGACAAGGATGTTTAGCGCTGAACGAAGTGTAGAGGGGATAGTTGCGCATCTGTACAATCGCGCACGTAATTGATTGGTAAACGTGACTGTACTCGAATAGCAAGCGGAGCGTCGTATTGGTCCGAGAAAGACAACACGAAGGGGGAACCAATCAACGCTAGCGCACATGACGTTCACTCGCCCCGCGCCCGCTTCCGTCCCTTCGATACCTTATTTTTGACTTCTGCGCAAGATTCGTTCAGCGCTAAAGAACCGTGCCGCTACTTATACATTATGTTGCTGTTAAATATAATTTGCAATTAGACACAATATTAATTTGTATTACAATTGGTATGGCGTTAAAACTAACAATGGTATTCCAACTAAAAGTTTTTGCGTCAATGCCATTAGATATTTTATTTGTTAGCTCTCTTTTTATAGAAAATCACTACATGTACTCTTAGCACCCACCTTTTTACAAAGTAATCTAGTTCAAATAAAGTCACAAATGTTTATATTCAAATATAACCTGTTAAAATAGTGTTAAAGCTAGCAATTTTATGCCTTACCCTTGTTTGATTAAAATTATAAAATTAATATAATGATTAATAGCAAAGTACTAGTAAACAACTGAGTACTTAAAAGCTACTTTTAAATCCATTTTTTAAGCGTCGGACTTTAAGCTTTATAATGCAATTCACAAAGAGATTACGTAACTTCTTTATTTTTTATATGTTTTTTTCATTGACTTTTAAGATATAGGCGTTAACATAAACTTGCCATGACTTGTGAAGTCAAAGAGTACAATTATTGTTGTTGTTATACATTCTTTTAGTGAAAATTTTTTAGGGTTGTGTTGAGCTGGGTACTGACCTAATGCCTGCGGTCAGTAGCTTGATTACCATATATTTATCGTTGTAACTTGTGACACCGCAAGCATCTGGTAAGTACCCGGCTGGATATTTTATCATAGTTATCAATTATTTTAATTATGTTCCTATCGGTTTGTTATTTCACACCGTTATGTTATTTGGTAATGTGAAATAGGTATATTGTTAAAAAGATGATACCAATCTCTTTAGTAAAGGAATGCCACACCTATATACATCTGATATGATATATGTAGAACCGTTTGGATTAATTTGTTTATTTAAACAATATTAAAAACTTTTCCGATAGATATTAAATTTTGGACGTAGATGAGATTATTATCACATCATAAATCAATTGTACAATATTTGGGCTGTTAAATTGTATAGTGATAGTTCAGTTACTTTTAATTGTGATTAGTCTGGTAATTTCATTGTACTTTTATTATTAAAATAAAATAGGCTCTATCTCAAAACCATAAATTGTAAGACTTCTCCAGGTTTGAGCTGTGCGGCAGTCGTAATTAAAAAGTGGTTGTCGTTTCGACATTACGACGAAACAGCATTTTTATTTGTTTTCCAAAATGGTCGCCACAATGTTATAAAAATTATAATACTTAGTCTCGTTTAATTCAAAAATTATTCCCGTTTTATACAGTAATTAATTATGTACCTGATACAAGACTTGGTTTGGATCTAGTATGGTTTTTAAATGTTATTGAACATGATAGTATTATATAAATTAAACTTGAACCGAAATCAACAGCGATCCGTGTTGCTGCTCTAACACAGTGACATTGCAGTTCAATTGTTTAGAGCAGCAGTTCGATTTCTTGCCTTAAATATTGATACTTATTGTGCAAATTAAGCAAACGTTTAATCTGTAATTACAAGAAGCAAAAATAAAACAAACATGTTTGTTACAGTGGTAGTGCCTAATTTCAAAATATCACCTGTCTGTTGTTTACGCGAGTAGTACACATTTAAATAAAACACTAACGGTTTAAAACGCGATGGATATTAGTTAGGTCTACCTGGCTGCTGCAAAGCATCTGACACATCGGGCCGTAGTTATAATAATTTTCGCATAAGTTTAACTAATATACATCGCCTTTAAACAAATGTATCTCTCTATAAGAGATTTTGGCAAAGATCTTCTTTGTCTTATATACAACCAAAACACGGAAAATATACAAATGTGGATATAGCATTGTTATTTGTTTTTTTTTTAATAATATATTACCTAAACTATGTTATTCTGTATATTGTATTTATTCATATTTGTGCAGTTGTTGCCATAGTGACAATTAGAATATAGATTAAGTAGAAAGGGTAGATGTTGTTTCGAAAGAAATATATTTTTAGACAATATGTTATTTTTGTTTCTGTTCTATCTTGATCTTACTTCAGCCTCCTGGTGTCTCTTCATTACCGCTGTTGGTGTTAATTTTACCATATTAACAAATTGTTAAAGTAATGTAGCTTAAAAAAAAGGTTTTTTTATGACGGATGACAACGTATAAGCATGGGATTGTTTATTAACATATTTTTGGCTTACGACATATGTAAATAACTACGATTAATTTTTTTTTAATGTGCACTAGCGCAAACTATAGATATTATGAACTTATGGCGAAAGAGCTATTTATTTTGCGCCTTTAGATGAATGGGTTTGCTATCAAATATGTATGTGTCAAAACAGGACCCCTCCGACGAACAGACATTTCAATATTATTTGCATCATTTTATTTAATTGTCAGACTTTTGCGATCTGCCCGATAGGATTACTTATGACTTAACCTTGAATCGAACTCAGGACCTGCTTAAAATAATGCTAGAAAAATCCTTAAATATTGAGCAGTTTAGTTTTTACTTGAACAATTATTTAGATGTAGATACACTAATTTTAAGTTAATGCTTAAAAAATTAAATAAGAAAATCCTAAATTAAGAATCCCAAAAACGCAACCGTTTTATAATTACCGGTATACTATCTAACCCCAACTGCCGAGTTATTCTGAATACTCGTAAAGATACAGCTAAACTAGATACAATCTAAAGAGAACTTCGTGGTAACTGTGTTGATAGGAGAATAGTTTCGTTCGCTATGTTAATTCAGCAAACAAAACAAATTTTATGACCCATATCTCAGTTGCGTAATCAAAGTGAGGAACAACAAACACGTATCTTGCCAACATTGGCTTTATTTAACAGAACATAAACAGACGAACATAAACACCGCAAAATTGTATAACTAGGGAGCAGAACAATATACTGTATAAGTAAATACGTTGATGGATACGTAAAGAAAATAATATAAATTCGTCTTCAGCTATATCGCTCAAAAATCAATATTCCGCTTTACGTTATGTTTACTTGCTTTAGAGGTAAGTTCATGTAGAAAAGGATACGGAAACTTAAATACTGTAGTTTACACGATTAGTACACATTTAAATTAAGTACTTTTAATGGTTTAAAACGCGAAATGTATTAGTTAACATTACAAATCCCCCGTCTACGACCGCCTCAAATGTCTCTTCGTGACCACGTATGCTTCGGTCTTAACTAATATATTTTGCGTTTTAAACGGTTAAAAGTTTTTTTATTATAATTCTGAAATTTATGCATTTTAGGTGAAATGAAATTGCAGTCCATGCTTAACAAAGATTTTTGTATGTCAAAACATACCTCGATGTCGTTGGTACTAATCTACGCAAAGTAATTTTGCAGAAGTTTCAACACTACTAATTGTATCGCAGTATTGAAATATGTCACATAAATACAAGTTATCCAGCGTTTTCTCATAGTTACTCCGATTGCAACATTTTTACAAGTATTACTTTTTTAATAGTTAATGAAAGCTTACTGTAATTACCAATCAATTAAACAGTGACATCCTTGTCACTGTTTACGTCCTCGTAATTTCTAGCAATTAGAAATGCGGCCTATAATTTAACCTAGAATGTAAGTCCAGGAATTTCCCATTTTCATTCGTCATTAATAACGCGAAAACGTATGACAAACAAACACCTATTGATATGTTTATGTGTATCCTTAGCAGAGTGTGGAATGGTATGGTAATGCGATCAGCAGATTTTGTGGACTGATCACTTGAACTTAAATACTGTCTATAGTTTACGCGAGTAGTACACATTTAAATAAAACACTTTGCAGCAGCCCTGGTCACGCCTGCTGCAAAGCATCCGAAACGTCGGGCCGAAGCTAAAAATCATTTTCAAATAAGTTTAACTAATATATCGCGTTTTAAACCGTTAAATTGTTTTATTTAAACACTTGAACTTAATCCGCTGTCCAGAATAAATAAACAATTATTATCTATACTAATATTATAAATGCGAAAGTAACTCTGTCTGTCTGGCTTTAACTCCGAAACTACTGAACTGATTTAAATGAAATTTGGTAGACAGATATTTTAGAGCCTGAGAAAGGACATGGCTACTTTTTAATGTCAAAAAAGGGTTGAAAAAGGGGATGAAAGTTTGTGTGGAAATTCGTGGTTTTTGAAGTTAGAACAATGAAACTTTCTTCTTTGGCATTTTGAGAATAGGAGTGGGAGTGGGAGTTAGAGTAGCAGTGGTGTGAGGTGACAGTGTTGCGCCAAAGTAGCACTTACAACATAGATTGGCTGCCTTAAATGCGCACTTACATAAATTAATAAACGGGCTAAATAATTAAAAATTCTACCCCAAGTAACTATTCCACGCCGACGAAGTCGCGGGCACAGCTAGTGTCAATATATATCTGTAGGTTTATATTGTCCATACACAAAACGTCGTCTAGTTTTAGTGTTTCATACATAAACAGGTTATTATACATACGACCTGATATTTCATATACTTTTCAGTAGTCGACGTCACTCATATATTTTACGTTTTAAACTGTTATTTTTAATCTATATCACTTGCATAAACATACAGGCAATACTGTATTTTTGTGTATCGTTCCTATAATAATGAAATCTCTAAGAATATCCTATTACAATTATATCAAAGTAATTAAGCGCTGTGTCTTTTATCACACAATCACGATAAGACGGCGTTTATCTACGCGTGTGCCGTGCGTTGAAGTCGAATGCTCTTATCGGAAAAGCGCGGGAAAAGCTATCTACGGCTACAGCTCACGGATTGTACGCTCAGAACATCAGTAGTCCCGCGTTAGCCGCCAGAGATGGACGGATTCGTGCGCGTGTCCGCCATTTTGTTCGTAACCGCGTTCGTAACTGTCGGCGCTCACATGACGCTGGCTTCACACGATAACATACTCCGTATACAACTTTGGGATGCTGAAGGGTTAGTGAGGGAACCGATCTCCACAGATACACCTAAGATCACCAAACACAAGACAAAAGTCGATCTATCATCACTGTACGATGCCATGATGGGTGATGAGTATGAGCACGGTGTTGGGAGATACGCGAGGCATAAGGTTCGGCATAAGAGGAGACGGCCGCGCCAGAGTGGAACCGATCTGCCTTGGCGGTTTCATTCTGGCTCGAAGGTGATGAACGTTGCGGTTTATGATGATGATGTGCCATGGGATGTGATAGAGGGAGGCGGGAACACGAGTGTAGTGAGTGCCAGTGCAAGTTACCAAGTGTATGAGCGAGAAGTGTCAGCGCCGATGACTCTGCGACAGGATGAGGTGAGTTCAGACGAAGTTTATGAAAAAACTACTTCAAATCTCTTTCAACGTTATCGTCGCCTCGAGCTCTTTAATGCCCATGCAGGTACGCTAAACAGTATATCGCACGCTTTTGATCTTTGTGCGATAAAAGATATTCAGAATCTGCTTTTACACGTCGTGTAGTTTGTATCAAACAAATAAAGTCCTAGGATCACTTGTCGGGAAAAAACAGTCAGGCAGGGTAAATCACCCATTTGCGTATAGATTTAATACGTCCCAAAAATTATGTTTCAAACTGTAGGTATAAGATAACGATGCATATTTCACAATATCGCGACATATTTTGATTCAATGCTATCGCAGATTACACGCGCTAATCAGCTGTTTGCGGATGTCTTTTAGATAACAGGTAATTACGAAGGGTTCGTCTAAACAGCCAATATAACGGCTATCTTCCATGACAAGCCATGTAATATTCAAGGATACATTATTTATATATATACATAATATGTTTATCCGTAAGTTTATCAACTTATCACGAGTGGTTTCAAATTTATAAAAATGCGAAATAATGTACCTACGTGAAATAATACAATTTATTGGTTTTTCCCGACGATATATATATATATATATATCATATTGAGTGGTTTAATAATTTGATATTATAAATAACACTGTAAGTTATTCCTATATCATTATTATTTTCTACTGGAGACATCGATAGAAGATAGAAAGGTCCACATTATCTCCTAACCATTTCACAAATTTCCTAATTTCCAATTTAGCGAGAGACATAATGTATAAAAAATAAATCAATATTGATTTATTTTATTCTATGTTATTTTTTATTAACCAAATTTGTTTTATTTTTATTGTTAAAACGCCGTAGTTCAGTCGATACAGCACCAAACGCTGTGGTCACGGGTGAAAAATTATATTTCACGTTTGTTGTCAGTTAAGTACAAAGAAAGAAATAAATACAACACATTTAACGGTTTATAACGCGGAATAAATTAAGTAGTTAACTTATTAATAATATAAGTTTTTATTTATTTAAATGTGTACTATTCGCGTAAACTACAGATAATACTTAACCAAAAACCATACTTAGCAATTTTGTTTTAAGAATAAGTATCTTTATTATTTAGTAATTTTATATAAGTAATAAATATAGTAGTAGTAACTTATCTTTACATTCCATAATATAGTGATACCTATTTTGAAACGCATTTAAAGATTTATCAGAAGTCCTTACTAAGAACTGATAAGACGTGCAACTTCTTATTTATTTTTAAGAAATACTCGTAGCAAACAGGATTAACTGGTATGGCTGGGAATAGTTTTTATAGGAATTTTGCGGTTTGCAGGTGCAAGTTCAATATAGTGTAAATACAACCTAGCTGCTGAGAGAAATTGTACATTACTTTTGCTTGTACATATACAAAGTAGGGTAAAAGCTTTTGGTTCACTTGATAAAAAAAATATAACATATTAATGTCATGCTTATCATACTATATTATTTAAATAAAACACTTTAACGGTTTAAAACGCGATATATATAATGTAAACTTTGAATGGAAATTATTTTTAACTCCCGGTTTCGGTCTCCTCGTGACCACGGCTGCTGCAAAGCATCCGAAACGTCGGGCCGAAGTTAAAAATAATTTCCAAATAAGTTTAACCAATATATCGCGTTTTAAACCGTTAAAGTGTTTTATTTAAATGTGTACTACTCGCGTAAACTATATACAGTATACTATATTATACTTCGTTGTTAGTGGATTCCAGTTCCTGAAAGCATATTATTTTTTAAAACAAATTAATGTTTGTTCATATTCTAATACTGTAAGATAGATTTTAAAATTGAATAACGTTTTGATAAAAATTTAAATCATTTTTTTATATTAGGCGTATTTACTAATAGTTTTGACCTATTTTGTAATCCTTTTATTTTTTGGTTCCAAAAATATCTGTTAATATTTAGAGCTAAAAATTCTCAAAAACGCTTTCCACAGAATATTCAAGCGTTTGAACTCTTTTCATAAAACAAACGCCAACGCACAGATAATCTCAACCATAGTAACGAAGTAAAAGAAGCTCCTTAAAGTTATAAAATATTCTCACTGAGTTAGAATTTCACAGCTAATTATGAAACTACGACTACATTTTTAAGAATGCGATTTAGGAATCGAGTTGAAGTACTCTTGAAATTAGTAGATAGTCTTTAATGCTCTGGTTTTATAAAACACAATTTATTTATTCTAAAATAAAAGAAGGTCAGGAAGACCGGAAAAAAAAATGTTCACATGTTAAGTACTGTCTATAGGTTACGCGAGTAGTACACATTTAAATAAAACACTTTAACGGTTTAAAACGCGATATATTACTTAAACTTCTTTGAAAATCATTTTTATTTTCGGCCCGACGTTTCGGATGCTTCGCAGCAGCCGTTGTCTCCACGATTCAAATAAGTTTAACTAATATATCGCGTTTTAAACCGTTCAAGTGTTTTATTTAAATGTTCACATGTTATTCCTATTTGACAAGAATAAGGCTAAGCCATTTAAAAACGGGTTACCATGGTCCGACTCAAACACATGGATGGACATATTTCTGTGTCAGGTTTACTGATCCATTTTTATTATAGACAATTTTGAAAACAATACTGTCCACGTGTTAATGCACATGATCTCAGTGTGTAAATTAAAATTCGATTTTAGCTTGAAAAAAAATTCCGTCACGGGCGAGACTTGACGCGATATCTACATTGATACGTACTGCAGCAACCGTGTAGGGCACGGTAAGAAAAATTTACAATGAAGTGCCCAATGTTTAGTAAAACAGCACGAAACGCTGTGGGTGCGTTCGAGCTGAAATTCGATTTTTAATTTATATATACAATTTCCAGGTTACTAACAACCAATAACGCTTGCATAAATAAATCACCTTATGGAAAGCGTGGCAAAAGAACAAACAAGCGCACTTTCGAATTGATTATACGCCGTACGAAGTAAAATTCATGAAATTAAATAATTAAATTTATGTTAAAACACTCTGTTATTTCGTTAAGTCAACAAAGAGAACATTATCTTGTCCTTGACATTTGAAGCGTGTTATTACGATAACCATTAATTTACTGATGGAAGTAAGTTTCAACTTTTACTGTTAACTTATTAAGCGAGCTTTAAAATAAAAATTCCTTTGTCCGTCATTTCGTTCATTAGTCCATACAAAAAAGTCTGTCTGTTTTTTTATTCATTAAGGTCTACAACTATTCATAGATCAATAAAACTGATATGACAACATGTCTAATAGTCTATTAAAAGAATAGTGTGTACTATAGAAATATAACGAAATCTATATAAATACTAGGCACACACTTAACTTTACCAAAAACCAAACAGTTACTGTACAAAGACGTTACTGTACTATATAACAGTAGCATACATGAATTAAAAAATTTAAGCTAAAAAGCGGATATGGGGACAATTATTTTAAATTACAACAAAACAAACACGAAGATTCTAATTATTTAATCTGTAATGCTTCTAGCCTGTCAACTTTTTAAGTTTAAATTTAAACAAATTCAAATCAACCTTTGTAGAATATGATGTAGTAAGTGTAGGAGCACAAGTGGAGGACTAGCACAAATATAAACTACAGAAAACCTTAATAGACTATAGACTAGTTTAAGAATAGATAATAACGCCTTGTAAACAACGTATTGAATTTAAATGTCAATAATTATTATTGTCGAATATGAGGAACGTTAAATGCACGTCACAGAAAATACGTCGCAATATTCAAAACGGGTTCAAAAGTGCTAAATATGATCGCACGGTCCAAGTAACCGGATTATGGATGGGATATTGGAGTGCGATTGAGTTAGGACCCTCCCATAGATATCGATATGTAGTCGAAGATTGGGCTGTAATAGGTTTTATCCTGACCACGTCTGCAGTTTGTCATAAAGCTTTCGTCTCCTATAAACGCTTTAGAAGTACAGAGCTTACAACTTACGTTTAGCACTGCGTCAAAATGTCATTGGTCAGAGTTTAGCAGGCAGTTGGTTAAGTGACGTTTTGTTGTTTTGGTATTCTCGTCTAATGCTAAACAGGCTAGTCCGCGTGACGTCAGCGTGTATTTGACATTTTGCTGCCGTGCGTCACTTGGCGTAAAGCTGTCAAATTAGGAGAATCTAAACTGATCGCAGCGTAACTGCAACTTGATTGATTCCTCACTAAATTAGTAGAATCGGCCTGCTGGACGACAAATATGATGACCGACAATGCATATCATAGTTTTTAACATTTACGAAACAAATAAAAATATTCGACAGAAGCGTGCGAAGGTGACAGCAACAGTGCTTTTTATATTAGATAATGGTCACTATTGATCAATAATAATAGTAGAACGTAGGATGCTATAGGCGAAATACGGCCTTTATAGGAGGCCGTAGCCTAAAACGAGTTAGTACGATTATCGTAAACCAGGATAATTTGGTTTTATTCATGCGTTAAGGTTCAAAATGTGTACATTACTAATCCGATTGACGCAGTACTGTTTGTTATCGCTTGATGAACAATAAATACCTTTTCATTATACGAAATGATAATGAAGGAGACAATATTTGCGCTATTAAGGAATAAACTTTTTTCCAACGTGATGTGGTTATTTGTCATAAAAATAAGTCCTGCCCATTGAAATGGCATTTTTTGGTAGTTGTAAAACTTGTAGTTTAATTGTAACAGATGTATCTAGCTTGTAGAGTAAGAGTACATTTTTGCTGCTTCTTCTCACCTGTTCTGTTTTTTAGTTGCAAATGTAAATAAAAGTAGATATATAATAGATAACAAGAAAAAACGTTAATGTAAATATAATGCTTTAAGTTCTTAGCTACTTACTTATATTAGAGCTTTTGTTTACTGAGATTTAAGTAAGTTTTCCATTATTAAATATTAAAAATGACAGCAAACAAACAGCAGAACAGGCCAAATGGATATGAAATTCGCGAGTCG